GCGCAATATCGATATTTATTCGCGCCCTTATCGCGCGTTGTTCGCATCGGTGATCACAATGAACAAAAGAGATCGATCGTGCGTTTTATTCGATTTCGTGATGAGATTCTCTTTTTTTTGTCAAATTTCAAATGGGAAAAACACGCCCATGCGTTAACGAGATGCGGCTTACACGCGATCCTGTAAATGCTTTGTAATGCGATTTGTTTTGCGCGACCGAATGGAAGAAAAATTTCAATAAGAGATTTTGGATTCGATAGTTAAACTTGAAGCTCATTCTAATAAATTCGTTTAACTATGAAGATGACAAAAATGATTTCAATATATCTCATGACTTTCAGAGAATAAATGGATGTCAAAATTTATCAGTTAATTTAATTAATTGAAGTCATTAATTTTAAAAAGTCAACAAAAGTTTCATTCAAAATTTGAAGTATTTAATATCTGTATGTAAAAATAATAAATAAAAAATTAAAATAAAAAAGTTTTAATATTTAAATAAAATATATAAATAATAAAATTTTTATATATGTAAATTAAAAGAAAAATCTGAAATTTGAAAATTTTGGAAAAGCATAATGTTTGTTACATACTTTTCATACTCTTCATACTTGTCCAGTAGACTCATTAAAAAAATTGACTTTTTCAGATTTTCCAAGACCAGAAATTAATTTTTTCCCTGACTTTTTAGTATTATTTTTCCAAAAATATAATTTGCGTATATCTGTATGATAAATCAATTAAATGTTAAATCATGAAATCCTTGAGATCTTTTTGTCAACAATGCAAAGGATTGGAAGTTAAAAAACCAAAAATTAATTCAGTTATACAATGTGCATTATGTATGATAATCGAAACAAACATGTCACTATATATAAACTATTTAAATAATTACCTTTTTTATTTATATTATATCAATTTTTTAGTTTTGTCTCTATCAAACACATCGAAATAAAATAACACGACAATAAACATATAAATTAACAAACACGCTGTAGAATCAATTTTTAACAACACAGAAAATTAGCGTGCTGGAAAAGTTAATACTCATTTAATAAAAATTTCAAATTATTGAGACAAATGTAGAATAATGTGAAAAATCCAGATAAAAATAGTAAATTTCCTGACTTTTCCTTGACAATTCCAGATTTATATAAAATTCCCTGACAACGCTCGGTTTTCCAGATTTTCCTGGCAATAATATGATATTGGAAGAATCTTATAAGAGTTTATCTGATTAATATTTACCACAATAAAAATATTAATATGTACATAGTAAATTTTACTATAAGATTCATCCAATACCATATTGTCGCACGATTACCATGATTTTCAGAGTAAATTCTAAGAGAAAATTCTCTCTGTGTAGACACCCTGTTTTCATAATGTCAAAACGTACATTGAAAAGAATATACGAGAGGAATGTGAACTTTGCTTTTGTACGCCTGAAACTTTTTGGTAAACAAAGTTTTACGTTGCAGACTATAGTAGCTGAACGGTGTATTGGTGCAAATACTATTGCAAATATTGCTATTTAACATTTACGATGCGAATCCACTTAACATTTGGAGAGCCACACACTCGGATATCCGTGGCATTCGACTCGAAGCATCGGGGGAGCCCCGGTAAACGCATAATGGAAACGAAGCACAAGTGGATCGATAAACGCAATCAGACCGTTCGACGAGAACTACATCGTCCGAATTAATTGTCTCGACCACTCCTGTTCCTAGCCCTTTGCTAAATTTTTTTTCTTCCTCGAATAAATTGCTATTCCAAAATTGTCACAGTATACGCGCGGTTATGGTTATTCTCGGAGGCGAGAAAAGTGTAGGCAAGCGTGTTATCTCTCATCTTGTGTGAAATTCAGGGAGATGTCAGGTTAAATCACGTATACGATTAAATCGACGACGTCAAAGATTTCCATCAACGCGCCTGTTTTTCAAGCGTGAAAACTAAAGTTCGCGCGTCATAGAGATAGAGATAGAAAGGTAGAAATATAGCGACGCGGTTCGTTTGAGGGCATCGTTACAGATATGTAATATGCATATATTCGGCTGAGAAATTGCAATTGCCTGGTTGGCGCCCTTCGAAACTGACAAATGCGATTATATACAATATATGTATATACGTAGGTACAGACGCGTACAACGAGAACGTGTTCTCTGTCTATATAATTACGAGTTACGAGTATGCTAATGTCGAATCTCTCAAGAATCGTGGGAGGAAATGTGCTCTTGCAGCGCTGTAATTCGAAATAGTGTCATCCGGAATAAAAAGACTCCGTTATGTCTTCTACCGACCCCGAGACCAAATTTTTATATGTATCAATAGAAAATTATATAGAAATATATACAATTTTACATATACAATCGCAAAATTATATATGAAATATGTCCATACATAATTAGAGATAAAAGTGCTTTTTATATACCTATATAAATCCTTATAATTTATATATAAATTTATTTAATTAAAATGAACATATTTCACATATAATTTTACAATTATATGTATAATTATACAATTATTTATATATAATTATAATTATATATAAACAATTTTTCCCGGGACTTTAGTTAAAATATATAAATAGAAAGAGCGATATTGTTCAATGCATATATCAAATGGTAATTATCAGATCAAATAAAAATGTTAAATTATTTAATTTCTAAGGAATATTGTAAATAAAAGAGAGAAACTAATGCAATTAGATTATAAATATATAAATATTATTTTAAGCTGTAAATATTCTAATTTATCTAATTGATTAAAAGTTAAGATTTATTAGATATATCTGATACTTTTTATGCAAAATAAATACAATTAATTTTAAGCAACGAAATATTCACAAACAACTCGCGACTTTTCTTTCGACACCCTAGAAAATTATAGTTGTAAAAATTATACAGCTTCACGCTGCTACATTTTATTTAATTGCGATAAGAGACCGAGAGTTCGCACAAATAATTGGATAAATCTTAAAGTTCTACATATATATTTTATATATATATATGTATACATATATATTTTATATATATATATATATATGTATATGAGATAGACGTCTCGCAGTAGTCTGTCATTTACACAGTCTGTGTATAAAAGTCAATGTCAAATATAAAGATAAAAAGTTTGATCCGCGCTGTTATTACGCTGCATAGTAAATGGTAACGTTAATTGCTGGCGGCAAAAGAGCTCGCGCAGTTGGAATTATGAAATGTCTACTTTCTAAGATATTGCACTTATTCATTTCAGAAGAGAGAGAACGATTTCTTCGTCCGTGAAGAAACGTCAAATTGAAAGACCAATCTTAAAAAAATATATATATATACGAGCGTACAATTATATACAATCGGTTGATTAAAGCCAATCAATTCTTATTCGCCATGAATGAATTGTATCAATTTAATATTACGAAAGGGTCGTCCTTCTCTTTTTCTTTTTTTTTCTTTCCTCTTTCTCACGTTTCGAAAGCAAAATTCTTTTCATTATTATAAAATAATTAAAAAATGCTGTATACTTTTGTGTCCTTACATTTTTTACGTGTCTAGAGAGGTTTCTTCGCTAGATAAAATAAATTTATTTATTCTCTCTTTCTCACTTCCTCTCGACGAATAAGTAATTATGCGGAAAGCTAAATTTAATAGCGCAGCGGAGTTAGTATAATAAAGTAAATTTGAGAAAATTTCACATTGAAAGAGGCAAGAAAGACGCTCGCGCGTGGCGCATATCTTATATAAGGCTTCTCCCCTTAATCGAGAGAACTATTATATTACTGACGATAATCTAATTAAACTTATATAGAGCAAGCATAACTTTCTCAATTAGTGCGACTATTAATTGTACTTACCGCCTCGTCAAAATCGCGTTCCAATTCAAATTCATCATCGTCTGTTATATTCGTTAGATTCCGCACATCCGCATAAATCTGCTCCATATTCGGTTGTGCACTTCAATTCTGGAAATAAAATCTGTGTCAAAAATAAATAATAATAAAGCTATAATTAAAACCTATGCTCTTTCCAACTCCATTTCTTACTTTATTTACGCAATTTTTTATTTTATTGCTACACGGAGAGAATTTTCTCTTAGAATTTACCATGAAAAAGTATGGTAATCGTGGAATAATATATAATTAAACAATATTTAATATTTTGTATTAAAATAATTTTATGTGAGTTTTTCTGATTAAAAAAATGTATCACAATAACAAATATTAATATGTACGCATATATAGTAAAATTAATCAAACACATTTTATATATCTTATTGTGATAGATATATAAATATTTTTTATTATGATAAATATTAATCAGAGATATTTTTATAAAATTTTTCCAATACCATATATATGTATAATATATATATTGTCTCATGATTATCATAATTTTCCAAGTAAAATTTAAGAAAAAATTCTCTCTGTGATATAATAAACGGGACAAAGTTAATAAGTGTACGAGAAAAAGAAAGAGAAAATAAAGAAAATGACGAGAAAGTAAAGAAAGTTTTTATATGGCAAAAAATATAATGTGAAAAACTGCGGCTTGGAAATAAAATATTTGTATATTCGTATTCCCTAAAAAATCTGCCTAGAAACAATTCTGCTATATAATTGTAATTATAAAATTTACATATTATTTGCTCAGCATCGCCCCCCTTTTTAACAAAAAAAAAAAAAATGAACTCCACACTAGAGGTTAAATGTGAAGTTGTCAGAAATGTGCACTTTTTACCAGTAATTGAAGCAGCAACTCGACTCGAACTAGTCTTCTTCGATGCGGGAAACTGATACGGGAAAATGGTTTTCTTCGCGAATTTTCATTGTTACACAACAAACGGATCACTTTCGCGGGTCCCGAAATGCAACTTTGCAAACGTTGAACAATTCGAAATAACTGCAAAGTAACAAAAAAAATACCGCGAGCGCCATCTAGCGGACATTTTACTTATTAATTCGCTACCGCGTCGATAACTAGAGAAATCTAATATATCGACGATCCATGTTATATTTATATCGCAAAATGGTTAGGAATCAGATACACAAATATAGAGGTTAAAAATGTGTTTTACAAAAAAGCGAGTTTTAAATACACATTAGAGCAATCGTGAAGTATTATTCGACAGAGGTGAAATAAGAAATAAGTGTGAGATATTGAAATATTCGATTTTTGTTAAATTATTCGCTACATTAGTCGAGATGAATTATATCGTGATATCTCGTCCGGATAGACAAGAGTTGTTTATTTATAAATGATACCGAGATTATTGCTTCCGCTACATTTAATTGTTCCGTTATTATAAATTATAAATAATATTATAAATATTATAAAGAACTGACGCTGTTATTAAAGTATGGCAGACGTTGAAAATAGCAAGACCGACAATTTGTCGGAATTTGAGGTGAATCAGAGATCGATCGACAGGGCACCCTTTAAAAACTTGAAGATTAGTGACTCTGGGATATTAAATACGCTTGAGGGTAGAAAAACGTGCGAATTGTGTTGCAAATCGCGCAAGTTTTTCTGTTACACCTGTTATGTGCCTGTCATTGACAATTCATGTTTTCCACGTGTCAAGGTAATAAGATACATGCGATCGTACGACTTTCCTTAATTTACAATTAAAATTTGTGATGCAATTTGTCTCTTTCAGCTGCCAATTAAAATTGACATCATTAAACATGCTCACGAGATAGATGGCAAAAGTACTGCTATTCACGCTGTGATACTTGCTCCAGAGGATGTAAAAATCTATACGTATCCTGATTTTCCAGATATAACAAATAAAGAGGAAGTAAGAGGAAAAGTAACAATCCACTGTTGAGTCTTGTGATTCTTAAAAATAATTAACTTAAGGAGCTATCATCTCTCAGACGGTTTTAATCTTTCCTAGCAAAAGCGCACAAACTGTAAGCGTGGAGGCTCTTTTTGCAAAGAGGAGAGAGCAAAATGATATTCTGGCAAATGGAACCGAGTCTGTATTTCCTATAAAAAGAGCCATTTTTATCGATAGCACATGGCAGCAAACCAAAGCGATATACAAAGACCAAAGATTGAGAGGTATATGTTAAAAGAGAATCTATTTTTTATACGATTGTTGCGAGACAATATTTTAAATCGCTATTGTTTGTAAAATTTCCAACTTTTCACAGAACTACGTTGTGTCATTTTAAAATCGCGGATTTCTCAATTCTGGCGTTACCAAAAGAAGAGTCCAAGATGGTATTTAGCAACGATCGAAGCAATTCATCAATTCTTGGTGGAGTTACACACTTGTGCTCTTGGAGCGGAATATGTTGATATACATAATTCTTTGTTGGATAAAAAACAGAACTCTACGACTACTGACAAGGAAATGGAAGAATGTTTAGAAATTAATCAAAAGTACTGTGGACAATATGACAATCTCTTATATTTTTTCAAGTATATGTATGATAAAATTCACTCTATATACGATCATGATAAATTGCAGGCTTATAAAAGGCCGCTCGCGTGAAACTATTTTTTCTTAAAAGTGTTTTCTAATAAATAATTTCTTTTACATATATAAAAATAATTCGCTCCTTGCATATATTATATTTCAGATTATACATTTATCTTTTTTAACTCAATACGCTAAAAAATGAGAAACAGATATTCAAACGTAATTTTGCTTTCGTCATTCAAGTATTAGTAGGTTTTTATTTTAATTTTTTCAAATATGTATATATACGCACGATTGTTTTTTCAGGACAGAGAGATACTCTCGAGAATATTTCAACTCAATGTTTTAATTGCATAAGATACAGGTTAATCTACGTGTCAATATAATCCGCGTAGCGCATTGATATGGATAAAGATAAACAAAAATCTCTCGCATAGTACTCGATGTTTACTTTCGTAAGTAGGAGAGGGAGGCGGCACGGCACGGCGGTCGACGTGAGAATGACAGCTGCGCCATCTGACGTCAGCACGCGCTGTCAGTGGTCGACCCCTTCTCCCGCGCGCAGTCGTAGCGCTCTCGCGGCCGCCTGCGATGAGTTTAGTTTTGAAAACAAGAGGCCGATCGCCGCTCGCCGTGGTGGTACGTCGTCGTCGTCGTCGTCGTCGCCGCGTTTAGACGAGATCGCTCGGTCGCGAGCGCGGACGGGGATTATCGAAACGCCGCGTCGAAACGACCGTGGAGTTTTCTACGCGGCCCTCGATTCCTCTTTATTCGCACAGACATATCCGTCCATTCGTTCCTCTCTCTCTTTCTTTCCTCTCCTCTCCCAGCCATCCTTAAACGACTCCTACGCTCCTGGCGTCTCTGTTTCGTGTCGTTGTCGGGTGAAACGCGTTCAACGCGATTTATTAAAAAATGGACACCCTTCGAGAGCAGGTGATGATCAATCAGTTCGTCCTGGCCGCAGGCTGTGCCAGGGAACAGGCGAAGCAGTTGCTGCAAGCGGCACATTGGCAATTCGAGGTAAGGAAACGAATGTCAGAGGGAAGGAGAGAAGGGAGAAAAAGAAAAACAAAGGACGAGAGGGAGTGAGTTCTCTTAAACCCTTTTCTATATATACATGTAAATGTGTAAAGACGTGTTTAAGTGTGCGTGTGTGTATATGTATGTGTGACACTTGACAGAGTATGCCTCTGCCTCTGTGTATGTACACCGCTACGTAAACAAAGCGACGAAAATGGCCGATCGCCGCCTGGTTCTCGCTCGCGCATTCGGGACATTCTCGTCGAGGACGGGATTTGTGCGCGGAAAAAACGCGACGAGAATCCCGGCGAGGATCGATCTACCTCCGTTTTTCCTCGAGCACGCGATCCTCTGTTGTCATCCGATATCTTTGCCATCCTTCCTCGACGCGACGTCAACGAACGCACTTGTCTGTTTCGCGCTTCATTCATCAAAACCTCGCACGATTGTTCGCATCGCAATGCGATAGATTGAAGAAGAGAAAAAACGAGGGAGTACGATCGCTCGTAATATCATCGTAAAAACTCTGTTTATTATAGTTCTTGCTTTTTTTCACGTTCGCGTCTTTATCCGATAACGGCGCCACAGTCGCCGTAAACGTAATCTATTATCGAACAACGCAAATGTAAATAGTGCCTCGCGTTCTCATATCGTCATTTGTCAGTCGGCGAGTTTTAAATACCGGTTTTTAAATCCCGCTTCGCGATCAATCTCGTCCCGACGAGGCCGCGTGTTCGAAAAATCCGTCCGTGAGAAAAATCGAAAATTAATCTCCCTAATTATACAATGCATCGCTTTCATTTCACTTTCGGATTGCGGTAGGGCAGTTTCTTTTCATCCGTCTAGTTCTGGTATATATATCTATCTTTCTCTCTCTCTCTCTCTCTCTCTCTCTCTCGACGACCTGCACGACTGCATATCGTCGGTCTCGTCATTGCGCAACAGGATTATATATCGTTGCTGATTCATCAGTGATACGTATTTCCTCGGTATACGGTATCATCGGGACACGTGTCGAGTATCGATCATCGTATTATGCTACAGACGCGCGATTATCGCCGGAAATTTATGTGGCCGCGATTTATACAGTCCGCCTTTTTTTTTTTTTTTTTTATTTTATCATCAAATAATCGACTCGAATTCTCTCTTGATTTAGGGCTCGTGTCACTCTATTGTGTTGTTCTATCGGAGTAATGTCAACACAATCGCAAAGCGTAATCGAAAGGGATCGATAATTGCTGTTTACACGTTGCGAGTTACACGGTTTTTTTTACACCCGTCTTGTTATAAGATGACATTATGTATATGCGATAGAAACCGGAATATTGATGTAAATTCGAGCTAATTATTCAAATCGCTCGCTAATAACTATTTATTTATTGACAATAGAATCGTCACAGCTGATGTAAATGTCAATTTTTCCATATCTATGAATAGAGAATTAAATTAGTCGAAAATTTATGTCGATTTTACTTTACACTCTGAAAGTGGAAACACGATACTTGTTTTTATTTTATACTTTAATTTTTTTTTTTGGAAAAAATATTTTCATAGGGGCACTAATTAATTTAATTGGTTATCGAAAAATATCTCTGTAGAAATTATTTTTTTTAATATAACGTTTATTACATTTAATTGTAATTACATTAATTAGACTTAAATTAATCAAAGTGTGACTCATAATGTTTAGATCATTATGATACGTCAGAACGTGATAATTCATTTGTTTTGAAAATATGATGATTAAAAGACGAACAAAATAAAGTCATAAATACGTAATATTGTTTCTTTTCAGCGATAAGTCTGACAAAATACAAGACCGATTCTTTATCGTAAAAATATTGCAAAGATTATTATTAAAATGTATGATTATTTTTAACATTATTAAGACATTAAAAAGATCACGCGTAAGATTATTGATTTCTTATCATGATTTTATCTCTCTCTTCGTAATCTTATTTTTTTAAGTGTAAAAATTATGACGTAATTGTCACAAATTGTGCTATACAAATCGCTTATTATTATTGTTGCTACACGGAAAGAATTTTCTCTTAGAATTTCACTGTAAAAAAATATGTAATATATTGCATAAAAATATGTAAAATTACACGATAGATAATGAAAATATGTTGTACAATTTCATTATTTATAATGTAATTTTACACTTATTACTTATATTACAATTTTACATATTTTTTATGTAATTGTATATTTTTTTAATGTTACCCTGAAAATTATGGTAATTATGAGACAATATTGGAGGAATTTTATAAGACTTCCTCTGATTAATATTTATCACAAATAAAAAATATTAATATGTACATAGTAAAATTAATCAAACATATTTCACAACCTATTGCAATACTAATCAAATATTAAATAAAGGGAAAAGCGAAATTTTAAAATATATTTAGCTATATTATTTATAAAATATAGATTATATATACGAAGAGAATTTTATCTGATTAAAATTTACCACAAAAAAATATTAATATGTACATAGAAAAATTAATCGAACATATTTTATATCTACCATGGTAGATATTAGGTAATATTTTTATTGTGAATATTAATCACACATAGAAACTCTCATAAAATTCTTCCGCAATACTATATATTGTTCTACGATTCTCATAATTTTCAGGATAAATTCTAAGAAAAAAAATTTTCTCTGTGTATAAATAATGATGTAAAGGGGGAATGAGATAGAGAAAAAAAAAAGTGAGAGAAAGAAAGAAACAATGTTACGACACACTAATGCGCTAATGCATCACCGTGATTAGAGTTTAGCGCGAGGAATCTTTCTGTATGCTTTGTAACCACAATGTAAACAATGCGGCAACGTATATTTATACACGCGCTTAAAGGAACTCGTCTCTCATCTCCTCGTGTTAGTGTCAACTCGATGTAGCGCGATATATACAGGGTGTCTCCCCCTTATTGTATCACAAAGTTTCATTTCAATAGATTGTATATCTCAAGTATGATCTCCTATATACTCGTGGTTTCGCGATATTAAAACGTCGCGTCGGTAAATATTTATATTACATACACACTTGCGATAATCGATTTTAGATGCTTTCTCATATAATGAGAGTCGCATATTAAATTTCTAATGCACGCCGCAAAGCGGTTGCATATAAGATATATAGATAATTAGACACGCCAATTTTCTCCACTCGAGAACTTTCTCCGCTCGAGCGAATCGGAGCGTTTTAGCGGAATCATTTTATTCGCCCATTTTTTTATTTCGCGATTAAAGCCCGTACTATAGAAATAAAAAGTACAAATATTTTTCAGCTCTATAATCGCAAGGCTAAAAGATGCTTTTGAAAAAAAAATAATAAAGGCTATCGATTTTTAAAATAAAAGGAGTAGTAAGTATATACACAGAGAGGATTTTCTCTTAGAATTTACCTTGAAAGTCATGAAAGAATTGGAAGAATTTTATAAATTTCTCTGATTAATATTTATACCACAATAAAAAATATTAATATCTACCACAATAATATATAAAATATATTCGATTAATTTTATTAGTAAAATTTACTGTGTACATATTAATATTTTTTATTGTAGTATTAATCAGAGAATCCCTTATAAAATTCTTCCAATTATCATGATTTTCAGAGTAAATGCTAAGAGGAAATTCTCTCCGTGTATTAGTCTCAAATAAATATATTGAGTATAATTACGCAATTGCGATGTAAATAATTGTACATGTGATAATTACTATTATTATATTGTTTTTATGTCGATCAATTACCGCACTGATTACTTTTTACATTAATTACGTAATCTGTTTTAATGTAATGAAATTAAAAATTCGCCAAAAATTCATTTAATTCAATTAAGTCTTGTTTTCCTATACCTCGCGTTAAATATATTTTAGTTTTGTTTTACCGAGTATATAAATTTATTAAATTCATTTTTACGTGCTGCAGCAAAAGCTGCGGTCTATACATTTTGCGTTGCAATCTTCCTCATTCTTTCGATCTTTTTTCTTTATTGGCGAAATCCAATGGGGGAGGGTTACTTTTTTTTTACATATACAATATGACAATAAACACAGCTGAAAATAGCAAACACTTATATGCAGCTTTTATGTATCCCTTTCGCTGCAACGGCGTGTTTCTAACCGAAATATAAAACGCGTTTTCTTACCACGCTGGCCTATTACACATTCTTATGCTAATGTCTTCGATATATCCGACTATCGAGTATCACCGGCCATTTTAATTAAACACCGGTTGGTTGAATGTCATGGTATATTGTGTAACGCATTCTCCTTTTAACAGGCGTTAAACTAGTTTATTCCGACTTAATTCGTAAACACCACCGCTCCACCACGATAAAGTTACATTTATTTGTCTAATTCATCATTTATTATATTTCATTGTTAAGGCTATTTTTTATTTAGTTTTATTATTTAATTGTTAAAGCCATTTCATTTTCACAAATATGTAAATTCATTTTAGATAAGACGGAAGATGATTGTGTTTTAAATATATAAAAGATATAATTATATATATATTATAAAAGGGATATAAAAATATATGTATATGTATTCATATTTTTATTTATAAATTTTTATCGCTTACTGCTTAAGTTCTATTATTCTAAACCAAAATTATCTGAAAATTGCTCTAGATAATTTAGTAAAGATAATATTTTTTATTCAATTTTATTATTTAATTTGACATTGTGTTGTGTAGTTGCCAGATGTAGAAAATATCGGAGCAAAGTCTGTTTACGGACAATTATCGTTACATTAATAATATAATAATTGATAATTGACCTAACGCTGAGACCTATCATCGCGTTACAATTGTTATCAGCAATTATCGGAGATATGGCTCTTGGTGAGAGAGTGCGATGGTATGGATATCCGATATCGGCCTCCAGGATCGGATATCGATGCTATAAAGCATCGGACGATACTGACGAAGCAGCTTACGATTCCGAGATTGCGACGGTCGGTTTAATGACAGAGGCTCACGGATGTGTAATACACGCAGTGTTATGTGCTTAGATAATTCTATTTTGCTATAGATTAAGACGAGATAAAAATATGTAAATTTATTTTAGATGAGACGAAGATGATTGTGTTTTAAATATATAAAAGATATAATTATATATATATATATTATAAAAGGGATATAAAAATATACATATGTATATGTATTCATATTTTTATTTATAAATTTTATCGCTTAATGCTTAAGTTCTATTATTCTAAACCAAAATTATCTGAAAATTGCTCTAGATAATTTAGTAGAGATAATATTTTTTTAATCTAAGATGCAGGTATAGATATAATACATATTTTTATTATATCTGTATAAAGATAAGATGTCGGCAAAGTTTCATTCAGATGATCATCTATATAATTTGATTTAGATAACAGTAAACATTGGTAATACAAATATGTAATGGGCATTTCTTATTCGACCCTCCTTCTCGCAGTTTCTAATCATAGAGATGACTGTACACAATCTCTCGCCTTCGATGAAGAGCGACGCGCTAAAATTAGAGATGCAGATATATTCTAATCTTTATGTCAATGTATTTTATACTGTTCCAACATGTGACAGAGATCGGTCTAATATATAGAGGGGAAAAGGAATGTGCTAAATAATTCTTCCGTAAATTGAATTTCAAAATTATAAATGAATATCAAATTTCAATCTCTCTCGAATATTAAATTGAAATCAATTTTCAATCAATATCAATCTATCTTTTTCTCTCTTCGCGAATTTTAAACCGAATATTATTTTAACAGAGAGATATATAATTTTGAATTTCAATCGACAACATTTATATTTAAAACGAAAAGACCCGTCAAAATAATTTCCAATTTCAAGTTTGCATCCGAGAACGATATTCTATGATTAACTTCATCAGAATTATAATATCGGTAATATTTTATTAATATTATTTTATCTCTCGTGCGACGTTATATAGGAAGGGAATACATATTGTATATTCGCAAATTTGATTATGCTATAGGCAATTCTGTTCCTGTACACAGAGAGAGATTTTTCTCTTAGAATTTACCCTGAAAATCACGGTTAATTATTTACCACAATAAAAATATTAATATCTACCACAATAAGATATAAAATATGTTCGATTAATTTTACTATGTATGTATTTATATTTTTTATTGTGGTAAATATTAATCAGATAAAATTCTCTTTGTGTATATAATCTATATTTTATAAATAATAATATATAATTAAATATATTTTATAAATTTCCCTTCACATCCATATTTTTATAGGAAATATTAAAGACGAGCACACATTAATGATAAAATGTGTAATTCAAGTGTGTAAACAAATCAGTTTCGTTTATTCATTTCGACATTTATACGAATAAAGAAATTCAGATATTTAATATTTGATTAATATTACAATAAGATATAAAATATGTTCGACTAATTTTACTATGTACATATTAATATTTTTTATCGTGGTCAATATTAATCAGAGGAACTTTTATAAAAATCTTCCATATATTATCCCATGATTTTGAGGATAAATTCCAAGAGAAAATTCTCTCCGTGTATATAATCTATATTTAACGAATTTTCCTTTACACCTATATTTTTTATAGAAAATATTAAAGACGAGCACACATCAATGATAAAGTGTATAAATCAGTTTCTTCCATTCATTACGCCATTATGTGAATAAAGAAATTTATCAAGGATTAATATTCGATTAATATTACAATAAGAATATGTTCAACTAATTTTCCTATGTACATATTAATATTTGTTATCGTAATAAATATTAATCAGAGAAACTGATATAAGATTCTTCCGTAATATCGTCCCATGATTTTGAGAATAAATTCCAAGAGAAAATTCTCTCCGTGTATATAATCTATATATAATGAATTTCCCTTTACACCTATATTTTTTATAGAAAATATTAAAGACGAGCACACATCAATGATAAAGTGTATAAATCAGTTTCCTCCATTCATTTCGCCATTATGTGAATAAAGAAATTTATCAAGGATTAATATTCGATTAATATTACAATAAGAATTGTTATCGTGGTAAATATTAATCAGAGAATCTGATATAAAATTTTTCCACAATATCGTCCCATGATTTTGAGGATAAATTCCAAGAGAAAATTCTCTCCGCATAGTTGAATATGAATCGCCGAGTTATCAAGTTTATATCGAAACTTGCTCAAAGCGATGCGGCTTCTCCGCGCTAGATATAAAAATATATCAGCCTCTTTACTCTAAGGTACGAAGCCTAATCGATGATATGTGACAAATCGATGTGCCTTTTTCTGTTGCAGACCGCTCTCAGTATCTTTTTCCAAGAGGCGGCGATACCCAGCTGCGCGCAAGGAGCCGGCACCCACTTCGGCCAAGTAAGTCCCAGGGTGTCTAACAATTGGGAAAATCTCGAAAACAAAACATTTTTACTATTTGTCTGCATTTTTGCACATTATTCTACATTTGTCTCAATAATTTGACATTTTTTATTAAATAAATATCAACTTTTTCCTTTATTAAAAATCGATTCATCTACTCGTGTTATTTGATTCAATGTGTTTGATAGAACAAAACTAAAAAAAAAAATTGATATAACATGAAAAAAGGTGACTATTGAAATATTTATAGTGACATGTTTGTTTCGATTATCGTATACATAATGCAGATTGTATAATTGATTATTCAAATTTTTGTTTTTTTTAACTTCCGAACCTTTTCATTGTTGACAAAAATACCTCAAGGATTTCACGATTTAACATTTAATTGACTTATTACATAGATATTATACAAATTATATATTTGGAAAAAATAATACTATAAAAAGTCAGGGAATTTTCGTCATTGAGTCTGCTGGACACCTTGGTTTACTCTTTTCTCTCGACTTCTTACTCCTTTTCGTGAACCGACGAAAAGCATGTAAAAGGCGGTAACCATGTTCTATATCTGCGCCTTCTCTGCAATCAATGAGTTCTATTTCCGCGTCGGCGAGTCGCCTCGTCTTCCTTTAGATTTAGAACGTATATACGTACGTTTTCTACGTAACTGTGTGAGTGAGAAACACATGCAAAATTCTAAATAAGGAACAGTCTTTTGCTAGATTATACATTCTCATAACACGCGAAATCACGCTTCGAAGTATAATACAAGTCAAAAATATAATTGCATTTGATCCCGGCCAAGTAGGTCATAGAAACATGTATTAGTTTGGATATTTTTATACACACGTGCTTTTCATTGCCTGTAATATTTATCGCATTAAATATATATATATCTCGATATACAACGACACAATATTTATCTATGACGGGATTGATATTGATGCTAATTCGGAGTACACAACAACACACTATTATTTATAACCAATATTGATTTTCGCTGTGACATGTGATTACATCGCATTGAAGACCCACTCTAAATCATTCACAGGTTTCACTCGCAAAGTTTAGTCACTTATATTATTACCATATTTTCTGAGAGAAGATAAAGGACAAATTCCTGAGAGTTTTTGGACCTTTTTTTATCATGTTTTCAAATCAGTTTGGGACCAAAGTGCACGCAGAGAGAATTTTCTCTTAGAATTTATCGTGAAAATCATGGTAATCGTGGGACAATATGATATTGGGAGAATTTATAAGTTTATTTTTATTTTATTTTTTTTATTTATTTTTTATTGTAAATATTAATCAGAGAAATTCTTATAAAATTCCACGATTTTCAGGGTAAATTCCAAGAGGAAATTCTGTAGTGCAAATTGACGAACAAAAAAATCATTCCGTGACTTCGATTACGTTGTTTTCGCATACAAATTCTCATGTTAATACGACATTAGGCATTAAAACGCTAAAATAAAGGATAACATTGAGTTTTGAAAAAATGAATAAATCTAAAGGACAGCTATTTTTTCAAATGACACCCCATATACATTCTTCGCGCGCATACGTATTGAAAAATATTTCTTCTCGAGAGAACGTATTTTGTTTACCCTTTTCTTACCTTAATTTCCCGATGAAATAAAATTATGGAGATATCAATTAAAATTTTAATTCGCTCGTGTATTGTATAAAACAACAAATGTATTCACAAAAGGCCAACTTATCGAGCAATATTTAAGATGTATCCAATTAAAATTTATTTCATAATATATTGAAATTACAATTTGGAAGGTTTTTTGTAATTTCAATATATTGTTTATGAAATAAATTTTAATTGGATACCTCTTAATTATCGCTCGATAAGTTGGCCTTTTGTAAAAATTATGGAGAATTTGGTCGCGTTTTTTGCCGCTAATAATCCCACGTAATCCGACGTAACGCGGTTACTACGTCGTTAAAAGAAATGTTTTTTCGGTAGACTCGGCAGCGAGCGAGTCGCGTGGGCCGACTGTGTTCTCATCTTATTGATTATTCAAAAGTAGGTTCGCAACAACGTGCGGCGAAAGAGGAAAGAGCGATCAGCGTCGTCGGAGAAAGAGAGAGCGAGAGAGACGGAGCGATCAAATATCCGGGCTGCCGATTCACGAAAACGCGTCTCTTCTTCCGTCTCTCTCGTCGCGCCATCCTAATGTGCATAAACACAGGGGGAAAATCGATTGTAGCGCGTGTTTGACCTTCACGGGGTGACTGCCGCCCCTTCCGCAACTATTTATGTCGCTCTCCCTGATTAATTACCCGCTCTGTCTCTCTCTCGTGAACGTCTTTGTTCCGCATTATTTTATTTTGTTGCACAAGGTCGCCGTATATATAATACGATGACAACTTTGAGATGACAGGAAGAGAGAGAGACAGAAGAAGGGTTTGGTTGTGCGTGTTTTATCTTCTCATGCATCATCATCCTCGACCAAAAACGCCAGACTTCGAGTCTTCTGGAATTTACCCTGATAATCATAATCATGGTAATCGTGGGACAACATGAACAATTTTGTAAGAGCATCTCTGATTAATATTTACCACAATGAAAAATATTAATATCAATTTTATTATGTATATAGTAAAATTAATCGAGTATATTTTATATCTTATTGTGGTAAATATTAATATCAGAAAACTCTTAGAAAATTCTTTCTTAGAAAATTTTCTCTTAGAATTTACCCTGAAAATCGTGGTAATTCTGGAATTTTATAAGTGTTTCTCTGATTAATATTTACCACAGTAAAACATATTAATATATATAAGTTTTATTATGTATATAGTAAAATTAATCGAGTATATTTTATATCTTATTGTGGTAAATATTAATATCAGAAAAACTTTTATAAAATTTTTTCTTAGAAAATTTTCTCTTAGAATTTATCCTGAAAATTGTAGAATTTTATAAGTTGATTAATATTTACCACAGTAAAAAATAAATAAATAAAAATAAATATATAAAATAAATATGTGGTAATTTTATATTTTAATCAGAAAAACTCTTATAAAATTCCAATACCATATTGTCTCACGATAACCATGATTTTCAGGGTAAATTCTAAGAGAAAATTTTCTCTGTGTGGGTAGATTTCTATATATTGCCCTCTTGCGGATGCACAATTTGATATATATATATATATATGTAGTTTATTCTGGTAACCTCTGGCTCTCAAGATTCGCGTGATCTGCCAGCTATTTTTTCCTCATGTTTTCCTTTAATAAGGTTCAATGCTCTATACACCGTGTTCATTAATAAATGCTAACATGGCGAACGTTCTTGCGAGAAATTGAAGTCATATTTCCTAGAAATTCATATACATAAATATATAGTTTTCGAGATGTGATTGATTCAAATAAAAATAGCATTGCGACTTTTTTACAAAAAAATATATATATAAAAATTGAAACGATTGTGTAAACTGCGAAACCGTGTGATTATTTGATTGAACTTGAGTCGAGAAAGAATGTTAGCTTTTTCGAAGAAGAAAAAACTTTCCGTTTATCAAATGTATACTTATTACCTAACATACTATATACGTTACTACGGCATTTCCTGGCAAAGTTGCCGCATTCTGAACTTTGATATATCTTTCTTCAGCTTTCGGATAGATTTATAACGTTAAACAAAAAGCAGAAAAATATGAGTCTGTGCTCGATAATTTTCAAATTTACGATATAATGTATTTCATATTCTACATTCTCAGAATATCAACATTATACAATCAATTGTATTAGAATTTAATTGCCTGAAAATTATATACATATACGTATCGACGAATGAAGGGAATTGACAAAATCAAGATTAATGATTTTTCGATTAATTAATTAAGAGAATATTAACATCGTATAATAGAGTAAAAATAATGAAATTCTTGCCCGAGATGTTTTTAAATAATCGGCGTTTATGTATAAATAAATCAGAAATCTCAATCTCGGAAAGACTCGGGAAACCAATTAGCAAAATAACGTAGAGGGATATCAATATCGACTTCTTTATTTAGCTAGTGATATCGAAGTGAGACGATGACGATGATACGATCTCGGAAACAAGACAAGACAAAGGAGAACCGCTGTCGACGAACATTCGCTGGTAGTATAGGTGTGTTACTATTCTCGGGCACATTCCGATAAGTTGTGTGCCAAATTTCGGTCCACAAGACTGGACGGAGACGTACACTGCCTCCAGATGTGCTTTTATTTATTTGATTTTTTTTATTAGCACATCTGCCCTCCAATTGATTCCACATTCTTATCTCGTTCGTTCGTGCACAGAGAGAATTTCTCTTAGAATTTTCATTACGAAAATCATAGTAATCGTGGGACAATATGGTATTGGAAGAATTTTAGGAGCTCCTCTGATTAAATATTTTTACCACAAAAAATATTAATATCTTTACCACAATAAAATATCAAATATCTACGTGTTAATATTTTTATTGTGGTAAATATTAATCAAAAAAACTCTTGTAAAATTCTTCCAATTGTCATGATTTTCATGGGAGGAAATTCTAAGAGAGAAGAATTTTAGGAGCTCCTCTGATTAAATATTTTTACTACACAAAAATATATCAATATTTTTACCACAATAAGATATCAAAAATCTAAGTGTTAATATTTTTATTGTGGTTAATATATTGTGGTAATTAATCAGAAAAACTCTTGTAAAATTCTTCCAATTATTATGATTTTCATGGGAGGAAATTCCAAGAGAAAATTCTCTCCGTGTACATTTTGTACAACTTTTATAATCCATCCAATTTTAAAGGAACAAAGGCTTTCATTAATTATATAGAAATGTATAGCTCTTAATTGTATTCATTTTATTTTACGTTTTTTTGTAACAAGTATGATCTAATTTAAGTATGTTAATGTGAAGTTTAAGTTTGAAAAATATGAAGAAAATTATCTGTATAATTATATTATAGAATCTTCAATGTTTTTATTCAATAGAATATAATAAAAACACTCTACTCTTTGCGATAAAAAAATAGAATAAAAAACAGTGAAGGAAATCACGTACAAAATGCAAGATTGAGAGTCCGCAATTTTCCACGAATCAAATTGGCGAATCTAACGAGCAAAAGAACGCACGCCGCATATTTATTAGCCCTTTCACTTTCCATTTTTCTCGTTAAATGACGATTGAATCATGTACAATGTTATAAATAAAAGAATAGTAACTCTTAGCAAAAAGTAGAAGCAAAAGCGTTTTTCTTTTTTCTAATGACATTTTAAAGAGCATAGAAATACTATGAAAAATTATTCATACAAAATGTAAGACGCTTTAAAGGTCTTTGCGCAATGCCAGGCAACAGAAAATAAATAGGGAATATATGGAAATAAGGAATTTCAAGCATGTTATCTATCAATGCAACATGGAATAACACAGATAATAGACATAGAATTTCCATCGCGATCACAGCATCTGAATTTTTCAAATTATATATTTACGAACTTTTGACAACTTTGTATATACACTGAAAAAAATATTTATGTAAAATTACATGATTAAGCTAGGTTTTTTTCCGACTCAGCATAATCATGCAATATTGATACTTACATGGAAGATTACAGATTTATATGTAATTTCATATGAAATATATTCTTAAATATTTTCAAGATTAAAAATATTTCACTGAACATGTAATTACACATAGGAAATGTTAGGAATGTATAAATGCTATAAAATAATGTTATAAATAAAATAGATAAATACTTATAAAATAAAATTCTAATAAAGTAAAAATGGTAAACTTAAAATTACATATGATTTTTGCATAAAAATAGTAATTTTATCTATATTTTACATGTATTTTTACATTAATATGTATTTTCACTTTAAAACAAATGGAAAAAAAATTACAATGATAAGCAAGTAATTTTTTTTTCATGTAAAAGTACATGGATTTTTTTCAGTGTATTATTTGAATTGTTTCGAAGAAGAAAAAATGTATATATATATCTTACTTTGTTCGATGAAAGCCTTAAAACGCATTAATATTTAATTCACAGCAAGAATCTAAAATACATAAAAATTTGTAAAACGTAAATATGTTACTTTGACACTTTGATATATTTTCTTATAAAGACTAAAAAACAGCCGACAAAATTCGAAAGTTCTGATTCGCGTCTCATTGTGCATCGAAGGCGATAATTTCTTATTCTTTATTTTCTGTTGCTTGGACCTGTTGTGCAAAGACCTTTAAAGCGTAACCCACATTTCGTATGAATAATCATAATATTTTTAATAAATAAATGATCGAAATGTGCTCTGTCGTTTAGTCTAACGAGGCTGATTCATTCGATATAAAAATGTTGAAAAATACGGGCGCGACAATAACTTTGTGAAAGAAATAACCTTGTGAATGGTGTCGTAGCTGGTGTTATTTAATAGTCGCTTATCGGCCGCGGATTATCATCACAACTGGTGGTCGTTGCCACTAATACACGTGTTGCCCTTGTATTCTTTGATCACCGCACCCGTCTACCTGCCTGCCTCTGATGTCACATGCAGAAGTCGAAAGTTCAACGAACTCATTGTATTCTAGCTGCTGGCTCTTTCTTCAGTTGCCTCGATAGTTCATTTTCCGTCACTTTGTTGAATCTAATCTCCTCAGTCCAAAGTATGCATTTTTTATTTTCTTTTTATGCTGGTATTTTTCTCAATAAACATGTTTTGTAAAAACATTATTTAACGAAAAAAGATGTATATATATCGTTAAAATTGGAAATATATAGAATTTCTAGCTTCTCAAGAAAAGAAAAGAAAATAAAAGAATAAAATAATTGGACAGGAATCCCAGATAGCATAAGCATACGTCATTTTAACGTTTTAGCTATTATAATTATAAAGATTTAATGTGAATTTTTAGCAAAGATTTTTTTAAATACTTGTAAAAAAACCTGTTTTTTTTTATACTTGCAGATAACGCCGTGCAACACGCCAGCCACTCCACCGAATTTCCCGGATGCGTTGCTGGCGTTTTCCAAAATGTCAGCCGGTGAAAAAACTCCTTCAGGTAAGAATTTGATTATTACAGTTATTTATACACCAAAAATTTTTTCTTAGAATTTACCCTAAAAATTATGGTAATCATGGGACAGTATGGTATTATAAGAATTTTATGAGTTTCGCTGATTAATATTTACCACAACAAAAAATATTAATATCCATCACATAATAAGATATAAAATATGTTCAATTAATTTTACTATGTACATATTAAAATTTTTTTTTTTTAATTAGTAATTTTACTGCTGTCGAATCAACATCTTGAAAGTTACACTTGAAAAGGACCCGTACCTAAGGGTCGAAACGTAGTGTTTCTAATTAAATTGTACTGACCAGTTAGGTCGAAATTTCAATAAATTTGTATGGTTTTACTCATCACTGGCGACTTCATTAATTTTATCGTTATTAAAATTTTTTATTGTGATAAATATTTAATCAGAGAAACTCTTATAAAATTCTTCCAATACGATATTGTCCTATGATTATCATGATTTTCACGGTGAATTCTAAAAAAAATCCGTGTATACGAGTAGCTTTATTGTTGAGAAAAGCAGCGATCAACCCTATCATTTTCTTCATTTACGTCACATTTCTAATATTTTTTTTTCTTAGCAGAATACTGATAAGCAGTCAAGATAGATTATATCGTTACAGTATGATTAGAAAGGAATAAGCAAAAGCACCATGTTATATAAAGTAATTTTATACGGTATTCTACAGTATTGTTCCACTATTTATAAACGATTGTATATTGGTGTCTGTATGTTGCAGGCATGTCTCCGAGCCAGAACGGATTGCAAACGAACTCGGCAGCGTCGAGTGTCGTGCAGCATCATGCCGTGAGCGGTCGGTGTAGCGCATCGGGCAACGCGGCGCAGCAACAGACGCAGCCGCAGCAGACGCAATTTGGCCTGGGCGAGCCGCAGAGATAAGAGTGACTTGTGCTAGTCGCGAACGCGAAACGTCACGTAGATGACGCGCGATAACGTTTCCGGAGCGCGAGTGGTGGTGCTCCGAGCATAGAAGAGAAAGAGAGAGTCGAGAATTCAAAACACACGGGAGAGAAAAAATTCATTTTTTTTTCGAGGGAAAATCAGATTTCCTTCCCGGAAGAAAGGACAGAATACGCACGACTACAGGGAAAAATATCTTTATTGGATTAGAATCGGATTATGTGCTATTGAATTGTTGTTACGTTATCCGCGCACAATATAATAGCAAAGTGTATGTATGTGTGTATATGTATGTATGTATGTGTATTGTACCTGCATAATGTGCGAGTGAGTGATGTCACGTATCATCGGATGATACGTATCTCGATTGCTTTTTCCCGGCTTCTCCGAGAGAGCATCCGAACTTGGAATAACGCGTCGAAGAATCTGACACACACATGTATACACATACATACGTGCGAACATGCGAAAACGTGCAAGGCGATAGAGAAGAGATGAGAATTAGGATTTTCTTCCCTTTTCTCTGACACGTCGGGACCATGCATACCGTTCCAGGTAGCAAACTGATGTCATTCGACGTCAAAATGAATTTGACGTTTAATAATGTCAATTTGCTACCTGGGGTTTTGGGGTAGGTCCGAAACTGTCAAAAAGACATTAATAATAATCCTGAACGATCGCACTGTAAGAAGAAATGGCCTCCCGCTCCGAAATCCAGCCTCCTTGGTCCCTATATACTATAGATAGTGGCTGTTCCTTTAGGATTCACCGTACACCACCGTTAGACTAGGCAACAAATTTTCGCTATCACTTCCACGTCACAGTACAAAAGAAGAGAACTGCGAGAGTTTCTTCGATTCTTGGAAGAATCGTCTTGGAAGAATCTTTATCGCACACTTTTCGCGAAAATTGATGAAAAAATTGCATATTTTCAACGAGGATGAAAGACAACATCCGAAGACATTTCATTTTTGAATCATGGAATTCTCGAACTGGTTTATGATCCTTTTACTGTTCTCCTAAAATAGAGTAACGCTTGCAATTATTCACGCGAACGCGTGTACGTCGTATATTCCGTTCCCATAAGCGTACTGATATTTCGAAGGTATATAATAAATATACCAGGCTAAATATGATAAACGGATTTACCATGTAAAAATTTGTAAAAAGGATATCTCGAATTGTGTAATTCCATTGGTCTTACATATAGTAATTAATTTACACGTAACTGAAAAATAAAATCCGAGTGATAAAGAGTATAAGCTCGAAAAAAAATTGACGCCTCAAAAACAATATGCCTGGATTTTTTGCTGTCATGATAAGTGGTAAAGAATTCTCGAGTTGATGATTTCGTCGACTATCGTACATTGTGAGCACAGAACTTGGAAAATATTATTCCGTTTTTTATGCAACACTAGACTTCACGACGTTGACACAAATGCTCTTATATGGCAGCTCTGGCAATACGATTCTACCTGATGTAGTTGTATATCGGAATATATATCGAATTCTCTATATCTTTCATTATATTTCTTGTGACATAGATGGACATCCATACTATATATATATATATATATATACATAGATACATATATATATATTTGTTTTATAAATCTCTATTCTTTTTTGTAGTGCGAATTTATATAGGTATTTTTCTCCCTTTATAGCTCTTTAGAAATCTCTTTCCAATTAAAGTGATAACCAGAGAATTCTTTATTCTTTATAATCGATTTATATATCGTATATCTGACGGCAAAGTGTCTTTACGAACGCAATGTAATCAATTTTTGTTTTATTTGTAATCGTAATAGTGATCTCGATGACGATAATGACAAAAATCGGAATCTTAGCTGGGTAATTTAATTTTCAATCATGCGATCGAAATTCGAATATCCAGGCGTCGAGTATACAGCTTTATCTCTGTGAATGCGCGTTTATGTAAATAATAGTAGATATTAGTTATATTAAGAAAAAAAGAGAACTTTGCGAGAGTATGGCGAAATATTTTTTCCAGTAAGGTACACGCTTTAAATACCTTCCTTATGTTTGTGTAATATGTGTAGGCTGTATTTAAGATAAAACACTATCGATGAGAACGAAAATATTTTACTATGTTGAAATTATATAATTATTGTTTATTTGACTATTACAAAGACAAATAATGGTCGTGTACATAATTTTGGAGAATTAAATAAAATATTAATAATGATGCTTTCTTAGCCTCGTGGTCTAGTTTCACTGATTACCTTTGTACTTTAGAGATCGAGAGAGCGAAAGCATCCGCTTCCGTATATTACAAAACAACTATTAAATTAATAATGATACATAAGTGTATATAATTGACGATTTGATCTTAGGAATAATTTAAAAATCACTTCCTCCACGCGCGACAAATTAGAATATTAATTTATGTTACATAGCGATAAGATATTTAAAACTGGTAACTGGTATCTCGATATCACTTATACTGTCAATACTTGTCGAGTATTTTATCACTGTATAAAATGTTACATCGATAGACCGAGCGTGTTATGCTATCAATAGCGCTCGCATTTTCGCGATATGAATAAAAAGTGTATATGTACATCGATTACGTAATTATTGCGTATAAAATTGCGTATCTTAAATCACATTTATTCCGGTGGTATTTCGACGCTTCTACCTAAACCCGACCATCTGTCCGGTACCGGCAGAAAGTAACGATGCATCGCGGCGATAAATCTAGCGCGATATTCCTCCGGTGAGATTATCGTTGGTAATTTGCCCTGGCCTCCCAGAATACCAGATTTTTTCACCATAGTTTCCAGCTTTTTGTCCCAAGTAAACGTTCTTATGTAATCTATTCATGATGAAAGAGATAACAGTGTATAAAATCGATATTGTTCGACACAAATGTTTCAGAATTGGCGAAAAAGTTTTTAATGGATTCCTGGTATCATTTGAAAACGATTTTTCCTCGGCGAAAATGTCGAGCTACCAATAATTTTCAAATTATAAGCGGTTGAAAATAAAGAAAACTAAGCCTTGTGGAAATAAAATATCAACAAAACTACCTTCTTTAGTTAGTTTCAAGTAGAGTTTACTTGAATAGAATTTTAATTTGATTTAGTTATAAAGAAGCATAATGATGGCAAAAAGTGAGAACCTGCAAAAAAATGATGGCTTCAACATTTCGCTGAGGAAAAATCGTCTCCACATAATAGCATCTGCCATTAAGAACTTCCAATTCTGAAACATCTAGTATATATATATAAGATCTAGTACATATATAAGATCGCGCTTACCTATTATACCGAGCACGAGCTCGTCGGAGCTTGGCTCCAAGCCTACCAATAACGAATAGTCCATTACAGAGTTGTTCGCTAAAAACTTGGTGTCTTGTTCGATGGCTCGGTTCAATACAGCCTTAGAATGCGATCTGATGTACAAGGGAGAGTCGCAGCTCACTGAAATGCGAAACGCGTAACATTTTGCGCAAACAAATACACGCATACATTCGGTAAATCATATTCGGAGAAAATAGATACGTACTGTTCAATAGATTTTCGTCCAGCAAAACCAGATCACCCTCGTGACAGGTGTCGTCTAGATTCACCAATCTATTCCGCACGGATCCCTTTAAATCGAATTTATCGGTGATAACTCGGTTGTAAAATAGATTCTCCATCACCAACACGCTGGTACGAAGTGCCGCGTTTGTTGTGTTGTTCTTAAACGACACCCTGTATACGCCAACAATTTTGCCCAGCAACGTCGGTTGTTTAGTTTGCTGACACTTTTCCATGTAGGCGAAATAGTTGGGCGCAAAGTCGAGAAAGATTTGCATCTCGAGTCGAGACATTTCCTTTATGATGAATCTATCGTCTGCAAAAAAAAAGAGCAAATTAATACAAGCTGAACATAACTAAATGAATTAATTAAAGTATTTAAAAAAAAGATGCATACATATTTTATATATAAATGGAAAATGTATAAAGATAATTGAAAAAAAATCCGACAAACTATATAACTAAAATGATGATGAATCGCACCTCTGCTCTTGCAGAAGGTACTTCCGCTCTTTCCACCTCTCGCAGTCCACTGTACACTTCGGCTGAGGCTTCTTGTGAAGCCATCTTCGCCGCATGGCAGAACGCTGTCTCTCAAAGCGGCGAATTGCGCGGCAAAGTATATTCTGCAGAAGAAATTGGTCGTAGCGTCGTTGAACTGCACCTCGATGTAATTCTGCTGCTTTATCGCCTTCTTGTCGTCGTCGACGTCGACGGGACCGACGGCGCCGCTGGCAGATTCCACGCTTGACACGTTCTTGTCAGATTCGACGGGGCTGCTGGTCGGATTGGGACTGTTACCGCGGAAAAAGGACAGCACGGACGGCCGCTTGAACTCGCCCGATTGTGCCAGATCGAGCGAACTATCCCTACCCTCGGGAAACTTACGTTTGCTCAACGGACTGGGATTGAAGTCCGAACCTTTTGCCGCGCGCAACAATTCCTGCAACGCATGCTTGTAGTCGTGAGAGTCCAGGGCATACGCGATTATGGACGAAAGCTCGGACTCGTAGACCACTATCGGCACCACCGATCTGCAATAAAGTATGAATCATTTTCAAAGTCAATCACTATGTGATTCAGATAAAGATAACGAGCTGAAAAGTTAAATCGAATATAAATTACCCGAGTGGCAACAGGTAGTGCTCCAAAGGTCCTAGAGGATTCGGTATTGTATGATTCACAGAAACGGACGGCAACAATTGTGACAAGATGGTCTTCTTCTTTTTCTTCTTATCGGTCATATCATCGGAAGACAGCGGAAAAACGTCGGAATGCGATCTCTGATGCATCTTCGGCGATGCATCTGGAACGGGGACGACTTCGTCGGGATTGGTGGTGGATTCCAAGAGCTCGTTATCGGAATTCTCGACTCCTTCGGACGTTTGAAAGTCGCTCTGTACCGTCGCGATCGCGTCGATGGCATTGTAATCGGCCGACATAGGACTAGAGTCTTCGACCTGCGACTCGGACGCGGTATCCTCAGTGATGTATCCGTCGGTGTCTACCACGCTGTTGCTGCCAGCCGTCATTGAACGTTCGGTGAACCGGCGCGGTCGTTCGTCCTTCTTTTTCACCGACATCTCCGACAGTTTGTTGTTCCACGTAAACACAGCCTCCGAGATGAGTCGTTTAAGGATTACGATGCCATCCTCGATCCTAAACATCAATGCCTGTACTTGCTTCTCAGACACTTTACCCTCGAGCTTCTTATTCTCCAGCGTTGGCGAAGTTAACTTGAGTTGAATCTCCTCGATCTTGTTTTTAAAATATTGCTGATCCTTCATCAGCTGCTGCTTGGCAAGATTCAGGCTCTCCAAATCCGTCTGCAGGCTCATCAGTTTTTCTCTGATGGCCGTGAAAACCTCATCGCCCTTCAACGCCACGCTCTTCATCTCTTCGATCACGTTGGCGTGTTGCTTCGGATCGTAGATGATGTTTATCAGCGGCGGCGGCAGGGAGATCTCCCACTGCGAGATCTTGGTGAACTTGAATACGGCCAGCATATTCTTGCGCGTGAAGTACTGATAGTGATCGTAATGCAGGGAATGTTGACACGCGTCTGTGCCGTCGCGTTTCGTATAGACCCCGCCGTAGAAGCGTAACTCGAGATACTTGGCGAACGACAAGCACCACGTGTCGGCCGACATCGGTACCACCGGCGACACGCTCTTACATTTCACGCATTTGCTCCACATCAGGATCTGATTGTTGTCGGCGTTCTCCTGTACGAACGGTTCGGAGCTCATCTCGCTGAGACTGATGTGCATGCAGCCGCCATCGTGCGCGAATCGTCTGACGTGTTGGGCTATTTGGGCGCGACAGGCCTGCGCCGGGCATTTATATTCCGTCGTCAAGCAGTAACGCTCCAGGAAGCGGCCGAGCGCGATGTCGTTCTGCCCGTACATCATCATGTTTACGACCCAGGGATTCACGCAGAACGCCGGAGTATCGTTGCCGGTGTGCGAGAAGCTGCAAAACAGCACGGAAAGACGTTGATGGCTACCGGGATCCAGACAGTCCGGCCACGAGGGGATTTGCTGTTCGTTGCTCTCGGTCGATACCGTTGATAATTGATGCTTGTCCAGCATACAGTTGTACGTCGGGTAAAGTCTACTTCCGCATGCGCGGAAATTCGCCAAGAGACTCTGCACTTCCCGGCTATCGACATCCGTAGTCAGGCGCGTCTGAACGAACGGATGATGCGACTTTAACTTGATACTATTTCTTCGTTCGCGATTCTCGAACGCAAGCTGCTCGTTCACACCGTTCGCTCGAATATCCTTGATCTTGTCGAGAAATTGCGCCGAATAATAAATCTCTCGTGGGAAGAAGCTCCTCAGGATACAATTTCTACCAGGTTCCGTCTCTAGATAGGGTATGGAAAATTTCAGATACGGCGATACACTCAGCACGGTATCCTCGAGCGCTTTCTTGAATTTATTGAACAGCGGAAAGTCGGCTACGCTCAGACGCTGACCGTTCGGACTGTTACGGTTGAATACGTCTTCGTTATCCTCGTCGTTCAAATATTGATGCAAGGGATCGCTTCGGTCGCTTATGGATTCCCCGTAAATACGTTTCTCCTCCGAAGATATCTTATCCTTCGATTTCTTGTCGACAAGTTCTTCGGTCTTTTGCTCCTTATCCGTAATCACGGAATTATTATGTTCCTCTGCATCATCGGAAACTAAGTCCAAAGTATTGCTCTTCGATTTGTCATTGTTACGTAAATTTATCACCTCGTTCTCGCAAGATGTTGGCACCTTCGAATCGTGTAAAGATGGTTTCAATTTTGTTTTAAATAATTTTAACGTGTCATAAGGATCAGAATCCTCCGACAACATCGAAGATACTTCCTTCAGAGAATCTACGTTTAAAATATTCTCGGAGGAATGGAGATTCTCAATCTTTACGGCTATACTTGGATTATGCGACTTTGCATTCTGTACATTTTGCTCATCGCCGAGTGTATCTTTGTGATCCTGGTTTATTTTCGATGATTTCTTTGTGTCACCTGCATGTGTATTTTCAGCGGTAACTTGAGTTTCGAGATTCTCGGACTCCTCGCCATTCGAGGAATCTCTTTGCAATGTTTCATCCAGAAACGAATTATTCTTAGGAGACGGCGGTTTAGCGAATTCGTCCATAAGAAATGATTTTTCAAGGCGCCACGAGTAAGCCGCAAAAATCATCATCGATGTAACGTTTTTTACTCTTTTTAATTCGGTCTGCGAACCGCCTCGCAGTAAAATTGTCGCACCCAAATGTGGATTTGCACAGCCTTCAAAATACATTAGCGTCTTAATGCCTCCTGAAAAATTAAAATTACAAAATTCAAATTGAAATGTTCTCGTTCTAGACGTATCAAGTCGATGAAAAATTTTTTTCTTATTACGTATTTTGTTTTGAAATTTTTCAACTTTATACATCCAGGAAAAGTTTCATGAATTATATATACATTTATATATTTTGTATTTACTTTGTTCATCTGAAAAATTTCTTAAATAGAACTTCTTGCACGTGCCAAGCATATATCTTGCACTTATATGCGCATCTATAGTGTTTACAATACTAGCACCAGTGCATCGTGCTACTCTTTTGAGTACGCTAAGTTTTACATTTAAAACCAATGTTACACCGCATTCTCTCAGCTTGTCCTGAGCTAATCTAGCTACGGAACGATGCACGAGCACCACATCTGGACCCAGAGCGGTAATTCTCGCTACTGTGTGTCCCAAATACTCGCTTTCCTAAAAAATGTTGAAGAAATTAAAATATCGTAGAACGATGTTTAAGCAGTTAAATATCAAGAAAATAAACATCAATTAAAGACAGAATTTGATCAACTATAAGGATAATGTAATAAAAAAATGATCATGTACCTGCAACATTACAGGCTCCAAGCTTATCAATTTGCCCTCCACACGCTGATACATCAAACCGCATTGCAGTAATAAAATCTTTGGATGCGCAATCATGGCGTTCATACAACGATGAGCGACATTCTTACTGCAAATCACACCAGATACAATATTACAGTCTTCTCTGCTACCACCAGGACACTTTTTGAATTGTATGTATTGTCGAATATCTAGATTATCAGCGTCATGATGCAAATCTGGTCGGACGTGGTCGACTATCTGATGTGTGATGGACAGAATCGTATTTGACCACGTTTGCGACAAACCTTCCTTGCTTAGGAGTTGCTTAATAAGAGAATCTTCGTGCGCTTTATATGCAGCCCTACAATCAACATATTTAAAAAAATTTTATATTATTATTTAGAGTATCAATTATTAAATATACTCCAAAAAACTTACGTTAAACCCTCATACGCGCTTAGTTCGCCAAAGGCTATTCTCAAATTAGTCGCTCTGTGCCATCCATTTTTCTCTTTGAACTCGTGCACTTGAAGCGTATCACTCAACAGATCATCACATATCTTATGATTACAATCGTGCGATTTAAGATTAATTTCTTTCTGTTCGACTATTCCATCGCTACTATCCACGGAAATTGCAGTTAAATCCTCCGAAGTTGGTCTTTTTAACGTGACGGTGGATGCTTCCAAATTTAAATCCAAGTAAAAACTCGAACTTGATGACGGCAAACGACCGAAAGTTTGTGACTGCGAGTTCGTAGGTTTCGTCTCGCTTTCGGAATCTGTAACGAATCAATTGTTAAATAATTGTTCGTCAAAGATCTCAATTTGTTGTATTTATTACCAGTAGTTGAATCATGCTGTGGAATAGTTTTCACCCAAGCTGGTTCTTGCGCATCGCATGTTGTCCGTTTTTCCGTCAATAGGTCTATACTTTGTAAGGAGGATAATTCTACCGGCTTAAATATGACTGCGGAATCACTAAATACGTCATCGCCGGCAACCGACTCGATGAAACCCGCTTCCAACAATGCTTGGCCTATCGCAGTCGCTTGCACGCTATATATATAAAAAAAAAGAAGCATCATAATTGTAACTCGAATCGTAACACTTTGACAATTTAATAATGTCTAGTAGATACGTACCGAGTAGCTGCTTTATTCTGTGCTATCATCCAATTTACCAGTTCGCTTGCTAGAAAACAATTGTAATAACTCTTCAATCGAATTCTATGCGTTTGCAATTGAATAGCTTGACTAGATCGGAACAATTCCTCCCAAATCATCCTTAAAGAGGCCGAATTTTGCAACACGAGCGAGCGTTCGTGAGACGTTAGGTAACTATTACCCGATCTATAACAAACGAGAGTGCACGAATTAAATAAAAAATAAATAATATATTTAATTATACACATTTTACCGTTTAGTCGCGTAATTCTCTTCCATATATCCTATGCTTGGTTTGCGGCATATAGAGGTTTCGTCACCCATCGACTCGCTGGTGTGCTTTCGAGTTAACAATGGTGAATCGTTTCCATACTTCACTTGAAGATCTTCTTGCAACGCTTTTAAATCCGCCGATAAATCGCTCCTCATATCCGATGATTGTAAATAAGAGAGAACGACTTTGCAACAATATGTACAAACTCTGAGATCCCCTAAGAAATATATATAGAAACATAAAAATAAATCTATATTTATATTTATACAGATATACTAGAGATATAGATATTCATGTTTCTCTATACCAGTGCATCCCATAATTTTCCCTGGTATTTGATCGGAGCAACACTTGGAGCAGAAAATTTGTCCACATACGCGACAATGGTGCCTCCTTCGAAACGTCGTGAATCTTTCACCACATTCGTAGCACTGTTTACTCACGCTGTCTGGCATCCAATAACTTCTCAATTGAGAATCTTTATATGAACGTAGGTTCTATAAAGTAATGTAGAAAATTTTCATTACAAGAAATTTTACAATATATAAAATAGTAATAATATAGCGTAAAAGTAAAGGTATAATATAACACTTACATTACTTTTTGATGCCACAATATTACTAATACGTTTCAAAACATTTGGTAAACTGCGGCCCTCGCCAGCTAATGAAAAATTGATCATACTAGTGCTATCATCATCTGGGGTTTGTTCTGTACTCTCTGATTGCTTCCATGAGTCTGAATCGGAGGAATTACGTTCGTCATTGTTGGAAGATACCGTGGAATCATTTGTGCTTGACGAATCTAAACATAATATGTAATACAGTACATGATAGTAGTCAAAATATTAACAATAAGATTAGTACATCATGTTGTTGGGACCAAATTTCTAGATTTATAAATTTCTCCTTGAGAAAATAAGCTCAAATACTACTTTTTATATTATATCTTTATTTTGACAAATCAGTAATTACATCTTATTATGATTATGGATTTGTAATCAAACATTAAAATGTAATTGAAGGTATCTAATTATAAGCACAAATGCAACAATTATAGAGAAGAACAATGGTTTATAGCAATATGATGTAATTAAACATATTTAGCCGATTACTCACTTCTGGTAAAGTTGAAAAATTTGGAAAAGAGTGACGCTACGACAGGTTGGCTCTCTTCGGGACTCAACGGAGCAAACTCCGTGAGTTTCGACGGCGAATTCATGTTCTTGTTCATTCTCGCCGATACTATCTACTTGCGCGCATCCTGAAGTTCAATCCGCAATTCTCTCCGATCCTATCTAAGGTTATTTCCTAATTGCACTTCCCGTTAATCTCGTATTATTCGATCCTGCCGCATAACGAGATGCAACGTAACGTGTATATACACATATGTGTACTACATGTATAACGCATGGCAGTTTTGACAGATGATCAGATGATCGCGATTGTGGCGCCCTCTGTGGCTCGTTCCGAGAATTTCAGATTCTCTTAGTTCTTTAAAATCGCGACAGGTAGCGCCACCGATACGAAAAAGCTCCGCTCATTTCACTCTGCATTTTGTTTTCTTTCTCATTCTTTCTTTCTATGATTTGAATCGTATAAGCGTACTAAAAAGTGTGCAATTAAAGTGATGATTGCATCGAGTATGCAATTAAAATTTCTTCAAGGCGTTTATGTGAGTATAAATTTATCTTAATTTATATTCGTGATAAGTTGATGAAATTTTAATGAATATATATATATATATATTTTGAAAGATCGCTAACAATTATATTTGTTAACCTATATTTGTTAACCTAATATTTATACATGATATGTTTTTCAATAGTATATAAAATACAGAAAAATACAAGATTTTTCTAAAGAATATATATAGATAAAATGTTGCTATATAACTTATTCATCTACTCATCATTGATTAAAGATCGACAATCGCAAAATTCTATTATAATTTTTTTAAGATATAATGGTGAATAAATTTATCTGAGCAAAATCATATTGCAATTCAAATGAGCAGAACACTGATAAAGTCAACGTAAAATAAATTTTTATATATATTTGTGTTTGTATATTTAAATATAAATTTATTTACGAATCATTTTATCACTCTTAAATTTTTATATTACAATTATTTATTTATTCAATTGTTCACTCTAACATAATATTCAAGCAACATAATTTTTTTACAAATTCTATAAAGCGAGTATCTTAATATTATAAGGCGGATGAGCTCTAAAATGATATTCCTCTTGTCACCTTCAAATCATTTTTATCCAGATAATTTTTAAATGATAAATAAAATCATGATGACGTCATTATAATATTATTATGAGTTTTATGAAACTGAACTGTTTCTTATCTATTATGAATTAATCATCAGGTTCGTCCAACTCGGCTTTATCATATTATCCTGCTCACCACCCTGCCGCCCTTAGGCGCCCCAATCCTCGCAGCTGCGCAGGTGTATCACCCCTAGCACCTTCTTATCAACATCTCCGAAGAAGCACTCGCGCCAGAAGGAAGGTTTGGCGCTCTCCGCTCGCTGGCTCCTTCGTACCTTTTCCTCGTCTTCCGCTCCACGCGGACGTCGTTCCAGGGACGAGTCCTCCCTGATCTCGTCGTCACTTTGTCGCATCCTTCGAAGGGCGATCGCTGGATAGGACGATGCAATGGGCGAGGGAAAAAGCGACCGTTCCGGCAAAAGGTAAACGTTTGGCGCGGCTTCTGGAAGCCGCGAGTCGATCGAAGAATATACATTGCACGCTGCACTATTTAATTAACTCGTCTGTTTCATTTCAATCCACGTGTCTGATATCATTCTTTGCCACTCGCTCCTTTTTTCTTCCGCAAGGATTTTAAGAGTTTGAAGATTCTGAAGATAGAGCATTTTTTATACGCTATTTATCAAAATTTACCTGATTCTTTCTATGCAACTATTTTTTTTCTCTTTTTTTAGTAAATGCATAATTATTATACATAAATTATTTATGCGGAAAGCAATAATGCATGATTAAAATAAATCTTTTATTTTCACTATTTTTTTCTGCGTTAAAAAGAAATATTTAAAAAGTTACTTATACTTTTGCTAATTCTATTTTTTTCCAATTCAATGTCTTTATATGTTTTATTTTTTGTTGTAAAAATGATATATATAGCTCTTAATTCAATTGCTGCAACTACTTATTACTTACAGAACTTATACTTGCAGAACTTTACTTAAACTACTTATACTACTGCAACTATAGTTTATAAGTAGTGTAAGTACTTCTGCAAGTTGCAAGTACTATAGTAATAATATGCAAATAACATGTATATGATTTATTACCATATATGACATTATCATACATGTACTGCTCCAGTTGCACAATGTGAAATATATACTCGAAAGATTTCAGGCATATCTTTTATGTAAATATATACTCTATATATTATGGATTATCTGTAATTAGGTGATTGCTGCTAAATCGATATATCGAAGAGAGATTATATCTCGACTATCAATATTAATTTAAATTCTTATTTGGCACGTGCTACTTTCAATAATAATCTTCTTTAATTTGATAAGTGGCAAGAGCATTTATCACGGTCGTGCTTTCAAGTAAATGATCATCTCGCCTGAAAAGCCATTTAATCCCATTTAACTTGATCGTTAGTCACGCCTACCCAATAATGTAACAGCTTAAAAACGTCGATATCGTGTTTACCGCATTAATTTCCCAAAGTAATCAGAGATCGTAATCACAAACGTGCAAAAAACGGCGATATCCATGTCTTTTCATTCTTCGTTAATCAAGTTCAGAAATAGAACATGCAAATTTTTATGAAAAATGATTTTAAAACAAGATATATTTTACACGTTGCTTGTATCTTTTATAAAAAAAAAAAAACATATTGTTTATAAAAAAGAACTATAATATTATATAAGAAGCTAATTTAAAAAAATTAAAGATATATAAAAGATATGGGGATATATTATTTTATTATTAAAAGATAATAAATAATAGATGAGAGGGGTATATATTAAAATATTAAATGCGAAGTATTTAATTAAATTCGTTCACGCACATTTCTAATTAGAGGTTGATTTAAAAAACTCGGCGATAAAAGACGAGATGGGTGAGACTTTTTGATGGGCCACGGCCTGGATTCCTTTTACTAAGGAAGCTCGCGTGCAAGCACCGGCGGCGGTGGCTCTGTAAAATGCGTTTAGATTGAATCACGCACCGAGACCGCAGAACAACTGACCGGGTGGCGATACGCCGTATCGCGGATCGCGGCTTCGTCGGTGCGTGCGAACCACGTGGCGCGGACATTAATTTAGCGGCGCATACAAATTTGTCGTGCGAGGGGGAGTCAAGATGGTAAGGGTCGCGGTTCAAATCGGGGCCATTGGGTCGAATGAGAAACCTCAACATTACGAATCGACCGAGAATAAATCTGCGAACTGGGCGAAAAAAGATCAATGAGACTTGTACGAAAATAAATGGCGCCGAATAAAATCTGATAAGGCCTGATAACGTTATCCAAATTTCTGGGACAGATGAGTGGGATAAAATAATGAGGGTGGTAAAATACAAAAATTTGGCAGCGGTGGATTCGAACCCACGCCTCCGAAGAGACTGGTGCCTTAAACCAGCGCCTTAGACCGCTCGGCCACGCTACCTCACGCAAGCTTACCCTTCTCAGCCCGACATGCAAGCTCATTCCGCTCATTACAAGATTACACCGATCCCTGTAACAGTTAGCTTTATCTCTTTTTTACACATCCACACTTTATATACACACATGATGATTATTAATTAGGATGGACTAAAAGAATAATATTATATGCCATTAAGACAATTACAAATCCAAATATTTTTTTCTTTCAGTCAAAGTGCATATTTTACATTTTTTTTTACATAATTTTCTTTTTTCTCAAAACTATTTAATCAATTTAAATATATCTAGGACGGTTTCTCCGTTTGTCGAAATTTTTTTAGTCGCAGTTGAACTGTACAAAACATTTTCAGGACATGTCACAAATGTAGTCGTTGACGTAATTCGCGAGGGTTGACGTGCGCGCGAACCATTAAGCCAGGATGAGATTTATTTTTCAAGCTGCGCGTTTTGCAGATCGATTCGTGTCGTATTTGGAAGAGTCGTTGTAACGGCATGTACAGCACTTTCGTACCACTCTCTTCCTGTTCCTAGTCCTACCTCCGTGCCTCCTCGCCGCTTCTCCAGCCGACCCGCCCTCTTACATCCCTAATTCGCGTCCCTAATATACCTCGGCTTGGTTCTTCGGTAAGCTCATCTTCAGTAAGCTCAAGTCATCCATCCCTATCGCGTCGCAATAAACTATCTTATTCATTCGCGAATACGATAGTTTGAATTTTTGAAGCAAACTTGAATATAATATAACAAATGTTTTAAATATTCAACGAAGATATAATTCTTTCTTTCTCAATAAATAAGACACAAACATCGAACAGAATTATTACAATTAAATAAAAAAATATCTAAGAATAAAATAAATAAAATTACAAATGTATGATATCACTTTGTAATTAAGATTACGATTAGGCAAAGATCCTCCTCTCGCGGTGTCGGGAAGCCACCCCCGGATCTCGAGATAGCGCATGGTAAAGGCAAGGAAAAGAAGGGACGTAGGAGCAAGACCAAGGAGAGATGGCCGTTTCTCGAAGGATTGACGGTCGACGAGTTGGCTCGTTATCGGAGGAGGCGCGTCCAGGATCGGCCGAAGGACAATCTTCAGTCTCATCCGGAATCGACGATCCAGGATTCCGCGTCTGAGTATCATCGTGCTTTTGGTGCAAATGTCGAGGAACCTTCTAAGGTATTTTTCTTTTTTCGTCAATGTATAATATTGAGATTATTTATGCTCACATTAAAAGCATACATCCATATATATATACTTATATGTATGTGTAATAGGAAAATGTCTGGCCGATAGAAGAAAGAAAACCTGAGGATTATTCGGAGGAAACTCTCGAAGATGCTTCGTATTGTATGGATTTTCGAGAGCGCGAAGCAATCGAGGATCCATCCAACACGAAAGAAGAGAATGCTTTTACCCAGTTGGTCCATGGAACTGAGAAGATGGAGACAAGAGTGGAAGCCCCGCAGTTTGAGATTTCATTCAGACGTCCGTCACTTATCAGAAGGTAAGGCTATTAATCTTATTATTATTACAAATTATAATTACAAATTATAATGTTAGATTAAGATCAATATATACATATTTACTATAGTAATTGCATAAATAATAAGCAAGAGAAAGAATAAAAGATTTCTCTATACAAAACGATATATTTAATAATGTAATAATGTTACATAATACATATTTTTAAAAAATATATGTCAAAAATTAAGAAATTATATGCGCGCGTGTGTGTATACGCATATAATAAAATATTTTGTGTAGTACGCAGATTGAAATCTAATTTTAATTTGATCATTCGCTTAGTTAATTTTACGAAGATTATCAATACTTTTCTGTCGTGAATCTTTTAGGACATTTTATGTCTAAACTGTCCTGAGACACGCGAGTTCGTGTAAATATCGAAGAAACATAAATCCGACTGTCATGCAACTATAAATTGGCAATTTAGTAGTAAGAGAACCGACTTTCTGTTTTCTTTTGCGTTTTATTGGATTTCTGCAACATCTAATAAATCACGAACATATATTTCAAGATATCACAATTCAGCAACGCAAATGGTATATAATTATATTTTTATTGGTATATCAAGCCAAGCGAATTAAATTCTATACAACATAATACAAAGAGAATATATTTTATCTATAATAAAATATCAAAATGTACACACATACACCCATAAATAATTTTTAATTCTATTAAATTTATATATAAACTCATGAGAGAGAAATTCAGAAATTAATATAAATTGTAGAAGTGAAGCACAAATATCGAAGATGAAGATCAGTTGAAATTGTTATGATCGATGCGCTTATAAATGATCTATAGTTCCTATATTATCTTAAAAGTAGCGATCCGTCCATTATTGCGAAAAGGGGTACAAGCTTGAAGTGCGGCGGGGATTTCTACACCGATACGGAAACTTACTCGGCATACGTACCTTATGAGGGCCAGCATCGCGCCGAGCTTGCGCGTCGACCTACGTCCCTGAAGATGGAGGGCGACCTGGACACCATGACGGAGAAATGCGAGAAATTTATCGAGTGGCTCAATGTTAGTCGACCGGAACTCATGCGTATACCCACGAACTTGAAGATGGAGGGTGAGTTCGAGACGTCGACGGAAAATCAGGACAAGTACGTTCCCTTCGTGGGAGCCCGGAGACCAGAATTGCTGAGACGAAGCACAAACCTGAAGCTCGAGGGAGATATCTACTTTGTACCGGAGTACACCGATGTGTTCAGAGATTATAATGTTAGAGGTAAATAAAATTAAACTTTGGAAAAAAGCAACAAATAAAATTAAATAAGAAAAATCTGTTTAAAACTCTATGAGATATATTTCACGCCGTCATTTCTTCTCTTTTTTGCTTTGTATATTTTTCTATATAGATAGACTGCAATCAAAGAAGCCGCAAACGCATTTAAAAGCTGGCGGCGACTTTTTCCAAAGTACAGAGAGTACTGAAAACTTTGTTCACCCTCGCATTCAGCAAGAAGTAGACGCTAAACAGATCAAAGATAATAATGAAGAAGATAAATGGATAGAAGAAGATGATGAAGAAGAGAAACGTAAGAAGGACGAAGAGATGAAAATGTTGGTGTCAAAGTTGGAAGATTTAAATGGTCGACCACTCGAAATTCCAGAGTATCGAGATGCATACAAGGTAATATACTCTGTGCTATCTTTTCATTGTTATAATTATTTGCATTTAATCAAATTTCTGAATAAATTTTAGATATCTAACATGCGATAACTTTATTTGTGCTATTTTTATTAAATTATTGTATTATTGAGTCATCAATAATTGTAAATATTTTATCATTTTGAGAATTATTTTATATTTAAAGGATTGTTCAAAATTTAATTTAAAAATTCAAAATCTGTTAGAAACAAATAAGTAGGAAAGAGGAATTAGAAAAAAACATAATAAAAATAGTCATAAAGATGCGTGAAAAACAGTTGAAAGAAAAGACATTTTTTTCGTTTGCATTATATGCAAAATGTATGTACCTATACAATTACGTTAATTGTAAATATCTATAATTATTACAGGATTTTCCACGCGAACGGCCAAAGCTCGCGAAGCCGGAAGATGAAATAGGTCGTGCTGATGGCTCAAAGGTATCTTCGCCGTCGCGTTCCAAGTTTTCCATGAAGATCGACCAAGACCCAGAGTACCAGTCCAAGTACCTGGAGTATCCGCGGGATCGTCCTATCTATCGCAAACCACCGCCGTTATTGAGACCGACGAACGTCTCCTCTTCCGGTCGCGGTAGCGCATGCTTTAGTAGACCAATTCATCGTCAAGAATGTCGTACATTCGAGTTCGAACCCACAAGCGAGGTGAGATCGCAGTACGTTCCTTATGGATACATACCAAAGGTCGAAACACTGAAGATGCCAGCGAATCTACGTTTGGAAGGTACCTTTGATCTTCAACCTGAATACAGAAAAGCTTATTGCGCGAAATACGATCGTCAGAGCTGCGCGGAACCTAAAACGATATATGGTAGAGGCAGTTCAAGCGCAACAAAGAGAAGAGAATATGGTTACTGGTTTAAAAATGACAATATTGGTCAATGTGACAAAACAATACCCGCCCAAGAACAAAATGCTTTTTCTATATTGGACACGCGAATGCATGAGGAGAATGTCACTGGGAAACCACCACCCGCCAGCAGAAGGTAATTAAATCATTTTATAGGAAAATGAAACTTGATTTATGTTGTAAAATAAGTATGAAATTTTTTTAACTAATTTTATTAATTTTTGAAATTTTATATCAAAATTTTCTCTTCTAGCAGAAGCTCTAGATTGTCTCAAGTCAGTCCGATGGCATCGAGACCGACGCAGCTAGAGTTGGCGGATCGCGCGATCTCCACGAGAATCTCGCGATCTCCCAGTCCAACGTATCGATTGCACGTCTGTGACGTCGACAACGAGCCGCGAGGTTTCGGTCAGCATAGACAGTCTTCCGGAAGAGTTGTTCGCAGTCCTTCGGTCGATCATACGATTCAGGACGATGATATCATCAGACCGTATTCGCCCAGCTTCGGCAGGGACAGGCAAAATCGTCGCGTCAATGATCAACCGTTCGTAGTTCTAGATAACACTCCGAAAAACGTATCGGATAGAAGCGAAGCTCGCAGGAAAAATCGCATCGACAGAAATGTCGACGTTATGGTACCGATGTCTCGAGGAAGACCTAGAACTCCGACCAGATGGATGCCACCGTGGTACGACAATACGAATACCATCTAGGACTTTCGATCGGTGGCGAAAGCTCATCGTTGAAAAAATATATACTATAATAATCTGCTGCCTGAAATGTTTATGTTATAAAAAAGCGATATAAAAAGATAAAAGTAGCGATAAATGTGTGGACACACTGCCTTTAACTTTGTATGCAGAATAATTGAAAATCAATCGATGAAATCAATTCTTAAACATTTACATATACACACATATATATATACATATATCCATATATGTCTTATGTCTTTCATATTAGTGAGACATTAATTCTTCCTTCTTGCAGAAATTTTTGAAAGTTACAAAAGTATATATCATTTCCGCATATATGAATAAATCCTATCGTACAAATCTTATCGCTTTTATCTAATTCTAAATGAGATTGTTTTATTTTTAACAGGAGCTAGAAAATCGTGCGCAATTTTTTTGTACAAAAGAAACCAAATTCAGAATTAATTATATTTAGAGCTAATTGTAGGATATATATATGAATAGATTTATACTCATGTTACAAATTATTTGTTAATTGTATCCATGTTAGAAATTAAATAATTATATATTCTACAGTTATCTCTTTTTCTCTTTCTCTCTCATCTTTATCTTAACGCACAACAAATTTATTTATAAGCTGCGAATATGAACACAGATATTTCTCTCGATTCCAAGAATATAAAAAGGATTGTAATTAAGAATTTATATTATATATCTATGTTTTTTTAAGCTTTGAAAAAAAAAGTATTTTATATGATAATATAAAATTAAAATTAAATTCTACTTAATTAAATTAAGTAAAATTTAATCTTTTAACTGATGCTCTCGTTCGATATGCCGATCATAATATAATGTACGTTAATTGTTACAACAATATAACTATAATAGATAATAATGAGATAAACTCATGCTATATACTGCCAATACTTGTTAATCGATACGATAAAATATATATAAGCAATGCCTAATTTTATTTAACCTTTTTCATTGCATCATATGTATCATATTGTAGATTATAATTCGATAGCATTACACTTGCATTTACTACTCTGTCATATCTGTCACAATAGAATAAATAAAATAATTTGTAATAAATAAATATATTGAGAATATTAAATTAAAAATAATATTCCATAATTATAGTTAAATTATTAATACTATCATTTATATATATATTAAGTATTCTAATAAAAAACAATGTAATGCACAATTAATGTATGCAAGAATATTGATTGATAATTATATCAATCCTAACTTTATCTTTAATTATAATGATGAATTTTTATTTTATTTATTCATATATCGACATTATTTACTTGATATGATTAATTCATTTTATATCAGTTTATTATATATATAATTCTCTAAGTAATTTTAAGTTTGTTTCTATAATCTATACGGCTTTTATACAGATTCCCGTAATAAATGACGTTTAAAAGCAGAGTTAATTTTCTAAAAAAATTAACTGTTTAAAGATAAAAATGTCGTAAGCTAAGGTTCGAACATTTAAAATTTTAATTATTCGATTCGATAGTCGATAATCGATAAATAATCGATTTAAAGCTTGCACATAAAAACGAAAAGCCGATTGGCTGACGCACCGAACTGTCAAACACAGATGTGATTCTCTTCCATAAGGCTCGCGATCTTTATTATTAACAGTTCAATGGAGTGAAATCGCGCGGTCCACCTGTCCTGTTCACGTCCACGTCAGTCGCATTCAAGTACACGTTCGCGTTCTTGGCATTCTTGCGTTATCACCTAACCTGAGTGAACGGTCCGTCACTCGTTACTCGAAATCCAATAACAATTGATGAATGAGACGTCTACGCAGATGACAAGTTATCTAAATATCCCCTAGCGTAAATAAGGTACTCGATAAGATCACGTAAATCCATTGAACGAGTGAAATAATCCCAAATATGGATGAGCATTTACGGTTGTAATATACATTTTGTTTTCTTTTTCGTTCCGAAGTGTAGCAAAATGCATTGGACGCTGTGCGCATTGATAATCGGATCGTTCGGATGTAAATACATTCATGCTCAGGCGCAAAGAGTCGCGCCGGGTGTCCCACCTCAGCATTATCAGCAAGTAGGCCATATTTTAAATGTTGTTTGACAAACATATGGTTCGATGAAATGACACTTGACGATATTAAAGTTGATTCAAAATATTTTGACGAGACTCTACTTTATCTGTTTTAGCCCGTTCAAATACCACAACAACATGCGCAACACATTCCACAACAGCAACAAGTAAATTTTTTTAGTTATAACTCAATTATATATCGTCCACAATACTTGTATTACAAATTTATTTCTGTATCAACCGTTATTTTTTTTCTATTATAGTAGTTTTTGTTTAACTTATGTTGTCTTTCAATTTCAATTTCAATAATCCAATTTATCAAAAATTTGCTCAAGTATCAACAAGTACCGATGCAACAACAAGTCCCCCCTGTTCAGCAAATGCCGGTGCAACATCAGGCCCCGGTACAACATCAGGCCCCGGTTCAACATCAGGTCCCTGTTCAGCAAGTACCGATGCAACAGGTACCAGTTCAACAGCAACCTCATGTTCAACAAGGGCATGGACATGCACATGGTCAACCTCATGGACAACCTCAAATACTTAATGCTGCTAATATAGCCCATGAAAAAGAGTAAGTATTGAGTAGAGAAATTCACATAAAAAGAATTTTTTTCTTATATTTACTAAAATATACATGGAATGTTAATTAACTTTAAAATGTAGTTTAATAAACTCCAGCATTTAAGAATTTTATATGCTTCTATATTTTTTGAATACACATTTTAATTGTTGAGACATGTTATGAGAATTTTCTTTCTTTCTTCCTACTAGACATATTGCAGAGCATGCTGACGTTCCAATAGATACCAGCAAGATGACAGATCAGGAGTTGCAGTTTCACTATTTCAAAATGCATGATGCAGATAATAACAATAAATTAGACGGTTGCGAGCTCATCAAATCTCTTATACATTGGCATGGTATGCAGCATTTAGTCTATCTTTCCTCTTCTTATTACATTTTCTCTAATGTAATTTGAATTAATAAAACAAACAATAAATTTATATATATATATATTTTTTATTATAGAACAAGGTAATGCGGAAGATACACAAGGTGACAAGTTATTTAAGGATGAGGAATTAATACAATTGATAGATCCAATACTTAGCATGGATGATTCCAACAATGACGGCTACATCGATTATCCTGAGTTTATACAGGCCCAACAGAATGCCGCAGCTAGTGCGCGTCCATAATGGTGAAACTTTCATAACTTGGCATAAAATTTAATTTGGAACAAAGTTCATAAATGTTATCTAAGGAGGAAATCATTATTTTCATTATGGATTTCATTATGATTTTTTCTACGATACAATATTGACATGGTACTGTTTTAAGCCAAGATTATTTATGTGAGTATTTTTCATTGATCTAATCAATATATAAGAGAAAAGAAAAGCGTAGCTTTCTGTATATTGTCGATATTATATAATACAAAAATATCATATAATTAAAAACTTAGAAATGAAACTCTCTTTAATTCTTCATATTTTGAGATTAATTTTATAAAAAATAAAAGTGTCTATTGCGCATTTATTACTCTTTAAGATGGTTGTAATGTTCTAATGTTATTAAACTGGATTTTTGATAAAGCAGGAAACTATTTTTAAAGAATATTTTATAGAAAATCTAGTACTTTGTTAATAAATAAAATGATCATTAATTAATTTTTATTGTTGTTTAACTTGTTACAATAAATTACATATAAATTATTAGCATAAGTTCATTTAATTCATGTTTATATTAAAATCATGAATGTATCTCATTTCTTAGTAAATATCTCTAACAATAAGTAATACTGACAAGGCTAAAAGTTGTATATGCAATAAAATTGTATATACATATATTTATGTAATAATATGCAACAATTAGACTTTTAATTCTATTGTATTGCGTTTCAAGATTTTCTTCTAATTTTTGTTGTAAAAGTTATTTAAATAATAAAATATTTGATAAATACATATATACAGAAAAAAATCAATTAATCCATAATTTTATCAATTATTGTTTTTAGAAGTATGTTGTAACAAAATTTTGTTTATAAGGGAATGTTATAATTGTTTAGAGATTTTGTCTCTCGTAGGACAATACTTACAATATGGTACGAAAATATGGTAGATATATTTAAGCGACTAGATTGTGACTAGATTTAAGAATGATTCTTCTCGCGCGTATATCCCGTTTATAAATACATTCCATTAACCAAATAATCGGCGTCATGTGCATAAGGTCCATGCCCACATCTACCACGTCGTTTCACCACTCGCAACCGGCAAACAATCAAAGCAGCCGTAATCGCAGTTGCTATGAGTCCTAGTGACAATGACACCACTGCCCCTTTGGGCCTTAAAACGTCGTTCTCGATTATTTGAAGATGTTCCGCAATAATGTCGGTTCTCTCGTGCCCTCTCACATGATGATCTTCGATTACAATTACACTTTTATGATCTGCAATAATATAAACTGTATCACAATAAGAACTAAATACATATTATATTTCTAGTGCGAATTGTTTAATGTATCTTTACTTTTTTAAAAAAATTTAAATCAAAATAGATAAGAAATGAGCGCAATTATAAAGATTTTTAGTTATAAGTTAAATATTATATCTTCTATATTTTTTTATAATGAACCTTTTTTCAGCAATCCAATTAACAAAAAAAAAAACTTTCTATTTTAATTTTTTTAATATATTGGAGCCTTTTAATTTTGTTTACCTTTTGATTCCTTTGCATGATTATGTTTGGTAATGTCACTTGCTAATAAAGTTGGTTTTTCAGTAACTTGTTTGTTCACCTTTATATGCGTGTCGGTTTTTTCTTCTTTCTTTAAAAATTCTTTATTCTGCATCAACTCATTTCTATGTTCCTCTGAGGTCTATAATGACAGAATCATTATTATTCAAAGATATTTTTAAAATTTTATAATTAAGTTACTAAAAAAATGTGCTTACATCACAGACAGGCGTTGTTGTAATCTTAGCAGAATCTTCTACATCTTCTACAGCTTGCTTATGTTGAGAATTTGGTGCAATAGATGATAATAATTGTGGATTTTCTTGCCAAGCTACCTTATTCGGTGATGGAAAATGTGAAGCATATGGATGTTTAGAATCCATATATAGCTCTCTAAATATAAAATTTAAAAGTTAATAGAAAATTATAATCTATATAATTTTACATATTTTATAATATTTACATATTTTACAATACAATAGTTAAACCAAAGATTTTAATATTTCGAATTACCTTTCGGCTTCATTATTTCCTATAACGCTTGAACCTTTATGATTAAATATATGTGGCTGTTCTGAAAACATACATTTGCAACATGCATTTGTAAGAGTTTTATAATAATAAAGATATTATATAAATAATATAAATATAAAATAAAATATTTTTTACGTACGTTCATAGGGATTTAAATTTACATGAGGATAGGGATCCTTATTTTGTTCGTATAAAGGCTGATAATCCCACTGGTATCCCGGTGAACCATAATTCTTACGCATTTGCGGTAATTCCACCGGCTGACCGGGATACAGAATATTTTGCGGCTGCGACATTTGATGAACTAAATTTATATCCCAAGGTTTAACATTGGAATCATGCACAGCAGGGTAGAACGGAGGCAGAGGTTTACGCTGCTCGATCATTTGCTGATATTGAAGAATATCAGCGGGTGGCTGTGGCACTTGTATAACTGGAGGAACGGTTGGTTTTTCCGTGGGACACACGAGATCGGCCGCTTCGTCAGAACCGTCAGTACACTGCGGAATGCCATCGCAAACGTTGTATATAGCTATGCAGTCTCCGGATGAACGACACTCGTATTGATTTCTGGTGCAAGCTAGAACATCACAGAGATTTATATATTAATATACATTATACATTTTTTTCAATAATATACAGGGTGTCTGACGTAAAGTGTCACACCGACAATATACAAGTAGATCTCGTTAATATCTTATTTCCACAAAACTTAGTCTGCGAAAAACCCTTTGTTTTCAATCGCTTATAACATAAAAATTATTGATTCCTCAATATTTTTGCTGAAGAAAAACCATCTCCAAACAACAAGATCTACTTGTATATTTTCAGTGTAATATCTTATGTCAGACACCCTGTATAACTCAGAGATTCTTAATATTTGAAACAAATACCTGGCTTAATCAATGCAGGTGTAGTTAATATTACTTTTGGTATTTGAGTGACTATAGATTTGGGTGTCTCTGTAAATCCATAATCCGATGTAATCTCATTATTTTTCCTAAGATGCAAGGAAATTTTGTTAATCAGTTAACTGTGAAATTAAAAAGAAAAATAAATTCAGAAAGTAGACAAATACCTAAGTGATTTTAATTCGTGCTCCTGTTGAGATATCCTGACCTCTTCTTCTACTTGTACATTCTGTATAGGATAACTAGTACGTACTGCACTGGTATAATTAGCGTGCCTTGTAAATTTGCACTTGAAATCATGCAGTGGTCCACATTGAAAAAGATAGCAACTGCCTGGTTTCTACAAACGTATTAAAATATTAATTATATATTCTTTATTTTATATATATATATATATATATGTGTGTGTTTATATGTGTGTACAAGTGTATTTCTGTTTGTGCGCTCTATATCATATTACATTTAATGAAATAAATCTTGCTTCAATACCTTTTCTTCGAAGATGAAGACGTCGCATCGCTCGGTTTCGCAACAATACTTCAAACAATCCAATCTAGAATCCACGTCCAACACGCTCAAGTATTTAGCACCCATGTCACGGGAGTCTTGAGTCTTGATAATTTTGTCTCTATGAATGTCGAAGCTGTCGATGCACATCTGATAATTATTCGCGCTGCCGTGTCTCTTCTCATTCGCTCTGATCGTCTCGTCTTCGCCGCGAGCCAGGTGAAAAATCGCGACGACAATTAAAAGGACGATCCGCCGCGTTTCGCAAAACATCGTTTCACCCTTCACACATCACACAAGCTGCGTTCGGAAACGTCCCACGTGTGCATTCTCTCTCTTTCTGGATTACTTCTACGTCAGTGATACATATACAGGGTGTCCGGTAACTAACGGACCAACGATCACAAATGGATTCTTTGATCAATTTGGGAACGATTTTTCCTCAGCGAAAATTTCGAAAAAGGTCATCATTTTTTACAACTTTTCAATATTTGTCATTATGTATCTTTATAACTAAGTCTCAAATTAAAATTTTATTATAGTAAACTCTACCTGAAATTAACTGAAGAATGTAATTATGTTAGACTTTTAACTCCAAAACGTTTAGTTTTCAAAAAACCCATTTTTTAAATCGCTTATAACTCGAAAATGATTGACTTCTCAACATTTTTGCTAAGAAAAAATCGTCTCCAAATTGGCCAGAGAATCCGCCCTTCATCATTGGTCCGTTAGTTACCGGACACCCTGTAGAAGGAAAAAGAACGTACTCGGGGATCGTTTTCGAACACAGCCACATTCGGTGTCCGAGATGCGCAAATCCGCGTCAAGCGATCGATAATTTTATATTTCGCCAGCGTTTCGTCTTTCGACGACGCGGTCAAATTCATCTTTTTTCCAACAAGTATATAGGCACGCACTCTAATTTAATTTTTTCGATTTTGAAAATAAGATCACATTCGTGCAAAATGTTTTTATCCGGACATACCGATTGGCCATCGAATAGAAAATTTGTAGAATTCCTTCGGTAGGTAGAGGTAATAGAAATTCTCTATTCGGTGGCCAATCGGGAAATTTCTTTGACAGACATATTTTTTTTTATCCATTGATCAATCGAGCGCTTACTTCAAGAAGTTCAAGAAGAAACAACATTTTTTCAAAGTTGTATATTTGTCATTTATTATTGATTACAATGAATTTTACGTAAAAAGTAAGACATGCACAAATTATGCGTAAATATATATCGTATAATTTTACAATTTTTTATAAAAAAGTAATAGGTAAGTTAAAAATAGACAAGAAAATTATATTTGTAATGGTAGCCTAAAATTAAAATGAGGAACTGATTTTACAATATTTTATTTTTATTTTTATTAGATTTTATTATTTTTTAGATACATCAATTAATACTGTCGCGCATGCGCGAAAAATCTGATGCCAACCAATCCTGATATCAACATGCGTGTAATATGCAATAGTAAAAAGGCTTTTAAAGATTGAGGTTGGATTGTCGATTAAATCACGGTAATGTTGAAATAAAGTTCATTATGTCTTTGTACGACGATTTTGACAAGCATCGGACCACAGAAAAGGTCGCTGGTTGGTCCTCCGGTATTAAATTGCTGCAGTCGCAATTGCAATTAAAAAAAGCTGCTACAACCCAGGTGAATTCATTATAAATACAAATGTACATCAAGCAATAAGTTTATTATTTGTAATAATTATTTAATTGAGAAATTTGCACATACATCCGCGATGGGCTTTCACAGTCAATCTTCTCTATCAAAAATTATTTAATTGAGAAACACAATCTCTGTTTCTTAAAAGATTCAACTTTGATTTAAATTGTATCGATTAACAAGTTTTTAATTATCTTCCTTTATGGGTTTGCAGCCAAAGCGTGAGCAATACAGGAAGGCTACTGCGGTACTAGCACCAGTGATAGACTTGAAATCTAAGACTAATCGTGATGCAGACAGAGAGGAACATGAAAGCACCCACAGTAATCCATTATCCACCGGTAGTGTGAGCAGTATAGGAATTGGAGATGAATTTGACTGGAATGTGGTGAACGAGTATGATCCTATGTGGCCCAATGAATATGAGAAAGTTGTGAAAGAATTACGTGATATCAGAGACAGAGAGCATGAGACAGAGATGCGCAAACGTAGAAGGGATAGTACTCGTTTCGAGGATACTCAGGTAATAAATGCAATAAGTCTTCAAGTATTTTGGACTGAAAAATGTATATGAAAAAATTATATATATTTTAATGTACGAATATAATAAAAGTAATAATATTAAAATATTTTTCTGGTCACAGACTCCTGCCGGTAACAGCACAATGATACCTCCTGAAAGAGACGAAGAGAGAACGCCGTCTTCTAGAGGGGTGACTGGAGGTGCTGCCATAGCACCGCCACCATCTTTACAAGAATCTTCAGAATTGCCACCACCACCACCACGACAAACGCCTAATTTAGGCTATGCGACATCATCCGTGGCTGCAAAGATAATGGCCAAGTATGGTTTCAAGGAGGGACAAGGTCTTGGAAAGAAGGAGCAGGGCATGTCGGTGGCGTTGCAAGTAGAGAAGACGAGTAAACGTGGTGGTAGAATAGTCAGTGAAAGAGAACAGCTGATGCCACCACCACCACCTATTTCTCCACCACAGAGTCAGGTAGCGTGCCAGCAACCACCTGCAGAAGAACCCAGCATTACCGAGATAATGAAATGTCCCAGCAAGGTAATTTATAACACAATCTTATTATAATGAAATAAATTTTTATAATAACATTACCTGTCATATATACATGTTGCTAATTAATTGTTAAACTCAAATTATATAATGTTAATATAGGTTGTACTTTTGCGCAACATGGTTGGCCCTGGAGAAGTGGATGATGATCTCGAACCAGAGGTGAAAGACGAATGTAATACTAAATACGGCGATGTTGCGCGGGTAATTATTCATGAAGTGATTGAAGCGGCTCCAGAAGAAGCAGTGCGAATTTTCGTCGAATTCAAGAGGATAGAAAGCGCCATCAAAGCCGTAGTCGATTTAAATGGACGTTTCTTTGGTGGTAGACAAGTTAAAGCAGGATTTTATTCAAGTGAAAAACTCGATAATTTACAATTAATGGACTAAAGAGAGAGTTGAGTAGATGTATAAAAATTTTAAATACTAGTTTATAAAATATGCTTATTTTTTTGCAAATTGTATAAATATTTTATATTTCTATTGCATATAAGGTTATTTACATCTTATGCTTAATGAATCTATAACTATTTCTTTATGACACAATTGTAAAAAATAAATTTTTCTATTATATCTAATACTTACTTTTGAGATATCGCATTTGATTTTAGATATATTCTAGTTTAACGATCTCTTTTAATGATATATGTAAAATTTAAATAAATATTCAATCTTTTTATGGAGTCTAAAATACTGCATCTTTAAAAAGTGCTCCAATAAAAAACTGATTAGGTATAACTTGTTAAAAATATAATTTATCGAAAATAATTTTCAGAAAGATGTCTTAGTCAATGTTTTACTCTACAATAGATAAAGGACATTGGAATCTGAAGATAAGAACAAAAACCAGAAGTGTAATATTAAAACACTAAACAAAAATAAAATTGATCATAAATATTTAACAAAGCCAAATATTACAAACAACATATTTGTGAACACTGTATATATATTTTTTGTAATAATTTATATAATAATTTATACATACAAACCATAACAAATTGTATATTCCCATATAGGATAAAATTAAACAAACTTAAGCTATAATTCAGTAGAAAATATAGTTTTTAATCAAACATTTGATTAATATAGAACATGACATAAATTGTCATGAAAAATGCTTTTGCTTCATAGTATTTCAATATTTTTAAATATTGATCAGTTCAAATATATTTGCTATCGTGCAAAAAAATTGAGAAGAATCACTTTATTATTCCTCTGAATAAAAAAAACATTATATTATGTCTTAATCAAGTCATCTATCGCTTTATTCAATTGAGCACTAAATGCAGCAAAACTGAATGTTTTCAAAAATCTGTCTTTTCCAGCTGTACCGAACTCCTCAATATGATCTGAATTTTTAATGAGGAAGGCTATTTTTGAAGCAAAGGCCTCGGCCGATAAGTCAACCAGAAAACCAGTTTCTCCAGAAACTATCGATTCCATTGGACCGCCAGATTTGTGAGCAATCACCGGCTTGCCTACGTACATCGCTTCTAAGGGAACTATCCCAAAGTGCTCATTCGGTGGTGTGTATATTACAATTTTACAATGTTTAAGTATTGAGACTTTGTCAATATCAGAAGGTGAACGTAAAAATATCACTTTATCCGTTACATGTAACTCGTCCGCGAGTCCTATCAATTCCAAATGATACTCCACATTCTCCTCGACTCTCTTATCATATCCACCAGCCATAATCAAATATACTTTTCTGTATATTTCTTTCGTTAATAGTTTCCCCAGTTCCGCGAGAGCCTCTATCGCGAGTGACAACATTTTTTTACGTTCGTACCTATTGATCGACAATAGTACAATACTATCATTTGGTAATTTCTTATCGAGTACCCTCTCTATGGATACTATTCTTGTCTTGTCAAAGAAATCCGTATTAATGGAAGGATACAAAACTTCAGGTTCAATGTGCAATCTCTTGAATGTGCTTCGAAACACTTTACCTGTATAAATGCTATTTACAAATACTTTATGTGCCATGCCAGTGGTAATCTCTTCCAGATAATTCAGTGGCATGCGATACAGCTGTTTGCTATAGCCACCAGGCTGCGAAAGCAGCTGGTCCGGATGATGACAGTAGAACACTATATATGGAATGCGCAACCAAAGAATGGGAATGCAGACGGACACCAAGTCGCAAAAGACAACTTCCGGTCGTCGATCGCAAAATATTATGTAGCTAGCTGCATATATCTACAAAAAAATAGATATATCATAGTTTCGTTTTTCCTAATAGAGCTATTGAACATAAATACATTTTTTTTAGATTTTTTTCTAATTTTACAGGTCCACAAAATAAAATTTTTTTTATTGTTTCTAAAACCAGAGTAAGTACTTCTTATAGATTTTAGGTCGCTGAATCCGAATCTGTAACCCGCTTTACTCCATTATGTCCAGTCTTTTAGAATTAAAAAAAATTTTTTTACAATTGGAATTAGGATAGATGTTTCTTATAGATTTTAGTAATTTATTTTACTCTATTTTGTTCAGTACAATTTTATATTACTTTTGCAGACTTGTGAGACCGAATTTTTTCTACAGAATATTAATTTTGGTTTCAGAAACAAAAAAAATGTTATTTTGTGGTCCTGTGTTATCCTTTTATCAACTTTAATTATTTATATTTGTTATTCACCATGCGTATGTAGGCACAGGCAGCGTAGAATCTGCCCAGGATGTGTCTAGGTAGCCAGTTGCCCACGACGGTGACGGGAATCGTGCCGTCTCTGGTCTCGGAGAAACAATGATCCGGATCGTGGTGAGTCGTGACGAAATTCACCTCATGACCGCTCTTCTTCAATGCCAGGGCGGCGTCGACGACGAGCCTCTCGGCGCCGCCGATACCGAGGTCAGGATGCAGAAACGTAATGCGCGTCATCGTGCTCCGCGAACGGTGGAATCCGTTGAACGGCCGTCGTCACAGTACATTTATCGGAAAGTAGAAAATTATCGCGCAGCAAATAACTGTATTCACATTTTACCGGTCACCGCCGACAGATTTTTATTGCCGCACGTAGGATTTCCAACTGTTCAGGAACATCTATTGCATTTTTCACGTTCTGGCACATTTGTATGTTCAACGTATGCAATCCGTTATCCAATAGAAACCGTGGATTCTGGCGACATTTTTGTCCCTAAAATATTAATCTTGCGTCCTGATTGGTTACGTATGTAATTGTCCAATTTTTTCCTAATTGGTCGATCGAGTTTGACGTAGAAAATCTCTAAGCGCATTTTCTCTATGAATATGTCATCTTGTTATTATGCGTGATCTGTGGTGCATTGTGTTTACCTGTCATTGCTTGTCCTTTCTCTCTCGAATTATCTGCTGATAGTGGTTAGTTATGTTGTTATACGAGGAAGCTTGATGACAAAGAATTTCTGACCACATAATTTTTATTATCGTTAACTCAGAGATATCATGGATAATTGATCAGAGGTAAACAAGAGTAGCCATTTTTAAAAAACAGGTTATTTCTTTCATTAATTCCTATTATTAACCAAAAAGTATGTATATAATACTAAAAAACAAAACCAATACTGGACAATAAATTCTTTATTAAAATCAACATATACATACTCTTTGGTTTTTAATTTTTACTGGCGAATTGATTACACACACTGAATTCATTAAGACATTTATTCAATTTTTTTTTTCTATTATTAAATTACAAAAATATATTTATTAAATTTACCGTGTAACCTTTGATTTTAGGCAGCAAGGACATGTAACGTTTACCATTATAAACGATCTTTGATTAAATTTACCCCTGATATTCTTCGCTTTCATCGCATGTTGATTGAATAATATAACAAGGATGAATTTTGGAACCGTGGATTGGGAGGCTGAGCATCGACGAGTTTTGCTGGATGGCAACGCAGCGTTGGCACGATCGTCACAGTCAGTCGCAAGATCACAGGCCATTGCAGCGGAGAATGAGCAAATTGGGACAGAAGTGGTATCCGAGCTGGGTGAGCAGAGAGATCGTCTTCTGCGAGCAAAGCACAGATTGTCGCAGACGGACGAGGAGTTGAACAAAGCGCGGAAAATTCTGCTTGTTATGCGAGTCAAGGTTTTGACAAACAAAATTGTCCTCGTTCTGATCATATTATTAGAACTGGTTATTCTTGGTATAATAGTGTATTTAAAATTTTTTCATAAATGAATTATGTGCTCGTGCTTTATTGGCAAGCTTGATAAAGTTAAGGTGCAACAGTATATACATATAATGTACATTATCAATTTAGTGCAAAGAGCCACAATATCACTTTACACAATTTTTTTCTGATATTTAATAGAATAAACCATAAAAAATGTGTTTATGTATATACATTTTTAAAAATGCATTGTTTTAACAATAGAATTTTTGCTTGTAAGATACATTTTTCTTTTTAGCCATTGATTTACTTATGATCTGTTACATAACTTTTATATATTGTTAAATGTTTTCAAAATATACTAATTGTAATATTATATAGAATTGTCGTACATATATATAATTGTAATTAAATGTATATATATAATTTTATTAAAGAGTTGCGAATATTGAACAGCAACTTTTTTATTTATTGTTACTTAGTTATTGATATATTCAGGGACATAGACTTCATTTTTATTAACCTGCGTTTATGCAAAGAAAGAAAGAAAGTTCTCGAGATGGCTATTTTGCATGACGAGGAATATTATCGGAGTAGAATACCCGAGCCTGATTTGGGAGCGCTTCGAAATTTTGTGCGATTTGTTTGGAATCCAGACAGGAAACAAGTACTCGGCAGAACTGGGAAAGAATGGGGTATCTCTGTTTAAGTTACATTTTTCAACGTTATAAATTATTGCTTATAACATTCCAATTATTCTCCCGCAAATTAGCGTTACTGGGGTGCTTCTACGTATGCTTCCTCAGCATATTAATTTCTCTCTTCGTGTTACAAATGTGGATCAGTATTGACTATGCCTCGAAACTGGATAAACCATATTTCCTTTATGCCGGTTTGGTACCTAGATCTTATTTTAGCAGTTTACCGCTTTTCCGTCAATTAGATTTTGGTAGTCCAGGTATTCTTTCACTAATAAATTTCTATTCTTTTTTAATCTTCATCAACAATACATTTGTATGAAATATTTGTACTCTATTCTATATAGGAATTGGTTTTAAACCGAATATTTTATTGCCTGCGACATCTCCTATTATCTGGGTGAATAATTCGAACTTAAACGCGCGACCAAAAAGATATGTTGAGGCTTTAAGCGATTTTTTGCAAGGTATTATTACTGGGAATTAAAAAAATGTATAGTATATAGTTCATCAAAATATATAAATAAAAATTTTTAATTGATCTACGAGTTTTTTTATTATAAAGTGGATTGTGTATAAAAATTAAAGAAAAGATTTTTAAAAAGCGCTCTTATTTTAGAATACAATAAAAGTCAGGAAAATTACAAAACAGATGTAGAATGCAATGATATAGTATCAAGCAGATCAGATAAGAGGCCTTGTTTCTTTGATATCGAGAGTCTTGGTGTTTGTAGCAAGCCTCCTTATGGATATATGAATCCATTGCAACCGTGTATTTTCATCAAGTTTAATAAGGTGAATGAGAATCTTTTTTCGCATATTTATTTTATTATAAAAAAATATTTTATGCTCGATATATTCACACATATTTTTTTATTAATAATTTAAATAAAAGTATTTTTTATATTATATATTATATCATAATTTTATATTATATATTTTTTATATTAATAATTTAATTTAAATAAAATTATTATTAAATTAATTACGCGCGTTATAGAGATTCGATTGGGTACCAATTTATTACAATAAATCCTCTCCATTGCCTGAAAATATGCCGAGTGCTTTACAGAATGCTGTGCGATCTTCGAAAAAGGTTTAATTCTATTATTTTAATTTGCAAGAATTTATATTTCAATTTATATATATATGGCGAAACTATAAATATATAACAATAATAAATGCCTCGCCGCTTAATAAAATAATATATCGGACTTGCACGCACTATTAAACAAATCGCCATATTATATATAATTACACATACTTAACAAAGATTTGTCTTGTAATTAAACACAGTATCAAGTCTGGTTATGGTGTGATGGGGTGAATAACGTTGATAAAGAACATGTTGGAGAAATTGAATATTTACCGAGTCCCGGCTTTCCCGTGCAATATTTTCCTTTTATAGGACAACCGAATTATTTGGCTCCGATGGTCGCGCTACGATTTAAAAATATTACACGTAAGAGTCTGTATAATTACGATATCTAGGTGAAAAATAAATATTGCATATACTTAATCGATACATTTTATTCGTTAGCATCCAGATTGGTGACGGTGGAATGCAATTTATGGGCGGTCAACATAAACAAAGAACCGCACAGTGCATTGGATTTTCAAATAATTCTGGGGGAGCCTTAGAATATAGAAGATATATATTCGCGAATATATCTTGACATAAAATATTTTTGCATACGATTAATAAGAAGAAAAATATAGACGAGCGTATTAATTTATGCAGAGTAAAAATAAATTTTCTTTGTTTAAAGTTTTTTTTTACAATTAGCATATATTATTGTATGCTATAGCATATTTATTGTATAGCATATATTATATATTTGTTCAAAATTATAAATATTCTCTCGCCACCAATGATTCCTTTATTATATACCGTGTTACATAAATAATACATTCAATGTATTTTTTCTGATATTATTTCATATGTAGACATGTAACATCTCAGGTATAGCTATTTAAAAAAAAAATGGGGAGCAGCGATTATATGACAATGTATATTTCTATATTTAAGTGAATCAACACGAAATTTTTGTCTTGCGAATTGTCTCTGAGAGTCTCTCCAAGCCAATTCTGTCGACAGAATAGCAGATCGAAATTAGAGAGAGTTTCATAAAATATTTATATATTTTTTTATTATATGAACGATTAAACAATGGCATGATGAAACTTCGTTTATCGACAGACATGCTTTACCCGGAAGAAATGTGTCAAAATTGACTGCATTTCTCAGATTTGTTGTTTCCTTCAGAATTAACAGCATTCATCAGACCAAGGAGAGAAAGATTAAAGAGAGAAAGAAAAGAAGAGATCGAAAGAAGAATAGAAAAAAATAACAAAGAGAGATAGATCGGAAGAGAGAGATATAGACAGATAATTAGAAGAGAGAAAGAAAGAGAAGCAGAATCAAAAAAAGTTAGAGGAGAAAATAAATGCTAGAGAGAGAGCAAGAAAAATTAGAGAGATGAAAAGAAAAGGATGCAGGACGAAGTGATTTAAAGAGAGATACTGAAAGAGAAAGAGATAGATGCTCTTTGGTCCGTTTAGACCGAACAATTCGGTATTTTGTTTCGTCCTCGTCATACTTCTTTTGCATAAATTATAAATTATAGACACCAAAAAAGAAAAAGGAAAAGAGATAAAGGGATTTCAAATATAAAATATCTGCTCCCTTTTAAGGAGAATTGTGCGAATCTGACGTTAATACGAGGCTTCATAAATCGAGGAACGTTTCCGTCTCGACGACATAACTCCAGTAGATCTTATCCTTCTTCCTCTTCCTCGCCTGTGCCGGTTAACATGGCGATTAAACTCGCGGTATCGATGAAACCTTTGTCGTCGATATACATCTGATCAAACGCGTCATCCACCTCTTTGGGCGTGAATTTCTCGCCCCACGTTATTAAGGCATGCCTTAACCTGTGACACAAATTTAAAAAATCATATTTTATACTACTTATATATATATATATATGTATACATATCAGATATTATACTCTAAAGAGTATTAAAATGCAGATTTTAAAAGTCAATTTTCTATTTCAGATTTGCAAATCAAGGCATTTTTTGGTACTCGTCAGAGAGACGTTTTGTAATTAATATATATTTAAAATTTAAATATATATATAAACGAAATAATTACATGAAACTAATATATGTATAATAAAATTTGGATACCAAAACTTTAATCGTTAACAGGTTGTATAGCGCTTCAGTTATCGATATCAGCATGTTGTGTCAGACTTAGACCGTTCACAATGAAACATCATAGGCACTAACAAGAACATTGCAAAATATCTACAAAAAATAATTATAATTATATTACCTTTCGCCATCAATTTTGCCATTATCGTCGAACGTCTTGAAGGCATTGATTACCACATCATCATCATCGGTACCTGACAAAGCGGGATGAAAGATTATTCACTTGTTCACTTGTTTGGATCATCAAGATATTCGACATGGATCTGATACTGACCACCTGATCCTGCCATACGGACAGCGAACAAGTTCAACAATTGAGTAAAGTTGATGGGCGCGGAAGCTTCGTTGAGCATCTCCTCGAGCTCTTTATCGGTCGCGAGTCGGCCAACAGAGTCGAAGGCTGCACGAAGATCGTTCTTGCCGATGATACCATCCTTATCTGCGTCCATTAGCGCGAATGCCTGGAGACATTGCGATCATATCAACATTTTTATTCTCTCGCAGTGTTTACAATCTTTTACATTTCTTCAAGTTACCCAGATAGCAAGTGTACGTCATTTTGACATTTAATGACATCAGTTTACTACTTGAGTATACATTAAAATAACTAAGATTAATCTTCATTGATACTGATTATTTGTGCACAATAAGGCACAATTTTTTTCCTTGGTACGATATCAAGTATAATTTTAATAAATCTCAATTCAAGATTTTATTTTTAATAAACTCCCCAAGTAGCAAATGACGTATGCTTTCTACGGTCCTTTAAAGAAGCGTAGACGAGAAAAATATCGAGGCAGAGTCGCTATACCTTGATAAAATTGATTTTATTTTTTAGGCGAATTTTGGAATCATGTACTACATAAGATATTCGATTCTCTCTCGTACCTCCTTAAACTCTGCCACCTGTTTCTGAGAGAACATGGAGAAGACGCTGGAGCCGCTGCGTTTAGCCTTGCGACTGCCGCGGCTGCTCGCTCTTGCAGAGCCGGAGTCCTTTGGTGTTGCCGCAGGGGTTGGCGCCTTCTCTTCCACTGGTGCAGGCTCAGGCTCGGGTGCGGGAGCCGCCTCCTCCTTCTTCTTGGTCTTCTTCTTCTTTTCCTTATCCGCCTTTAAGATGCATAGAATTTTACAAAATTGTCACCTTTAAATTCCACAATTGTTAAAAAAATATACTGTATATATTCAAAAATATATCTCCTATTTTAAGAAACTAATCCCATTTTTTATAAAGTATGTGAGAAAAGAACATTCCATCTTTGTAGATCTTTTTTAAAAAGTATCTTTTTGCGAAAAGATTCTTTTTTTATAATTTGAAAATTAATTAATCGACTTTATTGAGAATATTTAGGAATTAATAGATTAAATATAAGTAAATATGAAAAAGATGCAATTATAACACAAATAATAAACCTCTATATATTCTGCGATGTATAATTATGAGCGTCGCTCCTTTGCTTTTTTTTTAAATTTTGTGCAGACATTTTTACAACAGCTTTATTATAAATAGCAATAAACAGTAAAATTAGATGTCAAGAGAAATGAAACCGGAAAGTCAATTATCGGATGAGAAAATTTGCGAGGCGCTACCGTTTGGTGCTAAAAATAGAATCGTTCCCCAAGTCGTGCGGAAAAGCTGCCAGGACGTATATAGAGCGATCATCCAGTTACCGCACTACCTCTCGAATTACCATTGTTACGTAATTAATATATTTGTACCTTTATAATCATGGAAGTAAATGTCGCGTCAAGTCTGACAGTATATTTTCCCGGTCAAACAAATATTTTACATATGAAATAAACCATTTTTACTTATCATTTCTTAACATTAAATTAAATGTTATTGTAACATATATAGAAATATTCACTTTTATTTTTATCTAATTATTACCAATTTATTATTATAAAAGAGCTTCAAAATTGGAGTAAACTAGACAATTTAATCCCTTTACAAAAGTTGTAAAATGTTATTAAAATACCTTTATTTTTTTAAATTTTCTTAATTCTTCGTTTAATAACGTTCTATTCAAATTTATTAAAATAAAAGTGTTGAACAATTGATTGTTTAATAATATTTACAGTGAAAGTAAAATATTTTGTTAATAAAATAATATTTAAAGTTTTAGGGACAGTTTTATGATTTTAAATTAAAATTTATAGTAAGCACAAATGATGGAACCTACAACAATCGAGATTTTTTGCGGCTTAGAGTAAAAAAAATCTGACAAAAATCACTGCCGCAAGCACTCTTCATCATCACAAATCTGCGATATTTTGATAACATAACGTCCTCATCATCAACTCATGATTACACTTGGCTTATAGCTCGATGCACTTCGCGTAATCCATCTTCGTGAAATCCACCCATCGTATTCGCAATTTGGCAATGTTCCTGTCTCGCGATATATAATATATATAATATTTCGCATCACATAGACTCGATTTCTTCGCGTTTCCCCGTAGATCTACTACGGTGATATATTTTTTGCGCGAATCCTCGATTCCACAATCGCGGAAAGGTTTCTCGACGTTCATATTACTTACCATAATGTCTACTCTCGATTTCTAAGAGGTGGATGATACGAGATGGTTACGACGAACCAACTGTCCGAATCATAGAGCTGAACTTGTCTAAGTAACTTTTGTGGATCTCCCCCACCAGACGAGCCGGAGGTTGTCCGAGCAGGGGTGCCCCGGGTACCCGGGTACAACGCCTATCTGACCATATTTAGTTCGAGTCGCCTCAAAATAGCGACCCTTTCGACGTTTCGACTAAAACAGTTTGCCGGGGAGTTGTAGAATTCAGATGACGACGACGACGACGACGACGTCGACGATGCACCGCGTCTCTCCATCGAGAATCCACCGACGTCTTCTCTCACTGAGATTTCCGATTTCCTGTCCGATCGTGAATTAATCGGACGCCTGAACCTCCGCCAGAAACAGATTACATATTCGGAATACGAGCATTAGTCATCTCTCCTTTACGACATATAAAATGTGCAGACCAAGAGATAGAGTTGTGCTGTTTTCATATTTTAATCTCACTCTTTTTCTCTCTCTAATTAATAAATATATTATCAAAAATTTACCATTTTATTTAATAATTAAGAAAGAAAAAAAGATATAACTATTTAAAAAAATAATAGGACTTTATCAAAATATTTGTTGTAAATATATATATCAAATAAGTCAGTCTTTCTCTGAATTTAGTTTATTATAGTGATAATTTATATATATGTGCCATTACACGGCAATTTAGAAAATAATAATATATACCCATCTCTCAATCGTATACTTAAAACGCAACATTTAATTGCTAACCGAGCTTTTAGTTTGTAGCACGATATCCGAAGCACGTGGATACCAAAAATAACTGTCCGACATATTCAAGAATGCACACACCTGTGTTCCTATACATATATATTAACACATACAATCTGCTACGAGCTCCTTTCTTTTTTAAAGAGAAGATTGAGATAATTCTTATTTTGTCATGTATATTTAATTATCTTGAAAATTTTCATGTTAATTTCAAAACACTATCAACTTCAAAATTATTTTAAGAAGGCAAGGAGAGCCTCGTTAGTACACGCTATAAATATCGCGACAGTCATTGAGATTATTGTATTTGAACAATGTAGTACGAAATACAACACCTCATACGCTCAAATATATAGAACGATATCTATTATATTATAAATTAAATTTCATTATATACAATACATCAGATGATAGCTCGATTAGATTTTAGTAGCAAGCACGACAGTTCTATTTTATATAATCTATATATATATATAAAATCTATAATTATTAATTATTATACGATAATTTATTTCTTATTTCTACGCTTTATATAAACGATATTCTATATTTATCATCATTAAGGATATTAATATCACAAATATGTTCGGCAATAACGAGACAGACGCGCTATGATAATTATAGATGTTGATGTCTGTAATAAATATTATTGTTATTAGAAAATTATTATTTAAATTTTCTAATAAGCTATTCATCTGAAAAAGTTGCATAAACTTACTTTTATCATTTGGATCGCGTACGCCACATTGCCGATGTCCTAATGTGCTTTTCCTCTTTGCTGGTATGTATCCAGGAATGTCTAAACTAGGAGCTTCGAGTTTACCGGTGGATATTAGCTTGCTAAAGTCTTTCTCCAGTTTATTGGCAATTGGACCTAAAAAGATATAAAATAAAAATCATAAATATTAATAATCAAATGTCACAAAAGAATGCTCGAGCTAAATATACGTGTCTTGATAAATTTTCACCTTTAAAATGCAAAAGAAATTGAATGCACGCGCCGTTATGTAATATTTTGGTCATTCTACTGTCGATAGATAACATCCACTCAGGAATTCCCATCACTTTTCTCACATCTTCCAGAAATTGCGCTCTACAGAAACGAGAAAAAGAGAGTAAAACATATTAAATTAATAAATGTATTTATATTATAACAGATTTAATTATGCTTATTCGCTTGTATTTTAAATTTAATATTATTTAATTATATTTTTTGTAAACAGATAAAACTTACACTACAAATCGCGGTGGTTTCCTAATATTCGCGTATTTTACGATGTCGTTATCCGGTTCAATATTTGCACAGGCAAATCTATTGCTGGCAAAATCTTTGTCAAAAATAACAATAGATCTGCCTATCGCGGATACCGGGCCACCGAGAGGAAAATTTTGGTCTGTAAATACTTGTCGTTTTTCTCCAATGTTAATGGAGCCTAGACGAGACGAGATATCACCGACATAACACCTAAGCGGTAGATCTGGACCGCATTCCTGTCTATAAAGATCATCCTGCAAAGAGAAATCATTCTATAGAATTACTTTAGTAAGCAATATACATTTAATTTCTTTAGTTTTATCAAAATATAATTTTATTATAATAGATATAAATTTATTATATAATAAAAATATATTTCAATAAAATTGAAGAATATATACTCTTTAAAAAAATCGGCAATCTTTACATTCAGTGGATCGGCTAATTGCGTGAAATAGGGATTCCATACGTATCCACCTGCTACGCATCGGGTATCTTTCACCTTCACTGCAGCATCTACACCCACAGGATTTACGTATATCGCCCAATTGTGATTTCTAGTCTAATATTAAATGCATACGTTTAGCATATAATCGTGTATATATATATATATATATATATATATATATATATATATATATATATATGAATACATTAACAAATCTTAGATTTATTTTCTTACAATATTGCGATCATGTTTTCCGGGATGTCGTAAATTCACTTCGATCACCGTTTCACTTTTGCTACCATCTTTATACACAAGTTGCGTCTGTAAACATCAATTTACATTCCTATAACTTATAACGTACCATTTTTGATAAACTTTTTAAGTTTATAAGAAAAATTACCATTTTTATGTAACCATATACAAAGCCTTGCGGATGATGAAACGACGCGATAGCACGCAATTCACTAGCATCGGTTGGAGAATATCCTCTTTCTATGGTGGAACATGCCCATCTATAAATACAAAAACGAGAGATAAGAAAAAAATAGAATAAAAATACGTATTATTAATCGTGATTTTACCTTAAATTCTTTTCTCTCTTGTGAATCACTACACTACGTCCCAGTATACTTCTCAGGCCAAACAGTGGCAGCATCGTATCATTATATGTTATTACATATCTCTTTTTGTTATCTAGGGTGCCAGATTTCCCGCTTAAATCACCCATCTCATACTGATCCAACGTACCTACCTCCGTTGCTGGTACATTACTCGTATCGACACCCAATGGATTCCAGTGTCCGTAGAGCGATGTTCCCTCGCATGGAAATTCTAAATCGTATTCTACAGGTGTCTGTAAAAAAAATTATAGAAAATTTCCTAACAATGAAAAATATCAAGTAAATTTTTGCATTTTGTTTTTTATAATTTTAACATATAAAATGCGATATTACAATAAATCTTTATACATAAAATTAAAACATTACCATGTGTATGTGATATCCGCTCATATGTCCACCGAGACCTTCGAGAGATACTTCTACATTCGTGATATCGTATTCGGTCTGTTGCAATAATTCTAATTTTCCCCTTAAAGATATCTGTTCGCCATTACCAAACCAATCTCTGGTGACCGCTTTACGTCGATAAACTCCGCTAATACTAAAATGTAAATTGTACAGCTATTATATAAGATTTATATTTATATTGATATTATATTTATATTATATAAGATTTATATTTATATTGCATATTAATTATGTATTTACATGGAACAAGCCAATCGATCTCCTCTTGCGACTGGACCATGATCATCATAGATGACTAAACTTTTGCCAAACAATGCGTGGGATCCAGATAAAGGTAGCATCGTGTCGGTGAAGAGTTTTCGAGTCAGTTCTGAAGCATTGGCCTTTCTACCGGCGATTTCGAGTGTCCCATGTCTTGTTAAATCACCCAAGCGACACAATGAGACTTCTTCAATGAAGCAAGAACTATCTGGTTTCCATTCCACCTGAAATATCATGTGGTTCTTAACATACAAATTATTAAATTATAATAAGCGTCAAGAATACGTCAAAGAAAAGGGCAAAATAGAAAATTGTTGAATTTGATATTTTCCAACACGTATCTTTTATATAACTGTAATTTTTCGGAAAATTATTCTACATAATTTTCCTGTGCGTCGGTTCTTTTAAAACATAATTAATTTTTAAGAGAAGAGATTTTATGTTTTTAAAAAATTTAGTTTAATATTATATGATACCTTGTGTGGATTATAAGGCGATCCAGCGCTCAGACATCGACCTGTCCAATTGTAAAAATCTTTCCCCGGTGGATTGTCGTGTACCATCCATCTATGATAAGTCAGTTGATTATCCATAATTATAGATTTTTATAATTCTAATATATGTATATAAGATCTCTCTACCTATGACCCGCAGTATTATTTACTGCATTGCCGTCTGCATGAACGAGATATTCTATTATTACAGTAGTATCCATTTCGGGATCATCTCTGGGTTGTCGGAAGAGTATCCGTCCAACAATGGGATACCTGAATACTGCTTCTGCTGTGTACATCGACATTTGCCAATCGGTATGTGGTGTGTAAAGTGCAAATGTGCCACACACCCATGGAATTACGCCTTTATTATCGGTTTCATTGTATCTGATAACAAATATTTTTTAATATGAACGAAATTCTTGTGTAATATGTATAAATATTTAAATTTTATATAAACGCAGTTACTTGTAAAGAACTAAAGATCTGTGAACAATACTGTAGATTCCGGAAAGTGGCAAATACGTGTCCCAATAAATTCCACTCAGTTTAGCGCTTCCAGGTAAAATATCATTATGATAAGATCCTTCCTTACGATCTTGAAGTTTTCCAGAAAGATCACCGACAGCATATTGATCCTGAGTACCGAGACCTATCCCGTTCAATTATAAGAAAATCAGAATATTATTGTAATAATAGAATATTATTTACACATTTTACTGTTTCAAATTTCAGTGTTGGTTTAACTTTTTTTAATTAATTAATTATATAATATATATTATACTTTATACTATACTATATATACATACGTGTATATAATTGTGATAATTATTATTACCTGCCGGTGGGGTAATCTTCTCAACGATATTCAAAGGATTGAACAGGTTTTTAGTAGTTAAACACGAATCAACACTAATTCCCACACTTTTCGCCGGTTCCGGAGGTAATTCATGGATTCTATAAGACGCCAATTTAGTGGCGTATCGCAATCTAGTTTCCAGATCATTTATAGTTGTTAAAGAGATATTGATCCATGTTGGATCAAACGGCGTTTCTTGAATCGCTGTAATTTCTCCTTTGATTCCATGCGAATTGATTACAGCCCTAAATAATTTTTGTATACAAATTTAATTTTAAGGGACTTTGGAATTCTTTTAGGGACTATATTTTACTACTTTTTGTTAATTATATATTAAAGAAATTTTTTTTATTAATTAATGTTATTTATCAAATTAAATATTTGTTCTTGGTTTAATTATACGAGCATGATAAGATTGAAATGTGACTCTTACTTTGTATGTATTGGCTTACGATGATTAATTTTAGCACAGGCTAAAAACGAATCCTCATGCTCAGGATGAAAAATGACTAGATATAAATGACGATGTGGTCCAAGTAAATCCGTTGGTAATAAAGACAATTCTGGATCTCTGTAGAATGTTTTATATTGTTCCTGTGTATTGATAGCAACTTTTATTTTGCCTAAACGTACATCGACATCACCGATAGATTTTCCAACACCAGATGTATTAGGATCAAATACGTTTTGAAGTATGTTACAGTTGTCTTTATCTATACAAAAAATATGTACAAATATTTCAAATATAATATTAAAATGGCATTGAAAAATTATTTAAATGTACTAAAATAATTATTTAAATATAATATTTAAAAATTATACATATCAATATAATACTGACCTTTGCTAGTTTCAAAGATATCCGTAACATATATCTTCCAATAATGTTCGGTGTAATTGAGCGACTGCAATTTTTGTTTATGGATATGATGCAAATTTGTATGGATAATGGTATCGGTAGGCTCGTTATCGCCTACCTGACCACCCAACCATCGAAACAAAACTGTTCCGGCTACTGGACCATAAAAACGTGCTTGAGCAAATTTTTCAGTATTCTTTTCAAGAACCTAAAAGAGAAGCAAAAAACTATATGAAGCAATTGTTGAAACGATATTGCATATCATAAATTATAATGCGATTAAAAATAAGTAAAAATGAAACGATTATTTGATTACAGCAATTGTATTTGTAATTTACAATTACTTTTGTAATTATTTTTTATCTTTATATTTGCAGCAAGAAAGTTTTCTTTTCATTCTTTTATTCCTAAATAGATTATAACTTTTTACATTTTAGATTTTTATTACCGTAATCGAAGCACATATCGTTCTCGGCGAGTAATTATCTTTCAGCACCAAACCCTTTCCCCATAAACCCACTTCTCCAGTTAAAGACAAATTCGCGACTTCTATCGAGCCTGTTTGATTTGTTGGCAATTCGAGAGGTCCAACTTTTTCTGTCAAATCGATGATGCTACATGTAAAATGAAACAATAAAGCAGTAATAGTACAGAAAAATAAAATATATATTTACATATCAATTGATACAAAGTTTCGCTCGTATATTGTAAATACAACTAGTGATAGATAAAAAGACCAACTTATCAAGCAATTATTAGAGTTGTCTACTCTAATAATTGCTCGATAAGTTGGCCTTTTTATCTATCACTAGTTATATTACATATTTTAAATAAATATTAATTTAATAATTAAAGATAAATAAATATTATTTATATTCTATTATAAATATATACATTACACAGATATTTAAACTTTTATAATTCTCAGAACATTACAAAATATAAAATGTTTATTATATTAAATTCATGTGTAGGTATAGAAAAAGCTTTATAATACCTTTCGCCTATATGTCGTTTGTCACATCTGCCATTGATGATCGTGTAATCGACTGGAAATTGAGTAACTGACCACAACCATTGCTGATCAGGATATTGCAAGGTCGCTTTTAAAGAATATCGTATCCTTACTGAGGATTCTGTGGCTCTTTCGAAACGAATTTCTCCGTGAAGGCCACCGGAAGATATATACGCAGCGAGTCTAAGCGAACTCGCGATAGTCGCTGAAAAAAATAATTTCCTAATTTAATCTTATTCTCAAATCAAACATATATATTATTTTATCTTTCTTTATAGGATTCATATTGGCTTCAATTAAAATCCTTGCGAAAAAATAATTTTCCCAAAATGTTTATAATTATTTTGTAAAGTATATTCTATATAAGATAAAAAATATTTTATAAGATTATACTAGACGTTGATCATCGAATATTAAAAAAAATAAAAAATTCTTATTATGTACTATGGGATAACACATTTTTCTACGCGTAGTCACCATTTTTTCTAAGCACTTTTAATGACTTATAAAAGCGGCAGCACTGAACTGTCTGAACTCTTCGGCTGATGTTTATGCAAAAGCTATAAAAAAAGCTTATTTTTCAGTATCAAAAATGCTTAAAAAAAACTGACTGCGTAGAAAAATTAAGTAGATATATTACAATAAGTGTTATTGTACCAATGTAATAAAAATTTATTTTTTATGTTCGATCGGACCGTATAAAACGTACGTATCGAGAAAAGAATTTTAATGTAAAATTTATAGGATTTTCGAGAAAATTACGCTTTCTCTTTTATATATGTATAAAAACTTTGATATTTGTCGCGTTTTATTATTTAATCGCGTACGTTATAAAAAACTTTTATTATAATTAATTAAACATATGGCCTCTATTATATATTATTTTTGAATATAAAGGAAAAAAGATATATATATATATATATATATATATATATATATATATATGTGGCTTAATCCTTCTCGTTCCTATAATAAGTAAAATATTTAGATGTCGAATTGTTGTTTCGTATAAATGCGTAAACCAAAAGCGCGCTTCTGCACTTACCATAGCAAAGTAACAAGAGCCACTGCATCGTTGTTGGAGAACATCGAGAAATATTTTTCTTTTCTTTCAAAATTCGCAGATTCCTTGATATATGGATAAAGCAGGGAAAAGTGGTAAAAATGATGTGTGCGTCATACGATGAGAAATCGTGATCGAACAACGAGATGATACCGGATCAGACTGACTGAAGTAACAGAGCTTGTATACTTTCTCATTTCTTGTGACAGCAGAGCTGGTGGGAGTGGAGTGAAGAAGAGAACAATGACCTTCATTAAAATGAAAGTTAGCATAGCACAGTTAGATATACATATATATATATATATATATAATTTTTTTTTTTTTTTAAGCAAACTAAAATATTTATATATTTATATAATATTTATTATATAATAAATGTAGATTGATAAATTAAAACAATTGTAATTACGTTAAGAAAATTAACATATTGAAATATATATATAATATTATTATCAATATATGCGTATTAAAATTTAATATATATAAATAATAATAATTAAGAAATGATTCATTTATTTATATATATATAATTATCTTATAATTATTACTTTTGAATTATTTACAATTTAATATAAAACTTATTATTTTGATATTTTTTTCGCAACAAATGCACTAATAATTATTGATGAATAATGAAAAAAATACAAAAAAGTATTATACCTATATCGTCATTTGTAAATGTTTTAAAAGATTTTTTAAACAGTACTTGTATTTTTTATAAAATAGCAACATTTTACTCATCAACAATTTGCAAATTAATAATATTCGCTCTCTAGATATATAACATATTAATAAAAGATAAAGCAAACATAATAACGTCGATTGTATTTGAAAACGAGCTTACCAGAAGAATTAGGATTGTTCGCGTCGCATGCCCCAACATGCTCCTTCTTACTCCAATGCGCTCGTATTGGTGCGCTTCTCGAATTGGACCAATACGAGCGCATTGAAATAAAAAGGAGCAAGTTGGAGCATGCGACGCGAACAAACCTATTGATATGGAAGCACAGATATCTATTATTATTAGTATAAATACTGTATGTAAAAGTTTAAAAAGAAATTTCCCAAATCTTTGTATCTCTCTACCAATCACAGTCATTTATTCTTCTAGAAAAATAGCTGTGATTGGTCAATGACGTCGCAACATAAAAGTCATTTCTAAATTTCCCTAGAAGAAAAAGATAATTCCCCCACTTTAATGAAAATTTCTTGCTGAAAGGCTCTCTTGATATTATTTAAGCTGTGCTCAAGAATGCATTCATTCGATAACCAAAACCAATAGTAACAATCATGGCGGATGCTGCGGCTCGTCAATTACAGTACGAGTACAAAGCGGTTTGTATTGCTTATTCTTTTCATTTATTTCTCACTTTAATAACGTAATAATTGTCTCTCAAATTTTTCCGATATATTTATTATTTCAACTACAAAAATAATTTATAATCTTATACTACGCATTGTATGTTTAATACTGCATCTATGGCATGTGATATTACTTTATATTGCAGAATATATAAATTATTATTACTTGCAGAACTCTAATCTTGTTTTACAAGCTGACGTCCGATTAATAGAGAGACGTAGTCGAGATGAAGCTACCGGCGAAGTTATGTCCCTTGTGGGAAAATTGGATGGCACACGCATGGGCGATAGAGCTCAGCGTACCAAACCAGGGAAGGCAGAGGAGAGAAAAGTCAAGTAGGTTTCTTTTAGTATTAGAACAAAATTTAATGTGATTTGATAGTATTAAGTTTCTAGTTTAAATAAAGTTTATATTTTATATAGATATGTATATTATATACATTTATTATATATATATATATGTAAATATTTTATATATTTTATATATTATATATATTTATATATATTTATATATATTTTTTAGGCGTCAAAAACGTGATGAAGCACAATATGATTTCGCACGTATGAAAGGAGCAACATTATTGTCCGAGGGTGTGGATGAAATGGTTGGTATCGTATATCGTCCAAAAACACAAGAGACGCGTCAAACTTATGAAGTATTGCTCAGTTTTATACAAGAAGCTTTAGGTGATCAACCACGTGATATTCTTTGTGGTGCGGCTGATGAAGTACTGGCTGTGTTAAAGAATGATCGACTTAAAGAGAAAGAAAAAAAGAAAGAGACAGAACTTTTACTTGGTTTATTAGCAGAAGAAAGATTTGCTTTACTTGTTAATCTTGGAAAAAAATCACAGACTTTGGAAGTGATGAAAAAAGCACGACAAACGATGAAAATATTGATGAAACATATGGGATTAATGTACAGTTTGAAGAGAGTAGCGAAGAGGATGATGAAGACGTGTATGGAGAAGTCAGAGAAAATGATGATGAAGGGGATGAAGGTGAAGAAGCTAATGATGACAGAGCTATTCATGCAGAAAATGTACTTTCTTAATTATTTATTAATAGCAATAAATTTGAATAAAATTAAATATTTGCCTCTAACATCTATATTTTTTTTTTAGTTGGGTGGTACAGAAGAGATGAAGAAAGAAAAACCATTACATCCATTAGACATAGATGCATATTGGTTGCAAAGAAGGTTGAGTAGAATATATGATGATGCTATGGTTTCACAAGCAAGAGCTGCTGAAGTACTAGCTGTTTTGAAGGATGCTGCAGATGATCGCGAATGCGAAAATCAACTTGTGCTACTGTTGGGATATGACTGTTTCGACTTTATTAAACAACTTAAAAAGTACAGACATACAGGTAAGAATTGTAAATGTGTGTGATAAGAAGATTATATTTGTGCAGTTTTTAATTCCTCTGCCTAATAATTAAAAAAAAAAAAAAAACGAGAAACTATTTGTATATTTGCAGTTGCGTACTGTACAATGTTGGCCTCGTCACAGTCTGAATCAGAGAGACAAAAATACGTAACAAAATGAACGATGATCCAGTGTTGGCAAAAATTTTACGGCAATTGGACACAGGTAAAGGTGAAGACGATGCCGACGAGACGATGGAAGCGAGATCGCAACGTAAGAGACGGGAAGAGAACGAAGATACGGGAGGGCCTGGAGGACAGGTTCAAGGTACAAGAAATTTGATAGATTTGGAAGATTTAATATTCGCTCAAGGAAGTCACTTTATGGCGAATAAACGTTGCCAGTTGCCTGACGGTAGTTTTCGAAAACAGCGAAAAGGGTAAGTATATAAATATATTTTCAAGTTTTCTCACAATATTCGTCACCTTTGTCATTTGCATTAATGTTCGATTATTTAAAATATTTGCAGATACGAAGAAGTTCACGTTCCTGCTTTAAAACCAAAACCGTTTGCGGAAAACGAGAAATTGCATCCGATCGAACAGTTGCCCAAGTATGTGCAACCAGCTTTCGAAGGCTTCAAGACATTGAATCGCATACAAAGCCGTTTGTATCAAACGGCGTTGGAAAGCGACGAGAATCTGCTGCTGTGCGCTCCAACAGGAGCGGGTAAAACCAACGTAGCCCTATTATGCATGATGCGAGAGATCGGAAAGCATATAAACGCTGACGGCACGATTAACGCGGATGAGTTCAAAGTGATCTACGTTGCTCCGATGCGTTCATTGGTGCAGGAAATGGTCGGTAATTTTCGCAAGCGATTATCAACGTATAATCTAACCGTCTCCGAGTTGACAGGCGACCATCAATTAACACGAGAGCAAATTGCTGCCACTCAAGTGATTGTGTGTACCCCGGAGAAGTGGGATATCATAACGAGGAAAGGTGGCGAGAAAACTTTTACATCATTAGTACGATTGATCATTATCGATGAGATTCACTTGTTGCATGACGAGAGAGGTCCTGTTCTAGAAGCATTAGTTGCGAGAACAATACGAAATATCGAGACTACTCAAGAGGATGTGCGACTTGTTGGTCTGTCGGCCACGTTACCCAATTATCAAGACGTCGCGGCATTCTTGCGTATCAAACCAGAATCAGGACTGTTCTATTTTGACAACAGTTTCCGACCTGTGGCTCTAGAACAGCAGTACATTGGTGTCACCGAGAAGAAAGCGTTAAAACGCTTCCAGGTGATGAACGAGATTGTCTATGAGAAGACGATGGAACACGCCGGCAGAAATCAAGTTTTAATATTCGTGCACTCGCGCAAAGAAACCGGAAAGACGGCACGCGCTATTAGAGACATGTGCTTAGAGAAGGACACCCTAGGTCAGTTTCTTAGAGAAGGCTCTGCGTCGATGGAAGTTTTGAGGACGGAAGCGGAGCAGGTGAAGAATCAAGAACTCAAGGATCTGTTGCCGTATGGTTTCGCGATTCATCACGCTGGTATGACTCGAGTAGATCGTACATTGGTGGAAGATCTTTTTGCTGATAGACACATACAAGTTCTAGTATCTACTGCGACTTTAGCCTGGGGTGTCAATTTGCCAGCTCATACAGTCATCATTAAAGGAACTCAAGTATACAATCCAGAGAAAGGCAGATGGGTAGAACTAGGCGCTCTTGACGTGCTGCAAATGTTAGGAAGAGCTGGTCGACCTCAGTACGATACCAAGGGCGAAGGTATTCTTATCACAAATCACAGCGAGTTACAGTATTATCTATCGCTTCTGAATCAACAATTACCCATCGAATCCCAATTAATCAGCAAGATGTCCGACATGTTGAATGCAGAGGTGGTGTTAGGTACGATCCAGAATATCAGAGATGCAGTTACCTGGCTCGGCTATACTTATCTTTATATCAGAATGCTACGTTGTCCAAATCTGTATGGAATAAGTCACGACAAATTGAAGCAAGATTCTTTGTTAGAACTTCATAGAGCCGATCTGATTCATTCGGCCGCGGTCGGATTGGACCGTAGCGGTTTAATTAAATATGATCGCAAGTCCGGGAATTTCCAGGCAACCGAATTAGGCAGAATAGCGTCTCATTATTATTGCACTCACGAGACGATGTCTACGTACAATCAACTGCTGAAACGTACATTGAGCGAGATAGAATTGTTTCGCGTATTTTCCTTGTCCGGCGAATTCAAGAATATAAATGTCCGAGAAGAGGAGAAGCTAGAGTTGCAGAAGCTGATGGAGAGAGTGCCGATACCTGTGAAAGAGAGCATTGAAGAGCCAAGCGCGAAGGTAAATGTGCTCTTACAGGCGTATATTTCGCAATTGAAGCTCGAGGGATTCGCTCTCATGTCTGACATGGTGTTCGTGACGCAATCCGCATCGCGTCTCATGCGAGCCATTTTTGAAATAGTCCTGTTTCGCGGTTGGGCGCAACTGGCGGACAAATGTCTCTCCCTGTGCAAGATGATCGATCGCAGGATGTGGCAATCGATGTCGCCGCTCAGACAATTCCGCAAGATGCCGGAAGAGATCGTGAAGAAGATCGAGAAGAAGAACTTTCCGTGGGAGAGACTATACGATCTAGGTCCCAACGAAATCGGAGAATTGATCCGTGTACCGAAATTGGGTAAAACCATTCACAAGTACGTTCATCAGTTCCCGAAGCTTGGCCTGTCGACGCATATTCAGCCCATCACGCGTTCCACTCTTCGAGTTGTACTAACTATCACCCCGGATTTCCAATGGGATGAGAAAGTCCACGGGATGTCGGAAGCGTTTTGGATCCTGGTCGAGGACGTAGACTCGGAGGTGATACTCCATCACGAGTACTTTTTGCTAAAGGCTAAATACGCGGCTGACGAACATATAATCAAGTTTTTCGTGCCAGTTTTCGAACCTCTACCGCCACAATATTTCTTGCGCATGGTATCCGACCGATGGATCGGCGCCGAAACGCAATTACCTGTAAGTTTTCGACATCTGATACTACCCGAGAAAAATCTACCACCTACGGAACTATTAGATCTGCAAGCGCTACCAATCACGGCGCTGCGAAACGCAAAGTTCGAAAACATCTATTCCGAGTTCCCGCAGTTTAATCCGATTCAAACGCAGGTGTTCAACGCGGTTTATAATTCTGACGATAACGTGTTCGTCGGAGCACCCACGGGTTCGGGAAAAACGACCATCGCGGAATTCGCGGTGCTAAGATTATTGACTCAAAACTCGGAAGGTAGATGCGTATACATGGTGAGCAAGGAAGCGTTGGCCGAATTGGTCTACGACGACTGGGCGAAGAAATTCGGCCAACAACTAGGCAGGAAGGTCGTTCTTCTGACAGGCGAAACAGGAACGGATCTAAAACTGCTGGCCAAAGGACAGATCATTATCACCACAGCGGACAAATGGGACGTGTTGTCGCGTAGATGGAAACAACGGAAGAATGTACAGAACATCCAGTTATTTATCGTGGACGAGTTGCAGTTGATCGGTGGCGAGGAAGGCCCCGTGCTGGAAGTCGCGTGCTCGCGAGCACGCTACATCTCCTCCCAGCTTGACAAGCCTACCAGGATAATAGCTTTATCGGCCTCCTTGGCTGATGCTAAAGATGCGGCGCAATGGCTAGGTGCGCCAGCAGCGGCCACCTTCAATTTCCATCCTTCTGTGCGACCAGTGCCGCTGGAGCTGCACGTCCAAGGTATAAACGTCACCCATAACGCATCAAGATTGGCCGCTATGGCGAAACCGGTGTACAACGCGATCCTCCGACATGCTGCGCATAAACCGGTCATCATATTCGTGCCCACTCGTCGACAAGCGAGATTGACGGCTATCGACCTGCTAACGTTCACGGCGGCTGAGGGTCAACCGTCAAGGTTCTTTCATGCGGAAGAAGCGGACATCAAGCCGTTCCTCGATCGGATGGTCGATAAAACGTTGAAGGAGACTCTGTCCCAAGGTGTGGCTTATCTTCACGAGGGTTTATCGGCGGACGATCGTCGTTTGGTCGAACGACTGTTCGATAGCGGCGCTATTCAAGTGGCAGTCGCCACGAGGGATCTCTGCTGGGGTTTATCCATCAATTCCCACTTGGTCGTGGTCATGGATACCCAGTGTTACAATGGTAAAACGCACGCTTACGAAGATTACCCGATCACGGATGTTTTGCAGATGGTGGCGCGAGCTAATCGTCCACTGGAGGACGAGGATGCCAAGTGCGTGCTCCTGTGTCAGAGTTCGAAGAAGGATTTCTTCAAAAAGTTCCTGAACGAACCGTTACCAGTGGAAAGCCATCTTGATCGCCGGCTACACGATCACTTCAACGCGGAGATTGTGACAAAAACGATCGAGAACAAACAGGACGCGGTCGATTACCTCACATGGACCTTCCTATATCGACGACTTACTCAAAATCCCAATTATTATGGTCTGCAGGGTGTTACGCATCGACACCTCTCGGATCATCTGTCCGAGTTAGTCGAGAGTACATTGACCGATCTTGAACAAGCCAAGTGCGTCGCCGTGGAGGACGAGATGGACACCTTGCCACTGAATCTAGGAATGATCGCCGCCTACTACTACATCAATTACGCTACCATTGAATTATTTAGTCTGTCTCTTAACAACAAGACAAAGATCAGAGGTTTGCTAGAGATTATTTCGGCAGCCGCCGAGTACGAGAGCGTTCCGGTGCGACAGAGGGAAGAAAATTTATTGAGGAGTCTAGCCGCACGTCTACCTCATGCACCACAAGCCACCAGAATGGCCGATCCTCATGTGAAGGCGCAATTACTGTTGCAGGCTCATCTGTCGAGGATACAGTTAGGTCCAGAATTGCAAAAAGACACCGAATTAGTCTTGGGTAAGGCCGTGAGATTGATACAAGCTTGCGTCGATGTGCTGAGCTCCTCTGGATGGCTGGCACCCGCAGTCGCAGCTATGGAATTGGCACAGATGGTGACGCAGGCAATGTGGTCCAAAGACTCTTATCTGAAGCAGCTGCCGCACTTCACAGCTGAAACCATAAAGCGTTGCACCGACAAAGGAGTGGAGACAGTGTTCGACGTAATGGAACTCGAGGACGACGACCGGAATCGGCTGTTGCAGCTGACGGACACGCAGATGGCGGATGTCGCCAAGTTCTGCAATCGTTATCCTAACATTGAGATGTCGTACGAAGTACAGGATAAGGACAAGCTACGCAGCGGCGGGACGGTAAACGTGATCGTGCAATTGGAACGCGAAGACGAGGTCACCGGACCGGTAGTCGCGCCGTTCTTCCCGCAGAAACGCGAGGAGGGTTGGTGGGTGGTGATCGGCGACCCGAAGAGCAACTCGTTACTGTCCATTAAGCGGTTGACATTGCAGCAGAAGGCGAAGATCAAGCTGGACTTTGTCGCTCCGGCACCCGGCCAACATTCCTACACTCTGTACTTCATGAGCGACGCTTATCTCGGCTGCGATCAGGAATACAAGTTCACCATCAACATCGGGGAGTACGAATCGGATGCCAGTTCCGGTTCCGATTCCGATTGAGTCGTCTAAAACTCTTAAAGTTCCGTGATAAATATTTATCTTTTTTTTTTTTTTATAAAAAGCATACTTGTTAAATATTCCGATATCATCATCCGATCAATCTGATTTCTCTTTTAATATTTTAATATAACTGGAATAATAACTATAAAAAACGTGTGTAGAATATCGTAAAAGTAGCAATGATTTAGTATAAACACACTGAGTGTTACGATAATTATTGTTAGAACTAAGAATAAAATTTATATTTAAATACAAAGGATGATGATGTGTGTGTACTTCTTTAATAGCTATATATTCTTTGGTATATATCAAGTATTTTGCATATAAAATCTCTTGAATATTTATCCTCATTATAATTAGTATCTGTTATTTGTATTTTATCGTTTGTATAGTTAACAGCTATAGATAAGAGAAAAGAAATATGTATACTATATTTTTGATGTTTGCATTATTTATCAACAAAACGTCAATCAAAATTTATTATTCGATATTTTTAAAAATGAGATTACATATATTCATTCAGAAATTAAAATTCGTAAGGTTGTAAGCAGCCGACCAATTACAATCGATCATTCTTACAACGTAATATAAGAATTTATTAACAAAATGTCAATTAAAATTCATTCGATATCTCTAAGAATGAGATTACATATATTCATTCAGAAATTCAAATTCGTAAGGTTGTAAACAATCGACCAATTATAATCGATCATTCTTACAACGTAATATAAGAATTTATTAACAAAATGTCAATCAAAATTTATTCGATATCTCTAAGAATGAAATTACATATATTCATTCAGAAATTCAAATTCGTAAGGTTGTAAGCAATCGATCAATTACAATCGAGCATTCTTACAACGTAATATAAGAATGTTTATGATAGGCGCAGCCGGAAAATCAACGCATGCGCGCTAAAAATTTGATCTATCGAGAACAAAGAAATATCTATTATTATATTATATTATATTATTATATAATTCTATTATATTAATTCTATGATTTGTATAGAAATTCTGCATTCGATAATCAACTGATAAATCTAACAAAAAGATTTCTCCAATGCTCAAAGATACATTTTAAAATTTTCCAACAAGAGAACATGTAGAAAAATCCTTGGGATTTCAAAAAGTCTCTATTCAATGGTCAATCGGCATCGTGCTTTTTTCTCCCTAGAATCAGGCAACCAATCAAATCGCGCTCGCGCCTCGGAGTAAATTTTCTCCATTCTTCCGCGACACGACATAGATATAAAAATTCGCCAGGCGGTTTCCCGTCTATATTTTTGGTCGACCGTTGCTCCTCCTCTGTCCGATCTTCCTCTTCGGTTACGCTGACCTCAAGAGTTCTCTTTGAAGCATCTCACGTCGGTGACGTTTAGGCTCGCGGTAGAAGTTGTTCTACGGTTTACATAAGTGCTTCTAAGTAAGTAAGAGCGACAGATGGAGGAGATTCTGCAAAATTATGGAAATTGCGACGAGACGGACGCGCGCTTCGCCGGGTTTATTCGCGGATATTTTAATGGCCTCGGCCATCATCGTGGTCACGCATCGCGCGCGATCTTAACCTCTGAATCAGCCTTTTGGCGTTATGTGCGTAATCCACCGGCCTTGTACGTCATATGCAACCGTGGTGGCCCGATAATTGTCGCGCGATTTCTCGCGCCGCCATTTGTCAAAAAGCGCACTCGACGCTTTTCAGCTCGCGTCTTGCAATTCGAATGCATCGCGAGCGTTTTCGCGAGATTGCGTCGAGAGGGATTGTCCGATGTAGCGTGTCGAATCTAATACCTATCGAGTCATACGAGAGATGGATATCTTTAGCGCGCACGTTTTTCCTCATGAATTTCAGAGCGTTTTGCAACTTTTCGCAATTAATTTCTCCTCTTGAGTAGAAAACTTGGAATTTTATGTACAAAAAGGTCACGTTTCAAAACGTTTTCCAGGAAAATTTTACTTAAAAAAACTATAATGCATGTTACATGCATCATATATTTTCAGTAAAACTTTCCTCGAAGAAGACGTTTCGGAATATAACTAAAGATAATAGGGTGTGATTGTATAATTGTTTGATTTTTTCTTTAATCTACTTTTCAGAAAGGAATTGTATGAGTCAAAAAATAGAAAAACCAATACTATCAGGTCAACGCATCAAGACCAGAAAAAGAGGTACAGAATGTGCTTTTATCACATGGAATTTTAAATTCTCTCTTTTAAAAGTATTAAATAGTAGCGAAATAATCATTTGCAGATGAAAGAGAGAAATATGATCCAACTGGATTTCGGGATGCGGTGTTACATGGCTTGGAAAAAGCTGGTAACGACTTAGAAGCAATTTCTAAATTTCTGGATGCAGCTGGTTCCAAGTTGGATTATCGTCGATATGGGGAAGCACTATTCGATATCATGATAGCTGGAGGCCTTTTAGTTCCTGGTGGTTCCATTGCTCAAGATGGTGACAAACCGGTCAAGACCAGTGCGTGTGTTTTTGAACAGGCAGAGGATATGGAGTCCATGCGGAATTTTGAACAGGTATAAACTACAAAAATAATCGAGTATTTTTAAACTACTTTAAAATCATTATTTTGATATATTCAAATTGAATAACTATATTATGTTTAAATAAATAGGTCTTTATTAAGCTTATGCGACGTTATAAATATCTGGAAAAAATGTTTGAAGAAGAAATGAAAAAAGTATTGGTATTCATGAAGGGATTTTCACCTAAAGAAAGGATTAAGCTAGCTAGAATGACTGCGTTGTGGATATCTAATGGTTCTGTACCACCCTCAGTTCTCTCGGTTCTGATCAATGAGCACCTTGTTAAAGATAACTTGGCATTAGACTTTCTATTGGAAGTCTTTGTTACTTGGAAACAGGAGAAGGGTTTATCTAGTTTAATGACAGCTCTGAAAAAAGGTGGCATTGAAGGAAGGTAAAATTGAAGTATAATATATTTATATTAAATATTATATTGTTGTATTATTTCATTTTTCTTGCTTACATCATTTTTTTCCGTATACATTTTAGGTTGATGGAATTCGTACCACCAAATAAACGAACAGAAGAACATTTTCGATCTGTATTTGAAGCGGTAGGACTGGCTGATATTGTGAAATTACACAAGGCTCAAGCCAGTCAAGAAGCCAAACGAGATTTGCAACAACTTCTCTTGGATGACTTAGGAGAGAATAGGCCAATGAAGGATATAACATTAGATCTTAAGGAAATGGCACAAAGAAATGGCATTCCTGAACACGAAGTGATTGGAGTGGTAACTTTTTCAATTTTTATTTTTTTACTTGATTTAAACTTTCAAGAGAGATTTTTAAAAATAACTGTTTTGTCTGCAGATTTGGGTCGTTGTTATGGGTCAAGCTGAATGGAACAAGAAAGAAGAGTTAGTTGCTGAACAAGCACTGAAACATCTGAAAATTTATACTCCATTGTTTGGTGCTTTTACAACCACTGCCAGATCTGAGCTCGCACTTATTCTCAAGGTCCAGGAGTTCTGTTATGATAACATGAACTTTATGAAAGTCTTCCAGAAGATTGTCTTACTCTTTTATAAAAGTATGTTGATATACATGTATTATATGCATAATAATCTAAAACTAAAAATTTTTTACAATAATGTATCACTTACATTTTTCGACACTTGTGTTTATATATGTGTAATTTTATTAAATATTTGATATAAATATAATCAATTTGTAAAATTTCAGCGGATGTTGTATCAGAAGAAGTAATATTGAAATGGTACAGGGAAGGTCATTCGGTTAAAGGAAAAATGCTCTTTTTAGACCAAATGAAAAAATTTGTAGAGTGGCTACAGAGTGCTGAAGAGGAATCAGGATCAGGAGAAGAAGAAGATTAAAAAATATTCAAGTAAGTTATATAATACTGTACAAAATGTACACATTATGTGAAGGTATATTTTAACATATCCTCCTTTACAGAAGAACGCATCATTGTCAGTGATGAAAAATGACATAGTCCCAAAATTTCAAGACATCAAGAACAATTCAATATCAATTGGAAAAGACATGAACTCTTCATTGAAAATATACAAAATAGGTAAAACTTAAGTCAATGTTAGGTACACCATGATGGATCAGGTATTTCAGGAAAGAATAGAAAATTTTTAAAATTGTCAATAAGAACTCTAAATACTAACACAATCCAATCAGTGTTAAAGAACTGTAAATTTGCAATGTCTTTGAATTGTATTACTTTAAGAAAAAATATTTTGTGTTACATTTTTATAAACTCCGCTACAAAATATATACAGAACAAAGAAATTATAAAAGAAAAAAATCTTTATCCCTGTGTACGTACAATTTTCGGATCCCTGTCTTTCTTTGTATATAATAATATTGTACTAGTTTATAGAAAATATATACTGACAGGTGGTGTTTAATTACTCGATCTTTTAGTGACTCCTAACTTCCTTTTGTAATAAATTATATCAACTTCATAAACTTTTATATTATGAACTTTATAATATATATTTTGTATGTGTGTATTTTCATGTAATGAATATTCGATTCTTAGGTGACAAATCTTGAATCTTTATATAGGATATTTATCAGTTGTGTTTTGAAAATCTTCAACAATAACATTCAGATGTATGATGGCATCTGTATTTGCTATCTCTACGAAATGCATTCCTATTTATTATTTGCATATACACATAAATTATTTTCTTAAATATAAGTTTCGTTCTTTTTCTGAACATAGGAAGAATAGCGGGTCTCTTGATTTTAAGATCTCTCATTAATAGGCAATCCTATTATTTTGTTGCTCTATATTACAAACTATTTTTTCTGCTGACCTACATATTCCCTTCTGATGCTATACATGTGTATGTATGTGTTTAAATTACATATATGTGAATACATATTACATATATATGTGAATGGATATATATATGTTTATGTATATATGAGTAGAAAATCCTAATTGTAAGATTGAGGATCTCAATATTTTACTTTTACTTAGAAAAGGCTTACATATATTAAGAAATAAAAATGTATACTTTCAAAATAAATTAGTAATTTAATTTATAAAGAAATTTATTCAATCTATGATTGCAATTATTTATGATAACATGTACCAGTATATATATATTATAGCAACATAATCAATCTTATATATTTTAATTGTTTGGATTTAATTTTTGTTTGTATTTATAATTTCTCATGTCCGCTATTGGTTGCTTTCTTATAAGTGTTTTACCCTTCATTAGGGGCACCAATTTCTCTGGCACAGTAATACGGTGATGTTTTGTCTGATAAGTCTCGCACAACGTGATCAGCATGCGAGGTATCGCACACGCAGTTCCATTTAATGTGTGCACGTGAACTATGTTTCCCTCTTCTGTCCTGTACTTGATATTGAGACGTCTAGATTGATAATCTGTACAATTACTGCAACTAGACAATTCACCATACAACTTTCTTCCAGGCATCCAGCCTTCTATGTCACATTTTCTATAAAGACAAAAAAGACAAAAAATTATAGCATTTGCATATCTAAGAAAGTACAAATTATATATTGAAATATGATTGCTATACATACCTATAAGCTGGTGAGCCTAAGTCAGATGGAGGCATATCCAACATTTGAAAATGTAATCCTAGCGAAGAGAACAATTCCTCTTGTATGTCTTGAAGATCTTGAAATATTTTCTCAGATTGATATGGTTCGGAACACACAAACATTTCCACTTTGGTGAATTGATGAACTCTATACTCAAGAGAACATAATAAATTCAGCATTAATTACAAAATTAATTTCTTCACACAATCTTTAAAATATATTTTTATACTCTAATAATACTTCTTATTACCTATAGATTCCCCTTTCATCCAGTGAACTTGAACCCTCTGCACGATAACATCGACTAACAGCAGCTAATTTCAATGGTAATTGATCATAAGAAAATGTAGAATTCATCAATTTTGCAGCTAATGACATTTCTGCAGTTCCAGATAGACTATAGTCATCACCGTAATAAGGATCTAAATTGTATACAAGAGTTCGACCATCATCCACTATTAAACCACATCTCTCAATAATTTTAGTTTGAATGATATCAGGAACCGATACTAGTTTAAATCCATACTTTATCAATTTCCCAACAGCGTACTGAATCAACGCTTCTTCCAATTCTGCCAAATCTCCTAAGAGCATGTAACTTCTTTGCCCGGCAATGGGACCTAGAGCATTTGTCCTTATTGCTTTCAAATTGACGGTAAGTTCAGCAAATTCTTCAGCTTCAAAATCAAATTTTACTTTCTTGCCACACTGTTTTAAAACTCTTGGTTTATCATATTCAAGTACTGCAGGATGTGTACAATTCGGTATTTTGCTCAACTCTCGCAAAAACAATTCTCGCTTCTCGGGCTTACTCGAAAGTTCAAGAACTTTATCGATATCGCCAACATCTTTCCTTTTCCTGATATTATTAAAAATAACATCGCGATTTCTAGGATTGCATAAGAAATCTGTATCATATTCCGGTTCAAGCAGGCATAATTTCTCGTTGATCACATTTTTTCCTGAAGTTTCCAGAGGCTGTTACAAGCATTATTATTAAAATTGATTGTTATATAAAAATATAAAAAAGATTTTTACAAATAACGATACAGTTACGTACCAATGTGTGTTGCCAGGAATTTCGTAATCTACAAAATTGCTTGAGATATTTTTCAAGCCTAAATTTCATTTTATTTAAAGAATGCATCCATTCATACTATTCTACTACAATGAACGTGTTCGACAAAATAAATTGATTGACACTGTATACAAATAGTGTGGTTTGTTACATGCAGATTGTTATTGTATCTTTAACATTTATTCTACTTCAGTTTCATATATGCTTACTAATATTTTCAGCAATTTTAAGCTAAAGTAATGACATTTATTTATAAAATTATAAAGATCACATTTTTTGTTATATTATTTTAAAAAATAGCCTATGCATACCCTTCCCTTCCCCCTAACGCAAATTTTTATTCATTGTATTCTCTTTTAGGTTCATTTCACAATAAGTTGCGAATGCCCTGGTTGCCAGTCGATAGCTGCGGATTGGCCAATAAAAGCGAAGCAACTTATCAGCTGATTGATCAGCCCATCCTGTCAACTGTCATTGGCCAATCAGAGCAAAGCAACTCGTCAGCTGATTGGTCAATCCGCAACTGCCAACTATCAGACCTTACATCTATTCTCTGTTCCTATTGGTGGAATAGAGAAACATGAGCCAATAGGAAAACAGAGAACAGACGCTAATTCTATCGCTATCGTTCGGCATTGTGCACGGAGCTTTATGTACCGTCGTAAAAATGGGCAGGCAAGTTTTTCCGGTTGCGCATGCGCGTCGCATTCGAGCGCGAGCTTGGCGTCGCTCGCTTGATGGAAAAGACAGAAAAGGCGGCTTCGGAGCACTTGGCGTATCGACCGAGCACTCATCAAAATCTTATTCCGCGTATTTTACGCGCGCGCCGCTGCGAACTCGCAAAATAACGGGTGGGTAGAAAGGACGCTGGACGACGAGCGAGAGGAATTGAACGCGGATCGCGCGTGGATTTTCTCCCGAGCTCGCTCGCACGGAACCTTTCCATTCCGCGTGACGATAAACGCTCACCCCTCCATCATCCTGCGTTGGCCATATTGCTATCCGTTGATAAATTTACGGAATTTTACCGTACCGACTGGTGAGTGCGGATCCTCGCGCGGGGATCATCGCGTCGCACGAAGTGTCAAAATAACGTGAACGCCGTTTCTCGACGACGTTTCGACGACGGAGCGGAAACCTCGCCTAACGATTCGCGTTTACTCTACTACTCTACTGGCCGACATTATTATATCCCGACACGATGCGCAAACCGCGAAAACGCGACCTTCGCTGTCTCGCAACGTGTCGACTTCCTTGAATATTTATTTTGGAATATTTCGCGCTCGCTTTCCTCGACTCTAGCCGCGATCTAATATCAGGCGAAAATATTAATATTCCTCGGTATCAGTCAGCAATTCTCGAGTGTACATAATAATTAATTTATATGAAATTTGTCTAGTTATACTAGTCTTTATTAGTAGTATTACATTAAATTTTTTCATATATATATATATATATATATGTATAAAATTGTTTACCTCTTTTAGGTTTATAAAATGGATATAAAAATGGAGTTATCGTCAGAAATATTGGAGAGCTTGGTTATGGACAACAAAGATGTTATAGAGGTGCTGAAGGATGGAAGGGTTACAGAGGAAGATATTATATTTGAGTCTGAAGCAACTGAGGATTCCGAAGAGACAGAAATAGAAGAAATTATAGAAATAATCGAAGAGGTTGAGGAATGTGACGAGACTGCTCTGGATGATGATGTATCTTTGGAGGATAAGGATATGACTGTGAATACAAAGGATGATGGAATGGTTGAGAGAGTAGAGAAAAATGATCAAGCGACTAAGAAAAATGTAGAGCTTTATAGCTTTGAGGAGGACAATTCAGTATTTGCTTCGCAATCTGCAAAAAAAGATTCAGTCAAAAATACTAATAACAGTACACAAAAGACTATTAATAAGCAAGTTATTACTTATGACGTAGATGAGGACTGGCAGGATGAAGAACTGGAACGCATAGATGAATTGGCCAGTAATCATGCAGATTCTGTACAGATACAAGATGATAAAAAACATATGAATAATCAAATTATTTCACTGCAATCAAATAAAATAGATTTAAGAATTGCTATGGATTCTATGAAAAAGTTGGACAAACCTCGAACAGATAGTGGTATTGGAAATAATATAAACATTATTGAAGATGATAACGAAACAACTCATGAGATAGTAAAGAATGTAGAGAACAATCTGTTGTACACTGTACTTGGCACAAAGAAACAAGATGTGTCTAAGCAACAGGAGAAGATCCCAGACACACATTATGTTAAAGTTAGTATAATCTTTGCAAAAAAAAATATAATCAATCTTTTTTGGCATGGGTAATGTGTGCATTATTTTAGATGGAACGACTTCAGGAGAACACTATACCAGTTGAAGGTACCATTTACTATGAAGGAGATAATATGGAAACATTATATGTAGCGCAAGCTATTGATGACAATGAACAATATCAATACGACAATGCAACAATAGAGCAAGATGAACAAATGTCTTGGGAGGCGGCAAATTCCGAATCTAATCAAAATCAAGAAGAAGATAGTTCTCAGGTATAACATCTCTAGTTAAAATGTTAACATCCAAATATTACAAACAAAATGTATTACATACTCTACTTTTATATAGGATCAGATATTTTTACACGAGGACGAAGATGGTCAGTTGTATTTTAAGGATGCCAGTGGAATTTTGCAACCAGTATATTTGACCGAGGATGGAAATTATGCGATTGCTGACACCAGTGAGGATCATACTGGTAAAGAATTGCAATCAAAATCCCAACAAAACAGTGATACGATGGAAGACGATAGTTACATTTTGCCTGATTCAGATTCTAAATCCATTTCTAAACAGGTATAGTTCTAATATACATTGATTAATTTCATGTTAAAAAGAAATTGTTCGTATTCTAACTATATTTATAAATTTACTAGACCACCAGTAATACGGTATCACCGACGTCGCTTCAAGACTTTGATAATGAAGACAATACTGTAACCATATCTTTGATAATATCAGAGGATGAGAACGGACAAAAGAGAACTCAAGTTATTATACCGACAACGGATAATTTAAAATGTGACATCTGTAACAAAAGTTTCAAAACATCCTGCCAATTACTCAGACATAATAGATTGAAACATGCTCGTGAGGAAGATATAACTACTAGAAACTTTCCTTGCGATTTGTGTCCTAAAAGGCAAGTAGAGCCTGGAAATTTATGCTCTAAAACAAGTTGAAAAATTTAATAATTTAATTATTTTATAAAATTTTTAATGTTAACATTTTTTTTATATTACATTTTTTTACCAGGTATCCAGATCAGACTTCCTTAGCTCGCCATAGAAAAACTCACACTGGCGATCGACCATTCCAGTGTTTGGAATGTCAAAAGAATTTTCCCACTTCCACGGCGTTACGGCGTCATTTGACTCTCCACAATTCTCAATCGCGACCGCTTCCTTGCATTTACTGCGGTCGGCGATTCATGGACAAGACTAGTCTAGCGAAACACGAAGAATCACATATGCCTAATGAGCAGCGCAAATACACGTGTGACATATGTCAAAAGACCTTCCATCACATAACTGACCTGAGTATGCACAAGAAGTATCACGATCCTGATAAGAAATTTGACTGCGAGGTGTGCGGTCGCGAATTTAACAGATTGAACAACTTGCAGAGACACATGATGGTACATCAGCAAGTACGTATATAATTATTTTATAATTACATCTTAGATATCTCTTATTTTAAAAAATATATCTTCTACAATATTTTCTTAATAATATATAGAAGAAAGTACAAATGTAATGTTGCAATTTAATTTATTTTTGCATTTTATGATTATCTTATTTCAAGTTTCATTGCAAATTATTTTTATTACAAATTAGGGTTGTATATTATTTTTCTCTTATGTATAGCAACAAGGAGGAAATGAAGAAATACTTTCTTGTGACGTTTGCGGAATCACATATAAATTCATGAGTTCGTTAACGAGACATATGGTGACTACTCATATGAATCCTGAAAAATTGAGACAGCAAGCAGAAGAGCAGAGAAGAAAACGTGAGAATAATTATCGAAAGTATTTAGAAAACCGAAAGATGTACGAAACTCAGCATTCTCCGTACGGTACAAGACGTAAATATCATTTAGCTTCCGAAAGTAATGATGAAACGGCCTGACTTCAATTTTCTCGTAGTCTCTTGATAGTTTCATAAAGAGCAGTCATAAGATTTCTATGAGTATAATTCCACATTAGTGCGATGTCTTTGTATCATTTATTGATTGACATAAATGATACAGATATGCATTTAATTAAATAAATATTATTGACAACATACATATATATCCACACATACAAACATACACATACAAACACACATATGTATATATAATATATATATATATATATATACATATGTATATATAAAATTAAAAATATTTAATGTATATTAATATATATTAAATATAAATTGTGTATATATATTATATATATAAATATATTAATGTATATATATTAATTAAAAAAATATATATATGTAGATGGGCTCGATCAGTACATGATTATTGACATTATGAAATTAGCATGTGTATACAGTAAATGCATATATATATATATATATATATAATGTTTCATATAAATATAATTTTTTTTTAGTCTCTTGCATGCATTTTTAATTCTGATTTAAAATAAAATAGCACCATTCATATACAAATGTTTAAAGTGTGCCTTAACCACGAACTTGTTTATTTGCACAATGTCTCAAGTGTTTTAAAGTACGCGTATTTAATATCGAATTCCATATCGTACCAATAATTGATAGATATGCAAGCATGGGATTGTGTTACATGATGGAACCATAAAGATGGTAAATATAGTACATCTCCAGCTCTCAGTGTTATTTTCAAAGTGTGTACATTATGATATTCAGGATATCTATAAAGATAAATGTTTAGTTTTAGTCTTATTCTCTTAAATAAATGTCTAAAAAAGAAAATTATATGCTATATTCATACTGAACTTTTCATAATCTGGGTTTAAAGGATCTATACATATCCATGGTATCAATGTGGAATTGGCAATCTGTTCTGAATTAGATGTTTCATTAGCTATCGATTCGATAACCCATTTTCCAGATTCATATGCTTTGTAAACAGCAGATGGATAATTTCTATATGGAATCCATGGTAAATCCGTGGGAGGATGTAAGATAAAGTTCTTTTCACCAGACACAACACAATATATATTTTCATAAGGATCTTTGTGCACTAAACATAAATTGAAAATATGTAATTATTTTAGTATACTTGTGAATTTTGTCAATTCTGTTAGAATTAAACATATATAAACTTGTAAAATGATGTGGATAGTATACAGAATTCGTCAAATTATAAAAGTAAGATTCAACTAACAATCTTGTAATAAGTTTTTTTTAGAGATATCCAAGACATTAAAATACACTTTCCGAAATGTGTTATTAAGTAATATAATAATAAAATCTTACTGGAAGTTACAGCTCTTTCATCTCCCATCCAAAAGTTCACAGCATCAGGTTGCTTTCCAAATGCTTCAGTGGCCCATGATATTTCAATTTCTGCATCCGACCATAATTTGCGAAAACTGTTTATAAAATTAGAATTTTGTTTCTGTATATAAAATACGCTGTCTTCCTTTGGATTTTCTAATGTATCGAGAAACTCTGACATTGTGAGTAAACGTTCCTCAGGCATTACGAAAAATTCCTCCCTAGTGTCATCTTTTCTGGCTATTGCATCTGCATAGCCATTCGGTGTTACAGCGATTGAAACGTTTTCGTCCCCAAATACTTGATGAAGGTATGGTATGGACCATTTGTTTCTAGCAGGCCAATGATTTATCGCTCCCTTTATTATTAATGGTATATTTTTGAGACGTACTCTCGGTAGAAAATAAGAGGTGTAAGTTCTGTACAATTTATTTCTGCAACTTTATTTTGCAAATATAATTCTACAAAAAAATATAAAGTTACACAAATTATGTATTACAGAGCTATGCAAATTTATATTTATAGAAATATATTTTTATGTAATTTTGTATGTTCCTTATATGATTTTATGTATAATTTATATATATATACAAGGTGTCCGGTAACTGACGGACCAATGATTATAAATGGATTCTTTGGTCAATTTGGGAACGATTTTTCCTCAGCGAAAATGTCGAAAAAGGTCATCATTTTTTCAACTTTCCAATATTTGTCATTATGTATCTTTATAATTAAGCCTCAAATTAAAATTTTATTATAGTAAACTCTACCTGAAATTAACTGAAGAATGTAATTATGTTAGACTTTTAACTCCAAAACGTTTAGTTTTCAAAAAATCCATTTTTTCAATCGCTTATAACTCGAAAATTATTGACTTCTCAACATTTTTGCTAAGGAAAAATCGTCTCCAAATTGGCCAGAGAATCCGCCTTTAATCATTGGTCCGTTAGTTACCGGACACCCTGTATATATATATATATATATAAATTTTATAGAAAAATTATATGTATATACATATAAAATATATGTGTATATATATATAATAATATATATACATATATAACATAAATTGCATTATATATCTAATAATTATTAGCAATTATTTTTATGACCAAAGAAAAGATGAAGAATCATATTAATAATTGCATGATTTTATATGTGTATTGATTATATATATATATATGTATTTTTACATTTATATATACTACATATTTTATAAACATTTTTTTACAATATTTTATAAATATTTGTATATATGTAATAAACAAAACGGGTGGATCGACAGTACATTTTTGTTTGTGAGATTTAATGTATTTCCCGCTGTGTGTGTAGTGTCAAAAAATACTCTTCTATTCAAATAATTAGATATGAGGTTAACTCACACAAATTAAAAAACAAAAAAACAAAAAAAAAACAACAAACCTTTCGCCTCTTGTGATAAGACATGATATGCCTCTTGGATTCTAGCTTCAACATTTGACATTGTTCAAGTCAAAACATCAAGAAATGACTAACAGAAGTCACATTGATCAAGACGCAGCCACACAAAGACACAAAGATATAAGGTTAAGAGAATTTAAATTTAAATCTATTCGTATACGCCGATCAATCGCATAGACGAGCAGTTGTGGACATAGCTTGATGATTTATTAGTCACGTGTATTTCAAGAATCATATTATTTTATCTGTTTATCAGTGATACAAAAGAGACTGAAAAAAATATATATTAGATAACAATTTACTCTTTTTTTTCTCAACAAATACGTACGATATAGTAATGACAACATAAAAAAAGAGACTTATAAATACAAGTTAATTAATAGCAATTAATTGTAGATAGAAAAAAAGTGATACATATTTTCCATCACATCATATTATATAAAACACTTTTTTAGTTGCATATGCATAATAAAGTTTTTAAATAGTTTTTTATATATTATAAAAATGTATGTATTATAATTGAATTATTGCAAGTTTAATATGCAACAATAGAAAATGTTAGTCAAGATGTTATATAATTGAGTGGTGTTAGATGTTTTGATTATTTACAATCTATAAGAGATTTTATCAGTTATACTTGTATATGTATTGATTTAATTACATGTATGTGTGTACATAGATAAATCAAGTAAAGTATAAAATGAACAAGGACTTGGAGAGATAAACGCAGTTTTTATATTAAACTCATAAGTAAACGGTTCTTAAGAGTGAGTGTGCTTAATATCCACAGATTGCAATCATGGAGAAACATGATGTGCTGTTGCAAATAAATTTAGAGAGGCCTCTTTATGAGCACGAAGCATTGAATCAAAATTATGATTATGAGAAACCAAAATCATTTTGTAAGTTGACTTAGTAAACTAAGAAAAATGTACATTCCTTCTGAATTCTGAAACACAATTTTATATTTCAGTGATGCAAAGTGCAAGGAATGTTATCAGATCGAAAGATTGGAGAGCTTGTATAGCATCAACTGTACCAGCGGTGAAATGGCTTAGCAAGTATAATTGGAGGGAAAACATATTGTATGATATCATTTCTGGTCTGACTGTAGCAATTATGCATATTCCACAAGGCATGGCATATGCACTTTTAGGAAATCTACCACCGGTGGTTGGCATATATATGGCCTTCTTTCCTGTTTTTATATATTTTTTTTTGGCACATCCAAGCATGTATCTATAGGTGAGAAAGGACTAGATAAAATGTATAAAGACACAAAATGTGCTTAATTTTCTAGAGATTGTACTAAACACACAACAGAATTGCAAAGATATGATACTTTTCTATAGTTTATAACTCTCGGGCATTTAATCTGCATTTATCTGGTTAACTTCCATTACAGAACAATTAGAAATAATACACCTTAATATGTGAACTTATTCAGCCTTGAACAATCAAACATTCTTGGCATCCATCAGGAACTTTTGCTGTGGTTTGTCTAATGACTGGTAAGGTAGTAACATATTACTCAAATCCATTGACGGGTCATACATCTGCAAATCTTTCGGATGCTTTTTCACAAAATCTTGAGGATGTTACGTATTATACATATACACCCATGCAGGTAGCAACAGCCGTGACATTAATGGTCGGAATATACCAGGTAAATACATTGTATTATACTTTTTAAAACATATTTCAATCGAATAGAATAATGGAAAATAAATATTTCTCTTACGTTATAGATAATAATGTATATATTCCGATTAGGAGTTGTAACAACATTACTGAGTGAAACTTTAGTGAATAGCTTTACAACAGCAGCTGCTGTTTATGTTTTTATCTCTCAAATCAAGGATCTTCTTGGTTTAAAATTACCAAAGCAAAAAGGATATTTTAAGCTAATTTTTGTAAGTAAATATTTTATATATACATATATGTATTATATAAATTATCTATTAATGTATATTTATTAAGAGGAAAACATATAAGCAAAGATTATTTTTAAATTTCAGACTATTATAGATATATTTAAAGAAATAAAAATACCAACATAGCTGCAGCGATAGTATCAATTGTATCAATTATTATTCTTGTTTTTAATAATGAGTTTCTGAAGGTAAATGTGTATTGTATTAATTTGATTTTTTTATTTGCATTAATTTGAAAATATTGGCTAATGACATAATTTATCTTTAATTAGCCAAGGGTAAGCAAAATATGTAGCATGCCAATACCCATTGAACTCATTGCAGTCGTCGGTGGGACCTTGGTTTCTCGATATTGCGATTTACCAAAGATTTATGATATAGAAATCGTCGGACATATTCCAACGGGGTACGCATTAAATCAAGTTATCGTTTAAATCTACTAAAATTCTTATATGCGCTTATTTTGAAATTTAAATATTGTATATATAAATACTTTTCAATAGGCTTCCCAAACCAGAAGTGCCAAGTCTGGAATTATTACCTTTGGTAGCGATCGATAGCATCGCAATAACCATGGTTTCGTACACCATCACCATATCGATGGCATTGATTTTCGCGCAGAAACTTAATTATGAAATAGATTCTAATCAGGAACTTCTTGCAATGGTGAGGTCCATTATTATATATTTTAATATATAATATTTTAATTGTGTATTTATTCTCGTGATGATAAATGATTTCAATTTCAGGGCTTCAGTAATGTAATGGGCTCTTTTTTCTCGTGCATGCCGATATCGGCTTCCTTAAGCAGATCTCTCATTCAACAAACTGTCGGAGGACGCACACAAATAGCGAGCATTGTGTCTTGCTTACTGTTGTTCATTATACTCTTATGGATCGGGCCATTTTTCGAACTGCTACCAAGATGCGTGTTGGCCTCCATAATAGTTGTATGTATAGAATGACAAAAGGAAAAAGAATACCTTCTAAAGATCTTTTGTACAGGTAGCGTTAAAAGGAATGTTCCAACAAGCTAATCAGCTCGTTAAATTTTGGAAACTGAGTAAAACCGATGCCACAATTTGGATTGTAACATTCTTGATTGTGACGCTGATAAATATTGACATTGGGTTGCTGGCTGGATTACTAGTGTCGCTAGCCATTATTCTACTGCAGGCTATTCGACCCTATGCGTGTTTGCTGGGTCATATACCACATACGGATTTATATTTGGACTTAGACAGATATAAAGCGGTAAGTTTTATCAACAGGTAGATAAATGTCAGACAAAAATGAGATATTAATCAGTCTTACGTGTTGATTTTAGGCGGTAGAGATACACGGAATAAAAATATTTCATTATTGCGGCACTTTAAATTTTGCCAATAACAATTACTTTAGATCTATCGTGTACAAACTCGTAGGAGTATGTCCCCGAAAGATGATGAAGCATGGAAAAAAATTAGCCGAGGAGAACCATTTTCTAGATGATAAAGATTCTGAAGGTAGACATGAATTGCAATGCATAATCATGGACATGAGTGCGTTGAGTTACATCGATCCCAGTAGCGTTCAGATGTTGCATTTTATCGTCGAAGAATTCACGGAGGTGAACATCAAGTTTTATTTTGTCAATTGTCCAAGTCCCATCTTTGAAGTGATAAAGAAATGTGATTTATATATATATGGCGAAATGTCGTTGAAAATTTTTGCAACTATACAAGATGCCGTCACTTACTTTCGAAGCGAAACTTCTTCAAGATAATAAAAAATAGTTTTTCTCTCTCATGTATATGCTGTGTATAAGACATATTTTTGATAACATTGTTAACTACATAATGGAAGAATATGCAGTTATATTTTGCATTCTATTTCAATATTGCTCCTTACATTGTATTTAAAAGATCCTATAAAATAATATTGACAGAGAAATATTTTTTATCGAGTATCAATCTTTAATAAAAAAGTATATAGTGCTCAACACAGCATATTTATAGATTGCATTAAAAACGTAAAGTGATATACAAATGTACTTCAAAAAAATACTTCGTATTCAATTTGTTTGTACTTACAGCAATACTTAAGATTTTTTTGCAAATTTTGAACCATTAATATATTTTTTGTTATATGTATCATAAATATTGTTTAGTGCAAGAAGGAGAAAATAATAATAACATGTAACTGAGCAATCGTCTTGTTTATTTACAGCGATTACCCTATGTACAATGCGACAGTTTCTAGTTATTCTGACTGGGATAACTAGATACGACTGTCGTAGTCAGTTTTACTGTGCCTTTCGTAATTATAGAGTCGGTAATTAGCATTCTATATATTTCCTATTTGTAAGACACAATTATTTTTTCTAATAACTCGCGGCAGTGTTGCCCACAGATTGATTATTGATCGACTGCATTGTATAATGTCACAAAATAAATATTCGAAAATAAGTGACGGAGCACATTGTTCAACAATGGTACGGCACAAAGATCAAATTGAAATTGCTTTATACGTTTTTCTTCTCTAAATCCGACGATCGAATATTCGACGATTCAATCGGAACATGTCTTCTGACATTTATGCCAGACCATACTTTTTCTTGAGAGACTCTGGCATCTCGGGTGGTGGAGGACGGGGCATGCGCAACCAGACCTTAACGGCGTCATAGATGAACCATTGTGCTGCGGTTAGGGTACCGATCATTACAATCCTCGGTCCTAGGCCCTTCCACACGCCCATAACGCCGAGTTTCTTCAGGACGTCGCCCGCGGACGCTCCCTTTTCTTGGTTTAATTTCGACACCACCTGATGTAAACATTTATATGTTTTATAAATCTGAAATATGGGGAAAACTTGTGGTTATATGTATAAAATTTACCGTATCTGCTGGATGAGATACGATGGCGCAGAATACACCGGCGATGTAGCCAGCCGCAAAAGTGACTATCAGTTGTTCGCCTTTAGTGCACTCCGCTCTAGGCTTAGGTACTACATGTTTATACAGAAGTTCAACGGTACGCTCGAAGCAGGCGAATTTCATCATCGTGTACGGAATTTGACGCATCCACAGAGGCACCAGACCCTTGTAGAAACTGGTAAGACCTTCCTCCGCGTACATCTTCGGCATCGCTTGTCGCAAAGTGTTGGCGAATCCAGGTGTAGTTTGTATCTTGACCTAGAATTTCGAAGTCTCATTGTATAAAATAGTACATAATATGATAGGTAATCTATAATTGTCCAATTTAAGCAATTGAAAAAAAAGGAGAACATCGAGCAATTTGATACCTTGGCAGCTTCAAACGGCGCCAAGCCAATATCTGCAAAGAATTCTGCAGAAGCCGACGATATCAAATACAACGAGGTTCTGTATTCGTAAGAGAGTTCTTCGCCGGCCAACGCTGCATACTGAACTTTAAAAACCTCATAGAGACCAAATTTGAACATTCCCTGAATAGAATAGCCGAAGAAGGTAGGCGCCCATCCCCTCACCAATCCTCGAGTGCCGTCTTCGGCAAATGTTACCTACAATCAACAATATCTGTGATGAGTATTATATTTTTAGAGAAATTTAAAAAGACAGCATAATAAAGGATAAGAATTACTCGAAATCCATTAAACACTGATTTATATTTGCCAGGGTCCACTTGAATTCGGCATTTGACTAAATCTAAAGGAGTGATACCGGTGTGAGTGATACCGCAAGACAAAATTCCTCCGAGACCACATAACAAGAAATAATGGTTCGATCCAAATTCGCAGCTATCTGTAAATATGCAAAATACATCATCTTAATTTTTATTTTTGCATCTTATTATTCTAGCATTTCTTTTTATATATTTATTTATCGATTTTACAATTAATGAGAGACTGATATATATATATATATATATATATATATATATATATATATAAAAGAATAAAATATATATGTATAATATATAAGAACTAAATATATACAATAAGTATAATATATACAGGATATATCTTAATTGTGAAAAGCTTTAGATAATTTGTCAAAAATCAAGGAGAGTTTCTTATATAAATATATACTCTTATATCTCTCCTTGAGGAGTTACACACTATTCCAAAGACTGAGGTAAAAATTAAGTTATTTTTTTCTCAACTTTTGGATAAATTAAAAAAATGCAACTTAGTGGATTTTTTCGCTAATAAAAAGGATATTCATTAATTTTTTTTTTTTTAATCTTCTTGTATCGTTATAAAGAGATGAAACTAACACCAACAAAAAGGGATATAAGAGTATGTTTATATAAGAAACCCTCCTTAATTTTCAATAAAGAATCACCTAAAATTTTTCACATTTATTTAGATACACCCTGTATATATGTATAAAGAAAAAAATATATATATATAAGAATTATTAAGAGTTTAATATAATTTCTAAGGCGAGTTTCTCAGAAAATCCCCGAATACTAGAGATATAAATGTTAAGAAATAAAGGCATTATTCGATCAGCTGATCGAATTACTCGGATCAAATTCTGGCTTGGATTCAAAGTCGATTTGTCCCCCTATTGATCTAAGAAAAAAACATCCTTCTCTCGACACGATTCTCGGTCACGGTCAACGTACGACAATCGGATTTATTTTTACGTAGCCGTCATGTCCAAGGCTAGCAATAAGGAAAGCACGTTTTATAACGCGCCGATATATGACAAGATGGCCGCGCCTTATGCAACGGCATGCGTGCATCCGTTTAAAATCAGTGGATTATGTCTTCGCGAATACCTCTGACAATTTGTCTCTCCAGATATTATATAATTCGCTATTTTCCCCGTCTATAGAAAATTAAATAAATATATAAACAATATAAAGGCATCGCGTGACGGACTCGTACAATCTAACGTCTATTCCAATTTCAAATTTGAACTTTACAACTTGCATACAGATGCATGAAACGTGCAATTATGTAATTAATGTGCAATAAACATATCTAATCGATCGAGTTATTTACAGTAAAATAGAAATACAGTACATGTCGCTGATAAATGAGATAAATTATATCTCGCTATTAAATTTTGCAAGCTCTGAAAATCGAAACTTGACAATTGATCATTCAAAATCGAATTTTGACAATTGACTCGCTATCAGATATTTCGAGTTATATAATGACAGTCAGAATGTCAGATAAGAGAAATGGCGGGCGGTTTTATCACATATAAATTTCTCCATCTCGACATATAAAATATTAAAGCTAAAATCCAGGACGAGAAATTGTTTCCCAGTCTTTAAAAGAAAGAAATTTTACAAATGTTAAATAGAAAAATTGCACGAAGATATAAGTTAACCTCTCGGTTAACCGAAGAATTTCCCTTCAATCGCTCGTCTAAATCGAGCAGAATCGGGGGAGGAGATAATTACTGACCACCCTCCTCGACGGAGGCGGCGGCGATGTTGCGACTCGGAACGAGGGGTCGCGTTCCGTCGTCCTTCAACGCCTGACACTTCGCCTGCGTGAACGGCGACGAGAAGGGATTCATTTTCACTGCCTCCTGCACCCAAGACAACATCGTGATCACGCGACTCGCGCTTGCACCTGATGATGAAACATTTTTAAACAGTGACAGTTCGATTAGATTGTATTTTATATATATGATTTATATTTATTAAAAGACACTACGTCAAAAGTACCTGTTTTAAGAAACGATTCTCGCCGACGAGAAACCTGCGAAAGAGTGGCAGAAGCAGAAAATGCGGCAGCACAACCCGTTCACGTTATGGACGTAGAATTATCTGTACCGTAGATGAGAAAGCGAATTGGGAATTTCGATGCGTTGAAAACGAGTTGAAAAGAAAGATTGAATAATCTGACCAATCAGGAGAAAGAAAGCTTTATTTCGATTGGTCAATCAACTTTAGGGTCTTAACCAAAATAATTTTATTTTAACATTAGTTTAACTGCAATTGCTGGTCCTTAAATTTAATAAATTAAAATACTAATAATTAATATAATAAATAATAATATAATTAAAAATATAATTAATATAACTAATATTAATTAATATACTTTTCTATTATAATTTTCATTAAAATCATTATTCTGTGAATATTAAAATTTATATTAAAATTATTCAAATTATTAATAATTATCTCACATTACGGATTGACCAATCAAAGCGAAGCTCTTGTCAGCTGATTGGTCAATCCGCAACTGTCAAACAACTGGGGCATTTGCAATCTATTATGGAATGACCTTTAGTCTCATGCATAATGTTGGTAATTCTGATCACACCGGCTGATTAGCGAATTTAAAAGGACTACAGAGATTTGGAGGCTATGTTTGCGAGTTGCACGCGTAGTTTCAAGTACTCGCAAGATGATTTCCATTTCTGCCTTGCAAAGAATCTCGATGACAAGAATCGCTAGCAAGTTCTACGGATCTTGTCTTCGAACTATAAGTAAAAACTCCGCTGACAATTCTGTAAATATCAATGCAGTGGTGGAAGATGACACGGTAAACCAATGGATCTTATTTTGCAATTTATAAACAGAAACAGTGTATATTTCTACGTATAATTATTTCTGAAATTATTTATTTGTCATATTTTTTTATCATCTGACACTAGCCTATTTTCTTAAATTCGCAAATACGATGATTGCACTAATACTTATTTCTTGTATTTCTAGCCCATACAAATTCAAAATCCCTTTGTAAAAGAGAAACGTCAATGTATCTTGTGTAGATTGAATATTGATCCGGATTACAAAAATGTAAGATTGCTGTCTCAATTTCAAAGTCAATACACAGGTAGGATATATGGAAGACACATAACTGGATTGTGCGAACATAAACAGAAGAGATTAGAAGAAGAAATTAAAAAAGCTCAATCTGCAGGTACTCAAATATGTATTTTTGTATTTAACAGAATGAAAAGAGAGAACTTCAAAGTATATAATAATGTATATCTATATTATAGGTTTAATGGCTTTTTGGACCAAAGAAGTAAAATATTTCAAAGATCCACAACTATTTGACCCAAATAATCCATTCAGGCCGCATAAATTTTAGACAAGTAATGACAAAATCATAAATATACACGCAAATATATGTATTAGATATATATTAAAAATAAAAATCAGTTACATCATAGATGAATTAAGATACTATTATATTTATTAAATGTGCAGATTGGGTCGTGATCATAAGAAATTATTGAAATTATAAAAATTCCCCATCTAATGATCCATTGGTATATTTGACAAACCTGAAGATTGAAATGTAATATTAATCTTAAATCTTTTTAAATTGTAAGTAGTTGAATAAATATAACTATATGAATTGTTAATGAATACTCTTTAAATTAAATTAAAGGATTTGTATTTATAATTACAAAACTATATAAGGCATTTTTTATACAATTTATATAGATCTGTAATTATATTTGTAATATAATGTTTTCTGACATTTATGCAGTATGATATTATATTTATAAAGTCCAAAGTATTTATAGTGATACAATTATTTATTACATAATAGAATATAATATTGGAAAATCCTAAACATATAAAATGTTTCAATAATATCTTTCAACATTTCAATAAATGTTATGTTTAATATTAAATGCAGTTTAATTTTATTTGTAATTTAAACAAAATTTAAATAAAAATTAATTAAAAATAATAAATTTTTGTAAAAAATATTGGAAAACAGCCAAACTTCGATAGATGGCGTTTTCAAATATAGGCGGGAGTTCGCGAATCGATCGTTTTATCAAGTCTATATTCATCGTTAGTGAGAAATTGCGTCTCGTGCGGCAACGGGATTTTTATTAATTTATAGTAAAAGGGTGATAAATAATAGCGACGAATAATAACAAATCTCAACAAAATAAAAAGATTTATACGCTCTATACATAATTTGTTGCTTTGTGCTGTTCTGTGTTTCTTCTGACGCACATCTCTGGCTCTCCTCTGACGTCACAAAGAAGGATACATGGATAGTTTGCTAAACACTACATCAAGCGGATTTTTCATTTGCGTTCTAATTTAATAAATAATAATGGATGTTGACGAAGATTATTCCACCGAGGAAAGCGATTTCGACGAGCGTATAGGTATATTTTTCCAATCTTGATTATTTGACGCGCTATTGACACTAAAATATATCGTGTAAGGTTATGCAGGATGTGTGTATATACATACATTAGGGTTGCCATATTTTGCCGTGAGGCGACCGGGACAGAGATGATGATCGAGGGGAGAGCTCATACATACACGGTTTACGCTTGTGTTTGTCGGTTGCCAGCGTGGGCAATTATCTTTTATTTTCTTCTTCTCTATTATGGCTGCTTAGGCTTCCAGAGGAATAGGCCTACCACTATATTAATTGTTCATATATATCGGTTAAAAATCAAATCGTGTTCACAGTACGGAACACAAAGGAACAAAAATTTTTTTTCAGGCAAAACGTCCGAATGCGTCAAAGGGCGAACTCTCTCTTTCCCTCTTTTATTTCGTTTTTATAGGATAAGTATATGAGAAACAAAGAAATGAATTCATCGATGCCTGTAATTGATTGATATTATTCGGAAAAACAAATCGGTGCATGTCGTAAAGTTAAAATTTAACTATTTAGTAGGTTGACCGGGACTTGGTCTTCAAACCGGGACGTATGGCAACCCTAACATACATACATGTATATACATATATGTATATATTATTGTGTACTTATATTTACAATTCTAAATAAACGCGTCAACAAGTAGTGCAAGGGTCGGTTGTAGTCAAATCTTCGTTTATAGTAATTTGCTGTCACTTTTTAGATCATAGCTTAATCTATGACATACAGATAGAAAAAAATAACATTAATGCGTAAGACTGTTCAAGTGCCCAATATTGAAGTTAAACTGCTTTGCAGAAGTTATTCTACCGCCAAGTAACCCATACGGGGGTTTTCGAAGTTCGCGCAGACGTAAGCATGCTCATACTAAATATATTCTTCAGTATTTTTTGTTATCTTAACGGATTCGCTTCTTTTCTTGATTTTCGTAAAACAAAAAGAAAACACAATATTTTAATATGTAACTTTTTATTAAAAATGTACCATTATATATTTGTAGGTATATTACTACGTGGTAGGCGATATATCCTTCCATCCATCCCTCCATCCATCCCTCGAGAGTTGCCCATTATGGAGGACATACCGGTGCCTACGGACAACACATTTGATGTAACATTACCAGCGACACATTCTGTAAGTATGTGCTTTCTGATATGTAAAGATACAATAATATTTAAATAGATTTGTACAACTGATGGAATAATTTTCTATAAGATCTTTATGAATCATCATATATATATATATATATATATATATATATATATGTATGTATTTTCTTTATTTAGTATTTAGGTCAAAATTTAGAAGAAGCGAGGGGAAGAACAATACTGGATGATGGCATTTATATGAATCTACCACTGTTGATAAAACAATCCGTATTATTTCCTGGTCAAACATTACCTATGACAGTTTTTGGGGTTAATACTATAGATATGTTGCAAAATTGTATACAAAACGATCGCACTTTTGGTGTTGTATGTTCTGGTAATTCTGAGGTGGAGCGAATAGGAACAACTGCCGAGATCTACGAATATACAGATGGAACTGTATGGATGGAGCATGGTCGGCGAGAATTTCGCTTGAAAGCTAAAGGCAGACAGCGTTTTAAGATATTACGTATTATTTCAGAGGTCAGTTTTTATATGAGAGACATTAAATTTGCAATAATAATTGCTAAAGAAATAAAAGAATTCTATTTTATAAAGAAATTAAAAACATTTAGAGAATTATTAAAACGACATAAGTTACAATTTAATAATTTTGATGTTTGTAAGAAGAATTATAGCTTATTGTTAGCTTTAAGATTTATCTTGTCATCTCACTGCAGTCATATTGAATTATGTCAAAGAATCATGAATTTTTTCATGAATTGAAATATTTTGTTTTAATAATTTCCATGCATGCACATTAGAATAATTTTGAGAATAATTTTGATTTTGAAACGATTTTCGTTGAAATAAATTAGGATTTTCGTATACATTACTCGTGCTTGATAATGTGGATTCCAAAAAACATTCTGAAAACTTCCTTTTTTTTTTGTTGCATTGCATTGCATTGATAAATGTACATATAACTCAATCTGAATTCTATTACTTCACTTTTTTAGTGAAAATGACAATTTTGATCAAGATTTACAATTATTTATTAATCCATGAATTCTGAAAGAATGTTTCTTGATATAGTATATATAGTTTATTAATTTGTACTATTATAATTTGCAAGTAGTACCGAGTATTAAAAAATTAATTTATTTTTATAATATTTTACAGTAAAAATTGATTTATCCTTTCTTAATTCAGTACTGCAATGAGAGATCAACTCAAATATAGATATAATTATATGCATCTTCACAGTTTACTATGTTTATTATAATGTGTTTACAAGATTTTTATATTAAAATCAGGATCACAGTAAAATTTTGGCCAATGTTAAAGTGTTACCAGAGATAACACTTGGGCCACCGTTTTTGGACCAACGCTTGGCCTCATTAGATCGCTTAAGAGTTAATCCTGATTCAGAAGAAGACATGAAAAAGCAAGAGAGAGTACAAAATATGGATGCGGCGGTGACTGCTTGGCCAGCTTGGGTCTATAGGCAGTACGATCCTGTAAGACTTTCCTTTAAAATACGTCAGCATCTGCAGTTTCTTGAAACCAGTAGGTTACAATTGTATAAATAAAAATACCTATGTAAATGGCAACGTTTTTATTGTATAAATTGTATTTTATAGGAGGTGGTAGTGTACCTAAAGATCCTGTAGATTTATCTTTCTGGGTCGCACAAAATATTCTAATGGATCATGATGAAAGGCTTATGTTATTAAGTTACGACTGCGCAATTTCTCGATTACAAAGAGAATTAAAGTATCTTATGGAGGTGTGTGCGTATAAAACAAAATGCTAAATATCTACAGAGATGCTTAACGTTTTTGCATTATATCACTTTTTCTTTTTTTAATATCAAACTATTGTTTGAAGGATAAGATCTACGTATGCGTTCATTGCGAATCCTTTATCGGTAGACAGTCGCATATGTTTCCAATGAATAAGGAAGGTCCACAGGGTACTTATGTTAATCCCGGTGGTATTATACACGAGACTATAACTTTTTATCACGTTCAAGGAGTTAAGCTCAACGATGAGGCCCCTTCGACCGAGTACAGTTGGTTTCCTGGGTAAGAGAACAATATTCACGTTCACTGGAAATGCAAATTTATGAGGTTTGTGTTACATTGCTAAAAATTAATACGCGCAATTTTAGATATGCCTGGACAGTAGCTATCTGTGACGGCTGTCATCATCACGTCGGTTGGAAGTTTACAGCAGTGCATAACTTAAGACCTAAAACATTTTGGGGCTTGACACGCAGGAGTTTGAAAAATAAGAAAGAAAAATAAAACAAAGATGTATGATTAATATATGTTGGGTGTCATAAATGTCTTTGTAATTTATTGGATGGGTACTTTTGACAATGTCTTTAATTTATTGGATGAAGACTTTTGAAATGTATGGTATTTAATAGAATTTATCTTATGCGAAGAGAGATTTTCTCAGTTTACAGTTTTATTTTAATAGCACATGAACGATGAGAGAATGTCTCTATTCATTTTCTTATTTACTTATTTATTTACTTTAATGTGGTCATATGATCATATATATGGGAAACATGATTTATGGAAGAGCAGTCCAAGAAGAAAAAACTTAGTTTAAAGAAAAATTTGATTTCGAGGAAAAATCTAATATGAACTCTTGAAATAAAAGAAACCAATTTTATATACCACTTGATGACTGATATATAATTCCAAAAAAAAGTTTAAAAGTGACCAATAACTATTAATAAACAATGGGTTTTATAGAAATGAAAATAATAAAGAAAATAATAAATGTTAATTTATAGTACTTTTTATTAATATAATTAATAATGATAATGTGGTTTTTTTAAATAAATATTGAGACACTTATGATGCCCAGTATGCAATATACAAGTTTTGTTCTATCTTTAATTTAACTATACGTTTGGACAATAGCGGTTTATAAAAGTTATATACGAAGAATTGTTATATCAATAGCTATATGAGTTATGATACAAGTTTGTGTACACTTTTTGAGGCTATTGCAGGAGAGTTAATCAACCAACAGTTTATTGTTATTTGTATTAATTAAACATTATTTAAAATATATTTTTAAGTTTGCAGATATTGCAGAGATTATACATTATGTAATGAATAATCATGTACTAAATAGTACTAAAAGCGACAAGTAAGATATTTTTCATATTGTCATTTATTCTTTTGTACAATTTTGTTTATAGCGTCTTGTATTAAAAAAAAATACGTCGTTGAATAATTTTTACAGTAAGTTTATTTTTGTGTAATGTTATAATCTGCTTAAACTTTGTTCTACCTATAATGTTCAAATATTTCTTTGGTCTTTGTGCAATTTTTGTAATTGAGGTAACTGAAAAAGGAATACAAATTATAAACAATTTATACGTGTATTATAAAAAAGTGTATAAGGAAATTGCATATATACCCTTATTTACTGGATTTTTATTGCTATTATACAAATGATTTAATCTATCCTCAGAAAATTAATAAAATATACATATATCAGAAATTTAATAATAAAATATACATAAAATATAAATGAATAGAATAAAATATCTATATTAGTTTTATATAAAAATGATTTATTTAATATAAAATAGAGTATATGTGTAGTATATTAATTAATAAGGTATACGAACATATTAAAAAGAAAATACTTAAAATCCTTGACACATATCTTTTGTGACTAAATACGACACGTTTTCGCATTTTGTGGAAAAAATATTAATTGGATAAAATATCAAATTTAATAATTAATAATAAAAAAAATGTATTTTTTATTTATTAATTATTAAATTTGATATTTTATCCAATTATATTGGAGAGTTTGAAATGAGGTGTCTTTTTATATTGTTAGTCTTGTCTTAATTGTGTCATCTTCAATAACTTTTTCAAAAAAACGTGGTTAAAATTGTCAAGAAGGACGATGTCAACGCCTACGGAACGTATTAATTTCTCGCATATTAACGATGAAACTTTTCGAGATTTGATTAAAATCAAAGATCATATCGAGGCGAACATTTGTTGGATATGACGGATTGAAACACGCTTTAATTGTTTATAAATTCTCGACTCTTATTGAAGAACTAACATTAATTTTCGATATTATATGGAATTTTTGTATGATTTTGTATTTTTTAATAATTACTGTAATATAATACTGAGGAAGACCGCGTGCGGTTGAAACGTTTATTTTATAATGATTGTAATTTTCGCTTAAGTTTGAGTATAGAATGTTTGTAGCTTTCACATAATGTTTATGTTTAGTTTATACATGGAATAAATTTTATTTGACAGAACAACTCTAATAATTGCTCGATAAGTTGGCCTTTTTATCTATCACTAGTTGTATTTCTGTTTTAAATTTTACAATTTCGCGGTTACATTGTTACTATAAGATTTCCTTATCTTGATTGGTCAAATAGAAACTCTACGATAGGATTTTCGAACGCATCTTAAATCTGTATCATGTATGTGCGCCTTTATATATATATTTAGGAAGGTTAGGAATATATTCATTTATCAAGCTTCGGAGTAAAATAATAATTTTCAAGGTTTTAATTTGATGGTGTACTGTAAAGTAACATCAAATACGATAATTTTTTAAAATTCTATAGAAATAATAGACACAGAGACAGGCAAAAATATAAGGAAGTTTCTGGTAGATCCATTCCTTGATAAAGAATTGGCAAAAGCAAATTTTGCTTACATTTTAGAATGGATGAGAATGCACGGACGCTTTATTGCGGAAATCTAAGCGAAAAAATAACTGAGGATATTCTTTATGAATTATTCTTACAAGTTAGTATATGTATATACTTTACATATAATAGAAAATAAAATATATATTTGGATAGAAATTCTATCAATATATTTCTTTCATGTTATTTACATAAGTTATATAGATGAAATTAACTCAAATATCTTTGTTTCGTTAGGGAGGTCCTGTACAAAAAATAAGCATTCCCAAAGATCGTGATGGTAAACAAAGACCATTTGGATTTGTCACATATAAACACGTACATTCTGTGGAATATGCTTTACGTTTATTTGATGGTACAACATTATACAATCGTCCTCTTAATATGAAATTGAGGAATAATGCCGAGTCACAACAAGCAGAACAATCTCCAAATCCTGTTCGCAATATAAATCACATGTTAGAATTAGGGCAACAAATGATCTTAGGAAATTACCCACCACAAAATGGTGATGCAATGTTTATAGCACATGTTTCACAACATGCTCCGACATATCCAAGACCATTGGATGCAAATTATTGTGATGATGGGATTAGAAGAAATCATCCTTATCAAAGGTACAGAGATAGAAAACAAGAGAGAGATAGAAACCAAGAGAGAGATAGAAACCAAGAGAGAGATAGAAATCAAGAGAGAGATAGAAATCAAGAGAGAAACAGAGATAGAAATCGAGAGAGAGAAAGAGATAGAGCAAGAAGCAAAGAACAAAATGAACATTACAGAGATGAAAGATCATATTATAATAAAGATAATTGGAATTACCGTTCTGGCTATCCTCGATACGGTGACAATAGAAAAAGATGGACTCATTGAAAATAAGTATTTTTTATTTTTTAGTTGTAAAAATTTTAAATTCTTAAATTGTCCATTTCTAAATTTGGCGAAGAATAAATACAGATTTAATTCTGTTTAGCTATTAATTTTTCCTAAAGTAAATATATTGATAATTATAATTTTGTTATCAATAATCACTATATTCAATAACTATAATCTTGTAAATATTTGTAGTTCTATTTACAATTTTGTTTCATATAATATATATATATATAATTATATAATATGCTAATATATATATGTGTGTGTAAATAAGCAGTTTCTATATAAATTGTTAAAATAAGGAAATATATTTTGGCATATTTTGAAATTATCTATTAAAAAAAATTATATATTATTATAAAAAAAAATATATCATTATCACATCAATGAATTTAAGTTATGTAGAGAAAATGTGCATTTGCCTCCATTATTGCATCAATAAATGTATCCTTTTGACAATCAATTTTTCATGTGCATTGCTACATCAATATAATCAATATACTATTTTTATTTTTTATAAGCTTTGTATTTGTATTTACATGCGATTATATCTCGCATATATCGACACAAACATTAAATACATAACAAATGTATGATTGATACTGCTTCTGTATATTTTTTTTCTCTTCTGCCTTTTTGCTTTTAATAATGCGGGCAGCCTTTTGCGCTAACATAAGTACAGCTGCATGGATGTTTCCACTTGGTAAAGACGGAAGAACTGATGCGTCAACGACATATAAGTTTCTCATATTGTAAACTCTATAACCCACAAACACGAATATATTTATATAATAGAAATTTTAATTATGATAACAGAGAGAAAACGTAAACCACTGTATTATCCTATTACTTATTTTTCTCTATTAAAATCTATCATAATTTTCGATTCTAATTTATTCTATTAAAATGGTTTTTTTGAATTGATAATTGTAATATAAAAATGGAAAATTATCTGTTCAATTTATCAGTCTTCTATCATAGTGTAATTTACACCTCTATTTTGCATTTAATTCATATTCATATTTTGTTTTTTTTTTAGTTTTAATTATAATGTAATTATAAATACCTAAATGATTCATCAACAACATCGTTTATACGACATGTACCAACAGGATGGTAGGATGTCAGTGTTAAATGTTGCACATAACATTTCCAATATTCTCTAGTGTCAAATATATAGTTTTCGCAACCAGGAAAAGGTTTTTTGTTTAGAGATGCGCCATAAGCTCTCAAAACATTCGTCTTCAAAAGGTCCTTTATAAAATACAAGCCTAAACATCCGTGATATTGAGCGTTGTTACACATATTTGCATATGCATCCTTATCTTTTAATATACCATGTATGCAAAATTACCTTCTACAAGAGTGTCAATATCTTCCTTATTTGATAAATATTTTGGATCAATTAGTGGTTCATCAAAAGGATTGCTGCTCTGCAATAGTAATTCTCCACTACTCTTAGGATGTAGTAAAACAGGCGCGATTGTAACTGTATTTTCGTGCAAAAAAGAAGCGAAGTACTTGTTATAAATCTAGAAAAAATATATAGAGAAATTAGACATCTTATTTAAGAAGCATTTGAATAATGCCTTTCAATTAGTTTGCTTTTCAGTCAATTTTTTAAAATTATATTTATATTGTTTTTTTTTACTTTGTTTACCTCATTGGAAAATCCTATAGTTCTTTTGAGGCTCAAGGTACAGTCTTTTGCTGCTCCAAGAGGTAATACCATTAATTGCAAATCTGGTAATGTGGATTTATTTGTATTTAAAGCACTATGAAAAGTTCCTATTACTTCAATTCCTGCTGACGTCCATGGTCCTAAGTAAACCAATGAATTATCTCTACAATAAAGTATGCTAAAATGTAATGATCGCAATACATATACATTAATAAAAATGATGATCTATTTATCAATTGTTATAACTACTAGTTATTCGATAATCTAAAAGCAAAGAAAAAATTGTAGCCTGTGCAAGAAGCATGACTATGTGCATTTATGTATACAGCAACTATATATTTGTATTAACATATTCTTACCTCTCCCAAAAAGGAAGTAATTAAAAATTGACATAGGATTAAAGATATCAGAAAGATCCAATCCAAGACTTGTATTAAGTGTAATCAAATCGAGACCAGTTAATATATGATCCATCAAAGTTTGACCAACTGGCAAATCATTGATTACACTAATCTAAATAATGATAGTTATTATAAAAAGCAATAAAAAAATATAATAGAAAATATAACACAACATATATAGATATATTGTGCTTTTCTAAAAGTTTCTTTACGACAGAATAAGCTATAAATTGTAAGAGAAACAAATAAATGTTTCCACACTTGATTATTAAAAACTTACATTTAAAGTCTCCAAGTGCTTTTTTGGTCCAATTCCAGATAACATTAATAACTTTGGGCTCTCAATTACACCAGCACTTAGAATAACTCCTTTTTTTGCTATTGCTGTATATTTGTTACCAAATCTAAGAAATTCAATCCCTTCAGCTTTATCCAAATTCATAAGTATCTTTAATAATAATTAACTATTTGTTATATTTTATTTTTTTGACATATATGGTAGACAAAGCAATAACCTTCAAATAGACTTACTTTGCTGGCACGTGCATGAGTAAGTAAGGTCAGATTGGGATAATTTGACTTCCAATGTAGAATTTTATCTGGACTCCATCTTTTGCCATTTTCTATTGTCAAATGAGCTTTCATAAAACCTAAATGATAGACATTATTGTAGGTGATAAATGTAACAACTGAAATACTTTATATAAGTAATAGATACCTGTATCTAATTGCAAATTCATGTTCCCTATATTATGATTCAATTCTTTTACTGCCTTCAAAAATATATCAGCAAAATCAGAGTTCCACCTTAATTCATTAATGCTTACTAATTTATCATTCTCTGCAGTTGATTCTAAACACAATTAAAATTTATAAAATATATATTTAAGAATAATTTAAATATATATTTCTGAATCTATATATTACATAGATTAGAATGTAAGTCTTTTACCCATAAAATCTGGAAACCATGTTTCATAGTCCAGTCTATGTCCCAATACATAAGCCATGTAATTTAAACGACTTGTTCCACCAACAATTTTACCTCTAGGCCATCTGCTTTGCTGCAAAATTCTTTATGATAATATTAATATGCAAGACTTCTCGATAAAAATTGCAACACATATATTTACATTATTGCTTAAACCTTTACATGCGTGTTCTTGAGGAACAGTAATATATTGCCAATCATAAGCAGTTTTTTGAATTATTGGTGCCAAAAGTGGTATATCGAGAAAAAATGGTGCAGTACCACCTGCTTCTAGCAATAATACTCTCGACTGTTTGTCCTTTGCTAGCCGTGTTGCTAAAATTGAACCAGCACTACCAGCACCAACTGTAATAATATATCAGTTATATGTATATACAGATAAATAATATTGTAGTTATTAAAGTAGAAATAAAAGTTTTAAAGTTAAAATAAAATAGCAAATTAGTTTTGCAAATGTCGATGTTACATACAGGAAATCATTAAATATAAAATGTCAAATATAGAAAGATAACTGAAAAAAGATATAATTGATAAGATAAATTCTGCAAATTATTAATTAAATTATTTCTATTTTCAAAATATACATTAAATATACTATAAATATACAATACATTTAAAATATATACTATAAATATATTTCGCAAAATATTAAATAAAAAATTATATTAAAAATAAACAAATTATAAATAAATTCTTATCAAATAAATAATTTGCTTTTACATTTTCATGTTTTATTATTTCATTTCATTTTTATTACTGTAAAATGCAGGCTTGGGTAGGTTAATGATTTTTTAATACTAAGTTAAAGGTAGTTGCTTTAAAATTAATTTAGTTAATTAAGTTAAAAGTTGTATGAAAAGTTGCAAAAAATTAATTCAGTTAAGTTAAGATTAAATTAACTGAAGTTAAATTAAAAGTTAATTTTTAAAAATATTATTTATATTAAATTAGAATTTTGTTTGTTCATTCTCTTTTAAAATTTATAATAACAAATAACAAAGAAATTTTGATTTTTAATTTGATATAGAAATATATTTTTTGGTAATTTACATCAATTGATGACAAATGAATATAAAAATTAATAATACTTTAATTTAAAAATAATACGTTTATATCTTATAAAAAAACAATAATAATATTCAAAGATAAAAAAAAATTTAACTTAGGAAAAAGTTAAAAAATTAATACATTTTAAATTAACTAAGCTAAGTTATAAATATTTTATTAACTTTTTTGTACCCTGCATTTTCATGTTTTTTTTATCTTATTTTACTTCTTTATTTATAACCGTAAACTGTAGTAATTTTACTTATCATTTTTTATCGTAAAGTGTATGTAACTTACCCACAATATAATCGTATTGTTGCATATCTCGAACGTTGTCGAAGAACCATTGAAAAAATATATCCAACATGTATGCAAAATGAATATAAAAAAGAAATATCGTCGTAAATGTACTGGCGATAATAAATATCAGATATTTTGTAAATATAAACATTTTTCTTGTAAAATAAGAGCAAGGAAATTCTATAGAAGAATAATATAGACAGGAATGACGACAATAAACTTATTCTTTTGGCGGAATTGGCTACACTAGTTCAAGTTTATAGCTTCAGATACAATACTAGGCAACAGGCAATAAAAATAAGAAATAGAAAACCAATAGGAGCAGAGAATAAAGCCCTTTCACAATGCCAGGCCAACAGGCAATAGATATAAAAAATAGAAAATATCAACCAATCGGAAAAGGAGATAGATATTATTCTCTAGGTTTATTCGCGTCGCATGCCCCAACATACTCCTTCTTACTCCAATATGCTCGTATTATTGCGCTCCTCGAATTGGACCAAATCTTTTGCTACTATTGATGGATATTTTCCATTCCTAAAGGTATCATTTCATGTATTTATACCAGCAGTTTGTTGCTATTGTATGAAGTTCAATTGAACGAACAGCAAAGGCAGCAAAGCAAAAGAACGCACAACTAGTTGATTCTAAGGGCTATTCTACAATTGGTTGCAAAGATCCTCGTTGCTAGTTGATAGTTGCGGATTAACCAATCAGTTGACAAGTTGCTTTGTTCTGATTGATCAATCGGCAATTGTCATCTGGCAACGAGAATATTTGCAACCTATTGTAGAATGGCCCTAATTATTGTTATTCTTATATTAGTTAAATAATGAATTTTAAGAATAAAATAAATTATTGTGATAATATAAAAGCAAAAATCGTAATTTCAACCTCGAAATAATAAGAGAACAAAGAAATATGCTCTAATAAATTTTGATCAAGTGATTGATTTGCTGCTGCAGCATGCTGCGTATGAAAAGGCACCTCTACATATACGGTGTCACAGATTAGGAATAAGGAGCAAAAGATATCTAAAGGATTTTTAATCCAAACAGCTCTGCTCCAAATTATTCGATATCATATATCGATATATTAGAAGCCCAAATCAACGATAATTTCTATCGGTTCTGACTTTCGATAATAATCGATACTGCGCGATACATAGATGTCGCTACTGATCCTGCTTTCTTTCAAGTTTCAACTGATTCAATTTCTTTGAAGTTATTATCGCGAACCGGCGCGGACGGAGAGATTAAATTTAATTGGACTTTGGGCTGTAATACAGACTACAAGATAACGAGTACCTATAGTCTATTAATATGCATTCTCGTCATAATGTGGAATCTGACAAAATAAAGTTGCGAGGAAATTTCGGAAATCAAAATCAAAAACCATTTTCATATTTCAAGGTATTTTTTTATTTGCAGAAAAAAGTGTCGAATATATACATTGCCCACACAGGTATATATATATATATATATATATATATATATATATATATATATTTATCATTCTAAATCTTAATAAAGAATGATTTGTAAATTAAATTTATACTTTTTTATATATGGTTATATATCGCTTGAGCAAATGCGTAATTTATTATTCATTATTCTTTTATATCGATCGGATCATCAATCATCTTTGTAATTATCTGCAAATTAAAACAATCAACGAGTACAAAATAAATGTGCGTAAAAAATACAAATTTACAAATCATTTCCGCTTTTTCATTCTCGCGGCTATGCACAATTAAATAGCTGAGAGAAAGAGACAAAACATATATGTCCTAGGCAAATGGTTACTTTGGGCAAATGGAACCTAATCTAATAGGTGCGCAAGGATAGGGCCGTCGTAGACCCTCCCTTGCGTCCCCTTCCGTAGACACCCTTGATGGACGGGGTGGGTGCGGGAAGAAGAAAGGGGAAGGTCGAAAGCACCCCCTTGCACTTCTTCTCACCCGTGTGTGTGGGTGTGTGTAGTCTAATTTGGCAAATAAGACGGCATTTGACTAGTCAAAAGCTTTGCTTAAAGTGACCATATACCTACGCATATATATATATATATATATATATATATATATATATAGCAATGAATATATATATATATATATTTGCCCCATATGTTTCGTGATTTTTAAACCTATATATATTATATATTACACTATATTAACATTACCTATATAATCCTATATATATATATAATCAATATCATACTATATTAACATTATTAACTATATATATATATATATATATATATATATATATATATATATGTGTGTGTGTGTGTGTAATATTTATATTTACGTAGATGTTAATATGCATAAATGATTAATTATGCACAATGATATATGTAAACGATAAAAACATTCAAATCCCGTTACCGAAAAAAATTATGAAGATTACGCATGATAAAAAGAAGTGAATGTACATATATATATATATATATTTATATATTAATTATTTTTTTGGCGTGAAATGAACGAACACATCTTCGGTTGGTCGTAAAATGAGAGCTGGTCCGTATTCAACCTCCTCTGGCTTTTTTACACTTTTCAATCTCCACTTTCTCAAAATAGCTGTTAATATAGTTTTCTCTTCGAGTAAAGCAAATCTTTGGCCGATACAGTTTCTCGGTCCAGCGCTAAACGGAACATAGGCATATGGATTTCTATTATTCGAATTCTCCGGAAGGAAGCGATCCGGATCGAACTTGTTTGGATCTGGCCAAACTTTTGGATTCCTATGCATTAATAAAATATCGATTTCAACTGTAACACCTTTCGGGATCGTAAAATCACCTAAAATAAAACAGATTGTGTGTTTTCAAATTATTTAGTATTTTGCCACATAAAATGTATCGATAAATTTTTTTAATACAAATATGTCCTATGGTCTAAGAAATGGAGTTTGTGAAACCCCAATATGTAAACTTTGTTAAATCTATTTTAGAAAATTTTATATGTAAAATTATCATATTATTTATCATATTATTTTATATGCAAATTTATTATACATAATTCGTGATAAAATTCTATAAGTAATAAAAATATTTAAAGAATTAGACTTTTGTACGTGCAGCATAAAATGATAAATTATAGAATTATTTATCTTGAATTCTGTCGCAAATTAGAGACAGTTTAAAATAGATTTCAAACTATTTATATCTTTCACATTTATTTAGTCTTTAATAAATAAGAAATAATTTTATCAAATTTTATATATCAAATTAATATGTAAATATACAGAATATATAGAATTTACATTTCTTTTATATTAAAATATTAATAAAAATGAAGTTTTATATCATACCTAGATTTACATCTTCCGTTAAATTTCTTAAGACCATAGGTACACTTGGATATAATCTGAGCGTTTCCTTTATGACTCTATCGAGGTATTTTAATTGCGATAGTTCTTTTACACTAGCTGGTGTCTCGGAATCTTTGAAAACTTCTTCGAGTTCTTCATGAACTTTTTCTTGATGCTCGAGATTATTACCCAAGAGAAAAAGCGTCCAAGTTATTGCGACTGCAGTTGTGTCGTGACCCTGTATCATATATCGTTATATTTTTATCCACATTCGCAACGACATTATCATTTATAATTACATTACCAAGTCTGCGATAAGACGGCATTTTGCATTAAATTATCAAGTCTTTTTTTTCTTACCTCGAACATAAATGTATCTACTTGTGCTCTTACTTCATCATCGGTTAATGGAGTGTCAGCTCTCTCATTTTGATCTAGTAACAGATCCAGAAAAGCTTTCCTCTTCCGCTTACCTAACGCAATAAATTTCACAAGAATGTTTTAAAATCTATTTATATAATCCTTTTTTAAAACATATTTATATATTGTATATATAACGATAATTTATAATAATCACACCTATAAATTCATCATCGTCTTCCTTTTCTGAATAGGCGGTATTGTCGTGCGATTGTCGTGCTATCTTTTTTTTATTTATCACCTGAAATATATTATTTATATTTATTGCAAACTTGTTCAATTTATTTAAATTAAAAAACATGAATAATTAATTTAGTTAAATGCTGCCGATATATCTTAATATGTATATTTGTATATCATTATCATTAGCGTTTGTTTTGATGCGTACTTCTCTCGTGAACTTATGCAACCTATTAACCCCTGAATTATATTCCTTTGCTGAAGGAACTAAATTATATATCCAATCTTGCCAAAGCCACGGTTGAAACACTCGTTCGCGTATTAATATAGAATTCCTAAAAACACAATTAAAATATTAAACCAATATAACAATATTATATTTACGCTGTTATATCAATTAATTAATCACGCAAAATTTGCTGTTAATTCTTTAAAAAATTGTAATAAATTTAATGATGTTACTAACTATTTTATTAATAAAATATGCAATTCATGATTCTTCGTACCTATGTATTGTTGAGGTAAAATTGGTTTCAACTTCTTGAGCATGTACATCCACACCCATTGCTGTTTCTGTAAAATAATAACTTGCGAGTATAGTAGTACTTTTTCCTTAAAGTATATATGCTACGTTATAAATTTCAGAAAAAAATAAAATCAATATAACTATATAATAACTCACGTAAATAATATAGAGTCGAATAGTTAATTTTATTATACACAGAAATTAATATACCAAAATCAAAAATTTTACTCATATTTAAATATGTATAAGTGTTTTTATAAACTCCTTATATTTATTAATTATAAATAAAATGTGATATTTAATATAAGATTCGATTTTAAACGCGTCCGTTTACAATATCGATCATTAAGCTTATCAAAATTATATCGGCATTGTAATCTGTAATCGTATATATTCAAGAAAAAAAAGAATTTTGCTGTTGCAGCAAAATCTCATTATTATCATTATGTATTTAATAAACTTCACTTTGTAAAAACAAACGATACACATTCGATAGTAATCATCATTATTCGATTTTACAAGTATAAAACATTTTCTCGACAAAATAGAAATATCTCGAGTGCCGATTAAATTTAATTATGAAAGTTTTTTAAATGTTGAAGCAAAATAATTTATTTCTTTAAAAATCATTTGTACTGTCGATTACTTTGAGAAAGAAATACATGATATATAAATAATATAAATAAATTCAATTTATTATTAACGAATGAGTTTATCGGTTTAGCAAAATTTAAATTTAATATTCTTGACAGTTTTTCTATTATTCATATATCATAATTAAAAAAAAATACTAAACATAAAATATAGATATATATTTGTGTCAACGATATCTTTTTGTATCCAAAAAAATATATTATA